ATACAAGTCACTAAGTCCAGCCACAGAGGAATTAGGCTTCACCCTTTGAGGGGAGGAGTATACTCCTGGACATATATTAAAATCATCTCAACTCCCCAGATGCAATTGCCTTTAATTTTCTTCTGAGTCTTTCCAGAAATTATCTACACATACAAAAGCTGATAGTCCTTTCTCCTTAACATAGCTAAAATCTCACTATCTATATATATTCTACACCTTGCTCTTTCTGTTTAATACTATATCTTAAGAATCCTCCTAAGTCAGCACATAGAGATCTATCCCGTCCATTAAATAGATTCAAAGCATCCAATCGTAGGATGTCTACAGTACTTCATCAGCCCCTGCTGATGGTCATATAGGTTGTTTACTATAACAAAATAATGCCGCAAGGAAGATTCTAGTAAGTATATTTTTGCCAGCTTAGGCAAAAAATAAAGTTCTTGGAGTAGAATTTCTGGAAGAGAGGATATACACATTTGCAATCCTGATTATGTCAATTCACCTTCCAAAAAAGATGACTGGTTGATACATTCGTCTGTGTTACTGAGAGCCCATCTCCCTACCCTCGGTAATGCAAGGTTTTAATGTAGCTTTAAAATGTTGCCCACCTGATAGGTCCAACAAGGTATTTCATTGTGGAGTTGATTTGCTGTTTTAAAATCAGCATTAAGTTTATCAGCCATTTTCATTTCTTTTCTATGAAATATCCTATACCTTACTAACGTGTGAAACAAAGGAAGCGTGTCTTTATCTATCATATATGCTGCAAATGTTTTCCCTCACTTTGTCATTTGCCTTGTGCCTTTTACTCCCCATACAAAATGTTTAAGTTTTGAACTAGTCAAGTTTAAAGTGAATTTCTTACAAGATCAAAAGTATCAACATTTCGTTTTATGATTTCTGGGGTTTTTTTCCCCCAAAGTTAGAGAGATCTCCACTTCGTGTTCATTTTAAAAGTCATTCATGCCCTTGGGGTGCCTGGGTGGCTCAGTCGGTTAAGCGTCTGCCTTCAGCTCAGGTCCGGATCTCAGGGTCCTGATCTCAGGGTCCTGGGATCAAGCCCCGCAGGGAACCTGCTTCTCCCTCTTCCTCTGCCTGGGCTCCCCCTGCTTGTGCTCTCTCTCCCTCCCTGTCAAATAAAGTAAATATCTTTGAAAGTCATTCATGCCTTCTACTAGCACTTTTATGGTTTCAACATTTACCTTCAGGTAATTGTACCATCTAGAATATAGATTAAAAAGTAAGGACAATATCTAGCTTTATTTTTTTTATCCAAAGGCCTAACTGGTTTTCCCAGCATCACTTATTAAAGAATCCATTTCTCTCCAGTGATCTGAAATGCCATTTTCTTAGATGTGCTATGTTCCCTCTGTTTTGCAGACGGTTCCCTCTGTTTTGCAGATGCTTTGTTTCATCGACCAACAACTCCTCTCTGAGGAAGGGCAGCTTTGCAGCACAGAGAGGAGAAAGGTCTGGATCTTTGGAGCTCGGAGCCAGGGAAGCAGCACAGCTGTGGGGCGCAAGGGGTGCTGTCTGAGCAGCTTGGGAGGGAGAGCGGGAGGAGGGTGAGGATTTGGGGAGTACTAAGCACGCAGTAAAGAGATCGATGTCTAAATGACATAAATTACATAATGATATTTTTAAAAGCAATTGCACTGCTTCCCAAAGCAACTGAAATCATGAGCAATTGTCCAGATCCTCAGAGGACCTGCTTTTATGAACAAAAGATGAGTTTGCTCAGAGAAAGACATGTATCATATGATCTCACTGATATGAGGAATTCTTAATCGCAGGAAACAAACTGAGTGTTGTTGGAGTGGGGGGTGGAGTGGGAGGGATGGGGTGACTGGGTGATAGACACTGGGGAGGGTAGGTGCTCTTGTAAGCGCTGTGAATTGTGCAAGACTGTTGAATCTCAGATCGGTACCTCTGAAACAAATAATGCAATCTATGGTAAGAAAAAAAGAAGAAGAAGAAGGTAGCGGGAGGGGAAGAATGAAGCGGGGGAAATGGGAGGGGTAGACAAACCATGAGAGACTCTGAAAAACAAACTGAGGGTTCTAGAGGGGAGGGGGCTGGGAGGATGGGTTAGCCTGGTGATGGGTATTGAGGAAGGCACGTTCTGCATGGAGCACTGGGTGTTATGCACAAACAATGAATCATGGAGCACTTCATCTAAAACTAATGATGTAATGTATGGGGATTAACATAAGAATAAAAAAAAAAGATGAGTTTGCTAATTAGCTAGCCAAACATTTCTAAAGTTCTTGCAATCATTTTGACCTCTGATAGGTATCTATTTTCTGCTACTGTCTCCCATCTGACTCTTGAATTCATACTGGTTTTTATCAGAATCTGAATCCATGCATATTCCAAACAAGGGGGGGCCCCAAAATAATAAGATGATCCTGCCCCTTTCTGAAGATTAATGGCATTCTTACTATGAGCAGGCACCAGCCGTGTTGAAGCTCGCCCTGTTGTCCTCACTGCAGCACCACGAGGAGGCCACCATTACCCATGCTTTACGGAGAAAATAATTCTTGCCCAAAGTCACACTGTAGTGAGTGGCGAAGCTAGAAGTCAGCGCAGCGCCATCTGATGCAGAAGGGTGGCCTTGCCGGGAGGCCACATGACCTTTCCCATGTGATCTATAGCGTAGAGGGCATGTGACACAGAGAGGTTTTTAAAATTGGGGTTCCCAGGGAAGAGGAAATGGAAAGAAGACTAGGAAAGCAACAACCAGCCCCATCTTCATTCAGAACTAGCAAGAGGACGTGGCCTCATTTACGCCGGTGGAGAATGACTTAGGAAACCCTGAGCTGTCAGTCCTTTTCCCTAAGTGGTGTGAGTTGCTGCCCCACTGGCCTGCCCTCAGCCCCAGACTCCTCCTGCCGTGTCTCAGGGGAATGCCATTCTCTCTGGAAGCCTCTCAGCAGAGATCTGATTTGACCTCCTTGGCTTCCTGGCCACCCGAACCTTGCAGACGGCCCTGTCTGTGAATTGGGGCGTTATTTTACCTGGACATGGAATCAGCAGGTGCAAAGAGAAAATCCTATCAGCCTGTAACCCTGTGGCCTCCAACTGGAAATTCCTGTAGGTTCCTTCTGCCGTTCTTCCTTGCTGCTACATTTCCACTCACAGCCCCTCCTGAGGTTTACACCCTAGTTCCACTGACCTAGGCCGGCTTGGGGGGGGGTTCACCAGATTAAACCCGATTAAGAGCGTCAGGTGACAGAGAAGGGCCCAAAGTACCCCAGAAACAATCCTGGTTTCATGTTCCAATCCTTCCTTCTCCCAAGTATTCATACAGGGTGACCACATACAGTTGTGCAGGTTGTATACTGCACAACATTACTGAGCATATAAATCACAATGGCCCCTGATTCGTACTCTCCGTGTTTCCTCAACTACAAGGACGCTGGCATCAATTTACAGCTCATCCTCAAAAGCTTGTACACATACACCCCAATCCTCTCAGATCCTCCCAACAAAACTGAAGCAAAGGAACTCAAAAGGAAAGGGCAATATTCTGCCTTTGATAACTGGGAAGATGAATGCCTTCTCCCGCCCTCCACTCTCCCCCACCACCCCAGTATTCATACGTAGATCCATAAAACCTTTGAGAGATTCTGCCAAGAAATGCATAGTGCGGGCTGTTTCTAGAAGAGTGACCACATGTCTGATTGGCCCAGGACAGTCACAGTTTATGACTATTGTACTGGTGGTCCCAACAGTCCAGCACCTGTCCCAGATAAACGTGTCCTGGTTTGGATAGTAAATTATAGTCACCCTACTGAAAAGCCACAAATGGGCCAGTCCAGAGAGACTGGGGAAGGGTGGCATCAGCCTATTGACCAATAACACAAACACAAAGAGTCATTTGATTGAGCACCCACTATGTATATATATACACCCATGTCGACAAGCCAGTGTTACATGCATGTATGTATGTATATGGTTTTTATATACAAATGCATACATGTAACATGTGTGTATATCCATACACATATGTAGCTACTATCTATTGAGTGTTGGACACCCCTCAACCTGCCGGCCTTTGTACTAAGAGCCCTATGGGCTCTGGATCTATCTGCATATACACTTTAAAACCAAGATTTTATGGGGCGCCTGGGTGGCTCAGTTGGTTAAGCGACTGCCTTCGGCTCAGGTCATGACCCTGGAGTCCCGGGATCGAGTCCCACATTGGGCTCCCTGTTCAGCAGGGAGTCTGCTTCTCCCTCTGACACCCCCCCCCCATGCTCTCTCTCTATCTCATTCTCTCTCTCAAATAAATAAATAAAATCTTTAAAAAAAAAAAAAGATTTTATTCTGACACTTCCAATTCCAATCCAATGTAATAAGGGTCATGCTAGCCTTTCCCCTTTCCTTACCTGTAGCTTTTTTCTCCAGCAGAGAGAAATCTGGCTCATTACCTACATCATATCTGCTTGTCTGTTCAACGCTCAGGTACACATACATAGTTTCAGAACCTCTAGCTCTATCCTTATGAGAAACAAATTTACTAACTACAGTACAGTGATTATGTGCGGTGTTTTGTCTTAACCTGGGCATTCAGCGCAGTGTTTTGTCTTAACCTGGGCATTCAGTCAAAACACTGTTTTCCAAAGAAACTTAGGCTAGTTCTGTATTCTCTCCTGTGGGGCTAAGTTACTCTTTTGTAATACATTCAGGTGTTTTGTTACCTTTGTATTCCATTTGGGGTTCTCCCCATATCCTGGTTAATTTCTTTAAATTACATATGTAAAATTCATCCTTTGTGGTGTAGAATTCTGTGCGTTTGCCCTTGTAATTGGACAAATAGAATCACATGTTCACTCCCCCAAGGCATGATATGAGACAGTTCCATCGCCCCCAAATTCCCTGCTGCAGCTCCATTGTAGTCAACCCCTTCGCCAGCCCCTACCCGGGTAAGTAACCCTGATCTGTTTTCTGTCCCTTTGATTTTGTCTCTTCCATGAACGGAATTATACCATACGTACCCTTTTGAGCCTGTCTTCTTTCACCAAGCAAAATGCATTTAGTTTATCCCTGCTGTTGTGTCAATCAGTGGTTTCTTCCTTGCTGTCCCTGGGTAGCACTCTGCTGTATGCACGTATGACAGGTTGTCGCTCCCTGTGAATGACATGTAGCTGTTTCTAGTTTAGGGTGAGTATGAATACACATGCTATAAACATTCTCACACGGACTTTTTGAAAACAAATTTTTATTTCACCGGGTAGATACGTAGGAGTGGATTGCAGGGCTGCACGGTAAGAACTTCTTAACTTTTCTAACTCTGTAAGAAACCGACAGACTGTCCTCTAAAGTGCACAGTACCGTTTTGCATTCCCACCAGCAGTTCGTGCCGGGTCAGTTGTCCTGGGCTCTTCAGCACACTTATTGTCAGTATCCTTTATTTTCGCCATTCTAATGGGTGTGGAGCAGTATCTCATTGTAAATTTAATTTGCATTTCCTTAATGACTAATGACTTTGAGTGTGTTTTCATGAGCTTATTGGCCATCTGTAGATCTTCTTTGGTGAAGTGTCTGTTCGAATCTACTGATTTTTTTTTTTTAATTATTCTTTTCTTATTGTTAGTTTTTGAGAGTTCTTTGTATATTCTACACAGATCCTCTGTCAGAGATGTGATTTGCAGATATTTTCTCCCAGTCTGTGGCTTGTCTTTTCATTCTCTTAACAATGTCTTTTGGAGAGTCAATGTTTTTAATTTTAACAAAATCCAGTTTATCATTTTTTTTAAATTAGTACTCTTTGCCTAACCTAAGCTTACAAAGATTTCTTCCCTGTTTTCCCATAGAAATTTTATAGTTTTACATTTTACCTTTTGGTCTATACTACATTTTTGGTTAATTTTTGTATAAGGTGTGAGTTATGGGTCAAGGTCCTTTTTTTATATTTATTTATCTATCTATTTATTTATTTTGGTAGAGGGACATGCAATTGTTCCAAAACCATTTGTTGAAAAGATTGTCCTCTCTCCATTGAATTGCCTTTGGACTTTTATCAAAAATCAGTTGGCTGCATTGGTATTTCTGGACTTTCAGTTCTGTCTCATTGATCTTTGTGGCTCTCATCCCACCAATACCACATTATCTTAGTTTCTGCACCTTTATCATGGTTCTTGAAATCATATTAACAACAGTCCTCCCAGGGCGCCTGGGTGGCTCAGTCGTTAAGCGTCTGCCTTCGGCTCAGGTCATGATCCCAGGGTCCTGGGATCGAGCCCTACATCGGGCTCCCTGCTCAGTGGGAAGCCTGCTTCTCCCTCTCCCACTCCCCCCGCTTGTGCTCTCTCTCTCACTATGTCTCTCTCTGTCAGATAAATAAATAAAATCTTAAAAAAAAACAGTCCTCCCAATATATTCTTCTTTTCCGAAAAACAATTCTGGTTCTTCTAGTTCCTTTGTCTTTCCATATAAATTTTAGAATCTGCTTGTAGAAAAAAAAAAAAAAAACAGCTTATTGATATTTTGATTGAGATTTTTGAATGTAGAGATGAACTTGGGGAGAATTGACCTCTTAAACTGAGATTTTCCGAGTTCATGTATCCAACACAGTATAACCCGCTGGTTACACAGATAATTGAAGGATAAATGAGAAAATAGGAGATTCTGAGCAGCCCAAGTATTAGTAACTAGAGGAAGCAGCTACCCCTCCCAGGGCTGGGGGGGAAGGGGGAGGTAAGGTTACTGAGGTTTAGGAGCTCAGAGGAAGGGGCCCTGCGCAGCTGGTGGCCAGCTCGATGAAGAGGGCGACTAATGCTCAGATGATAGGGTGGGAGGGGGACAGACATACCTAACTGGTGCTGTAGCCCTGAGGGGACTCAGCAGGCTTCCACTGTCAAAAGAACTCAGAGCCTGGACCCAGAACTCTCATCAGGTGCTGGAACCATGCTAACAGGAACTGGAAGCCCAGCTCCCAGCTCCCAGTCTCTCTCTAGTGCCTTCCGCTGGCCAGCAAGCGTGTCTGAGAAATGTGGTTTGCAAAGTGCCAGCCTCAGCATCTGCAGCAGGGTATAGAAACAGAGGCTTGGGGCTGAGAGCCAAGTCATCAATCACAGCACACTCAGTTACACTGAAAACCACTACTGGAAGCTGTTCTTCCATACATCTGAGCGTGTCCAGCACAGTACCGCGGGCATGATACAGGTTCAAAATTTTTTGAATCTGAGCTATTTAAAGTACTGTTAATTCAGGAGTGAAAGGTGATATTACTACAGACCTCACAGACATTAAAAAGACATTAAGGGGGGACGCCTGGGTGGCTCAGTCAGTTGAGCATCTGCCTTCGGCTCAGGTCATGATCCTAGGGTCCTGGAATGGAGCCCCACGTCAGGCTCTCTGCTCAGCGGGGAGCCTGCTTCTCCCTCTCCCTCTACTGCTCCCCCTGCTTGTGCTCTCTCTGTCTCTCTCTCTCTGTCAAATAAATAAATAAAATCTTAAAAAAAAAAAAAGACAGTAAGGGAATATTATGAACAATTCTGTGCCCATAAATTCAACAACTTGGATGGAATGGACCATTTCCTCGAAATACATGACCTACCAAAACTTACTCTAGAAGAAATAGATAAATCTGAATAGTACTCTATCAAAAAGATTAAATTCATAGTTTTAAACCTTCCAACCAACAGAAAACTCTAGGCACAGATGATTTGGTTTAAGTGGGGAATCCTACCAAATATTTCATGAAGATGTCATACCAATTCATAATCTCTTTCAGAAAACAGAAGAGGAGGACACATTTCCTGACTCATTTTATGAGGCCAGCATTACTCTGATGCCAAAACCAGACGCAGACATTGCAAGAAGCAAAAACCGCAGATCAATAGCCCTCATGGACATAAACAATCCTCAACAGAATGTTAGCAAATTGAACCCAGAAATATGTAAAAGGGATACTACATCACAACCAAGTGTGGTTTATCTCAGGAACACAAGGCAGGTTCAATTAGGAAAGATCAATCAATGTAATTCACTAAAGAGGAAAAATCTCATAATTATCTCAATAAAAGCAGAAAAAGTTTTTGAGAAAATCCAACACTAACTCATGCTAACAACTCGCAGCAAGCCAGGAGTAGAAGGAAAAGCCTCCTTAACCTGATAAAGAGTATCTGTAAAACCCTGGCCTAACCATGGACTGGCATCTCTTCCCTATGGCTCCTTCTTGCAATGGGAGGACACACTGGCCCCTCTGAAAAGTCTTTTCTTATTGAGAATATATTACCAAAAAGCTAAAAAGGAACTATATTTCATTCATTTTTTCACATTTTCACGTTTCTGAATTCTGGATACATGTTACAGTCAATGGCATCTTACAATTATAAAAAGGTAGAAAGGTTTTTTTTTTCTCCTCTCTCTCTCAGTGCTATATAAAATAAGGGTGCATCCTTCAATGACATCTTAGAGTTTATGGAGTCGATTCTTTTCCAAAGGTTAGTTTTCTTGAGTTCTAGCGAGCATTTGTGGCAGAGACGGGTAACTACCCAGCAACACCTGTTCCCTTCTTCCATGGTCATAAATTGTAACTTGGCCACAAGACCGCCTTGCTAGTGACCTGCACTTCCAGGGCTCCTTGCAGTGGGTGTGGTTCTATGACTAAGTTTGGGCCATTGGGATGGGAGTGGATGTGATGTATACAACTTTGGGATCATGGATAACCAAAAACACAAGCCAACTGACTTAAAGTTTCTGTCTTTCCCCTTGATCAAGCCTGATTCCCACCTTTGGCCTTAAAAGGCATTAATAGTGCCACAGGGGAAAGGGGTGAGGGTGTAACGGTATGGAGGAAGCTGGATCCCAGAATGACCAGGAGAAGCAAGCCACCTGCCAAGATAAACAGCTCACCTTGGGACTGACATATGGGAGAGAAATCACCTTCTATTTTTTTTATCTATTGTGTGTGAGAGCCGAGCTCTCTCTCTGTCTCTGTCTTTCTCTCTAACAGATTAGCCTTTATCCCTAAAATATTTCCCTCTAGCCACGGATTGGCTCATCTTTGCCAGCCCCCCTTCCTGGCCACTTTTCTGTCCAACTTTCTGATGACCTCCTTGCAACAGCTACGAAGTTTCTGCCCCTGTAGTAGATATTTTTATCTGGCATTTTGATGTTCTGAGCATGTTGACATGTTTGCCTGGATTGATTTGCTTACTAATTTTACTCTTTCCCTTTTATGCCACTTGGTAATGTAACCATTGTCAATGATGACTACGTTTTGGAGATAATTATCCTTCCATGAATAATCACCACTTCAAAATCTGTATGCCACAGTGAGACAGCTTCATCAAAATGAAAACCCATGCTGGGGGCACCTGGGTGGCTCTGATTTTGATTTTGGCTCAGGTCTCAGGGTTGTGAGATGGAGCCCCACCGTGAGCCTCGCCTCTGCCCGCCCCCCTCTGGTGCACACTCTCTCCCTTTAAAAAAAAACCAAAAAACCCCAAAAAAACAAAAACCTATATTGGCACACTAAAAATGCAGGAGGGAAAAGAGGGAAGGAAGGGAAGAAAGAAGGAGGGAGGGAGAAAGGTGGGGGAGGGAGGGGAGGAGGAAGGGAAGGCAGGCAGCATAAGAACAGCAGGTTTTCCAAAGGGACCAGCAGCCATGGGAAAAGGTCCCTCATCTTCCTCGTGTACTTCTCTGTTTCTTGTCCTGGAAAATCATCCCAGTGGTTCCCCAGTTGGTTTTCCACATGACTAAACCCCACGGGCCTCATCGCATCATACCCAGGCCACCTGACTGCCTCTCGCCAGTTCCTCCCGTGCCTGGAGCCCGGTCGGGGCACAGACCCGGGCACACTGCCCATCCCCTCACCTGCCTTCACCCACAGCCTCGCCAGAGAGGCCTCTCCCTGATGGCCTAGCCGAGCGCGGGGCCAGCCTGGGGTCTCCGGACGCTCACAACATGGAATGGTCCGTCGGACTCCTGGCCTGCCTAGTGGGCCTCCTCCCGATGGGTGAGTCTCCCACTATCCTCTCTGGCCTATGCTCAGAACAGAATAGATGCTCACACGACCTCAGGTACAGTCTTCTCGCCTGGCGCCGGGGGCAACCGGGTTCACCCAGAGCCTCCAGACCTGCGGAGGAGGAAAGAGGGAAGCCGCGGTGACAGAAGTCAGAAGTTCAAGCCCGGGTTTTGCCTTGGGTTTCCGGGGACTTTGGGCAATCCTCTGACTTCTCTGGGCCTCAGTGGCCCCAACTGTAGAAAGGCCACCTGCTCACCCGCTGCTGTGAGGATCCAAGGAAGATAATGGGCAAGCTTCGGGGAGGACAGTCCAGGCTCTGAGGGACTTCGGGTGTTGCCGTCATCCGAGTGCCTTATGTCTTGATGGGCACAGCCCAGAGGGGAAGGGAGGAGGCGCGTGGTTGTTTGGGGTAAGAGCGGGCTTGAGTTCCCATGGGGAATGGGGCAAGTAAGAGAGGGCACCCTGAGCACCCAGCGGGACTCCCAAGGGGTGAATGGGAACTCTTTGCAGCAGCTTAAGTAACAACATCATTGGTCACTCAGCTCAGTGACTTAGGGTTGCTGGTAATGGTGTTTTGGTTACAGACCATCTGCATGAGAATTTTGGTGGGGAGAGGGGCATTCATCTAAAGGCAGATCCTTTGGTTCTATCAAGCGGCAGGGCTCAGGAGTCCTCATGTTCTACCATCTTCTCAGGTCGTTTTTTTTTTTAAGATTTATTCATTTATTTTAGGGGGGGTGGGGACAGAGAAACTCAAGCAGCCTCTGTGCTGAGTGCACTCAATCTCATGACCCTGAGATCAGATCTGAGCCGAAACCAAAAGTAGGACACCTAACTGACCGCACCACCCAGGCGCCCTCTCTTGGGTCAGTCTGATACACGAGGTAGTTGAAGGCAATCGGGATAACTGACAAAGGCCATCCTCTGAGCCCTGGTCCCTCCTGAGACTCTGCCCCTAGACTAGGAATCGGTGCCTCCACGGGCAGGGCCACAGGCCGTCACGCGCCGCACGGTGACATCATGGTGTTCTGAGTTAGTCAATAGCCCTTGTCTGGGGTCCTGTCTCCATGACTGGACTATCAACTCCCACCCTTAGCTCCTCTTCCTTCCTCTTGAACATTCAACAGAGGCAGCGTCCAGTTCAGGTCTGGTTTGGATAATTCTAGCAACCACCTACAGATAGCTCTTACAAGTGCTGGGCCCTTTAATTAGAACCCACGTAAGCCTCGAAGCCGTCTGAAAAAGGAACTTCTATTCCCTTTTCACGGATGAGGCGCGGAGGGGCCCAGTGAGTGGTGTGGGTGGATGTGTGGCTCTCGACTGGGCCCCCACCGGCCCCCAGCCCGTGCTGCCCCCCGTCCCACCACCCAGCCCAGTGGTGGGGGCGAAGCGGGTGGGGGCTGGAGGAGGTGACCCCACCCAGACCGGGGGCTGATAAGAGAGCGGTTCAGACGTGAGTGTTGATGTCACAAACACCTGTGAATCCTGGCTCTGCTATTTACCAGCTGTGTGGCCCTGGGCAGGTTGCCTAACTTCTCGGAACGTCGGTAAAGTGGGGACCCGGCACCTCATGGGGTGTTGTGAAGGATAATTAGACCCTGGTTAAAAGCCCGCCAGCTCAGTCCTGGTGCTCACTGATCGTGCCATAAACGGCAGGGAAATCTTGCTAAAGCCACGTAACCTCGAGAGAGGCGAGGTTGGGGTGGGAGGTGGTTTGGGTTTCTTTTTCTCCTGTTGAGGGTCAGCTGCTATGAATCAGTCAAAGACAAAAAGACTTAGAGGAGGCCTGAGCAGTCACGTGTCCAAGAACAAAACCCAAACCACACAAGCACTCCAGCTGTGGCTCGAGAGGAGATTTCCCCAGGGAGGCTGAGGCACTGCTTCATGGCTACAGCCGAGAGGCCCGTGAACTAGGGTGAGGGGACCCCGCTCTCTGAAACCCCTCTGGAGACGTTCACCTATGAGCCCCTCCATGAGGCAGCGGGCCTGGACAGGAGGACCAGGCTGGGTTTGGCTGCAATGCAGGAGCCCCGGGCCTTCCTGAGCAGGGTGCCGCAGTCCCAGGCTCGTCCCCAACCACATCTCTGAGCAGAGGGCCAGGGCAGGCCCTTGGCAAAAGCAAAGTGGGAGGAATTTGCCCAGAAAACCCCCTTCTACCTCCTGTGCCCTTCTCCTTCATACTGACGCCACCCACGCCCAGCACCCAGTGCCCTGGGGCAGCCCCGAATCTCCCAGGGGCTCACGCACACTCTCCCTTGTCTTTCCCCTCTGGGCTCCCCACAAATCTGCTTCTGGAAAGCTGGAGATGCCGGGGAACGTGCAGGTGGGAAGAACAATGGTCTGGGAGCTCTGGCCGCTTGGGTGACCTTGGACAAGACTGCAGTTGGTCCACAAGCCTCTGATAAGCGGGTGGAGGGATCACAGTCATCCTCAAAGACTTCAGTGTCAGGCCTGGACAAGCAGCTCGTTCACTCCTCACCACAGCTCTACAAAGCAAGGACCCTTGTCCCAATTTTAAGGAGGCCTATGGAAGTCAGGGGACTTTTCTGGGGTGTCACAGCCTGGACTGAACTTCTGGAGTCTCCCGAGGGCAAGCCCCACCTTTTACACCACCTACGTGCCCTGGTCGTGAGCCCAGAGCACAGCTTGGTGCTCAGAGGAATTTACTAGCTCGGAACCACTGCTGACAGACAAACCAAAAGGCAAGACAAATCACAGCAGTCGCCCTAGCTGGTGGGGGTGCAGGGAAAGGCTGGGGAGGAGATGGGCTGGTCATGGGTCCGGAAGGAAATGGGAGAGTGTCGTGAGCCAGGATGCTGCTTCTGCTCCCGGCGGCTACTGTGGCCAGTAGCTTGGGCTGAGAAGTCCTAGCTGGGGCGGAGGAGGACTGTTGGGGAGGAGGGCCCTGAGAAGGCCGGGGGGAGCACGGACAGAGATGAGCTAAATGGGCACTCTGGAGAGAGCACCCTGTGGCCGACACCGGCCCCAGACCACGGTCAGCTGTGACTGCGCACATTATCTAAGATGCCAACGTGAGCTAGAAAAGGTGCAATGTCAGGGTACCACGTCTTCACTCCTGCTGCATCACCTCCAGATGTATGCCCAGAGCACTTCCGCAGCACTGGTCAGCGCCCCCACCCTGCTCCCTCGCAGTCACACTCCCTTTGCCGGGCTGGTGAGAGCAGGGTCTAACGTGCATCGAGCATGTGCGGGGCAAGCTACCCGTGTGACTTCATTCAACGCTCAAGCCCACGAGGAAGGTATTAGGTGCCTCATTTGGCAGCAGAGGAGCTCGAGACCTGGGACATGAAGTAACCTGCCCAAAGAGCCCCCAGGAAGTGAAAGAGCCTAGAACAGTGCCAGGCTCAGACCGGGTGCTCATAAAAGGCAAGGAAAGAATGACCACAAGGCAGATTGTCCCCCAGGTCCAGCTCTGCCAAAGCTGGGAGGCGTACAGTACGCCCTGTGGCCCAGCATTGAGGGCCGGTGTTTTGGACAGCGAGGCGAGTCTGGGTCTCCTGTTGACCTGGAGGTTAAGAGTCCTGAGGCAGGGAGATCAGAGACTACAACAAGGGGCCAGGGTTTCAGTTCTGGAGGATTCCCTCCCTTGTGCTAAAGACGTGCAAGAGCTGCTGGAGGAAACGGCACATGTCACAAGATGCTGGGACCTTGGGTTCCTGACAAAGCACATGTGTTTGCTCCCCGGGCAATCCCTGCTAGGACTTCCCACTCTCACCTCGAGTTCCTGGGTGGATGCATCCAAAGTCTCCATGTAAGAGGGAGTCCAGGCCCTTGCCTCTTGAAACACCATCCAGCAGGTTAACAGGAAACACAAATCTCCCCCTAACAGGAGCCAAGATCTTAACACTGGCTGAAAGGGCCCCTGTGTGCCCTCTCGGCTCTGAAAGCCTCCAGGGCGAGGGAGGGGCGGGGGGGCGGGGATGTTTCCAAACTAGGCTGTCGTCCAGGGGCAACACAGCCCAGGGGACAAAGTAGGAACAGGAACCATGGAGCGGGGAAGCCTCAGCCCTGCTTCCGGTTGGTCAGATGACCTTGCAACAGTCACGTGGCCTCTCTGAGCCTCAGCCCTCCCTTCTCCAAAAGGGGCTATTGCCAGTCCCTCTTGGGGCTGTCGTGCACATGAAATGACATGAGGACCGTCTCCCAGTGAGCACCCAAAGCACTGCGTACTCTGGGCCCATGATCTGGGCATGCCCTGCAACCCCTTCACTGATGTCCTTGCCTCTGTGGTTTTGCCCAGCTGCTGCCTTTGCTTAGGACGCCTTCAGTCTACAGCAAGGCTTAGCAAATCCCTTTCCTTTCTTGAGGCTCCGCCGAAACAACACGTCCTCTCTCCCGGGGCCTCCAAGGATTCCCTGCCTAATATTTGCACACCTCTTCCCCCAGCCCACACCACCCTCCCCTGCCAGCCTGGTCACCCTCCCTTCTGCCCTGTTACAGCAATTCAACATCAATTACTACATGGCAAGTCCCTCGCAAGGCAGTAACAACACAAATACGACCACATATCCCTGGTCCCTGCCCTCCTGAGCTTCTGGGTGCCTGGGCAAGACACACAGTTGAATAGGCCATGCCCATATGGAGGAAGAACCTCTGCCGGCCCTGGGGCACAGGGTAAGGATGCCAGACCCAGGCTTGGGGTTCAGGGAAGGCTTCCCTCTGTAGGACGACTCAGCAGAGGCCTGGGGTGACTGGGAGGGAGTTGGTGAGAGAAATGGGCCAGGAATCTTGTTCAGACAAAGGAAACATTGTTGGTGTCCCTCATTAGAGGACCTGGCAGCCTGCAGTGTAATTATGTGTTCACAGATCTGTCTCCCTTTCTGAGTGGTGAGCTCCAGCAGGCTGATAAGGTATCCTATTGATCTTTGTAACCCTGGCTTGTATCCAAGTGCCTGGCTTAGAGTGGGAATGTGTCTGATAAATGTTTGCCAATCGATGAGTGCACAATAGCAAAAACTACCCGGAGTAATCGGTACCTGGTTCCATGATGCCTGCAAGATGCAGAAGGTCAGAGGAGGCTGAGGTTACAGAGGGTGGGAAGTGTAGGGAAACTGAGGCAGAGGCTGAGCCTCAGGAGTGGGGAAACAATTTCTGCACCTGGGAGTACAGAGTAAACCAGCAAAACCTTCAGAAAGGGTTTCTCAAATGTGAAACCAGGACCTTTATTTTTTTTAAATTTTTTTAAAATGTTTTATTTATTTATTCATGAAAGTCAGAGAGAGAGAGAGAGAGGCAGAGGCAGAGGGAGAAGCAGGCTCCCCGCCTAGCAGGGAGCCCGATGCGGGACTCGATCCCAGGACCCTGGGATCATGACCTGAGCCGAAGGCAGACGCTTAACCATCTGAGCCACCCAGGCGCCCCGAAACCAGGACCTTTATTAACAACTGAACAAACAAGCTCATAACTAGAGATAAATGCCATGTCCTCACTTGGGTTCAAAAGCATAATTCCACTTGTCCAGAAGAAACAAGATTTGGCTTACAAGCACATTGTGTGAAAAAAGAATGTGTGGTTTTACTTGATGGCAAGCTCAGCAGAAGCCCAAAGTGTGGTTTCATACAAGGCAGAGCTCACACAACCCAATTTGTACCCCACGCCACTGGTGCATCACACCCCTGCTGCACACCCCTGCTGCACACCCCTGCCGCACACCCCACTAGGCTGCAAGGAGAGCATGAAGCAAGCAGTGAGGAAGCGGAGTAGATGGGATGGGGTTCTTGGAGGATGGGTGGTCACCAGCTGTGGGCTCAGGGGATTCCTACCCAAGGCAGCAGCTACCCCCAAAGAGTAAAGAGCACTGGACGTGGAGTCAGAAAAGCTGGGTTTCTCCCATCTTCTGCCTGTGTGACTCTGGGCCTCCATTTTCTGATCTATAACAATACCCCCCCCCACCCCGCCTCACTCCCCCAGGGTGTCTTGCGGGTCATGTGACATGATGTATATAAAAGAACTGTGTAAATTACAAAGCTCTTGGGAAATACAAGAGCAACTATATTATTCCCTCTAAAGATCCCTTTTGTGAACTGCATTCAGGGCTCTAGCAGCGCGGGCCGACCAGCCTGTCCTCCCTCCTCAGGGAGACACCACCCCTAGCCAGATCCTCCCAGCCCGGCTCCAACACCCAGCCGCCCACCTGCTCGCCCCCTCCCCAAAGCAGGGCAAGCATGTAACAACAGGGGCGGGGCTCTGCCGCCATCTTGGAGCTGGAGGCTGAGCACAGCTCCCAGACCTGAGCTCAACCATACTTCAGAGGCTCACAGCACAGCAGGTGAGGCAACTAGGCCCAGAGCAAGAAGACAGCACAAAACTCTACCGCTCATGGTCTCTCAGCTCCCCATCTGGCTTTTGGGATGCCCCTTTGGGACGCCCCTTTGGGTTGACCTGGATTCTAAAGGAACCTCGTCTACTAGCTCCACACATTAAGTTCAAAACCTACCACCCCTTGCTGAGGCCTGTTTCCCCTCTGTAAATGGGAGTGTTGGTCTCCTTGGATGAGCCCCAGGCTTCCATGCCTTTAGTGCACTAGACTGCTGGCTGTGGAGTCAGGCAGTCTTGAGTCAGAATGCTGCCTGTGCCTCCTTCTAGCTGTGTGGCCTTACCTAATTACACAACTTCTCTGTGCCTCCATTTATTACATGTAACCCAAGGATAACTGTGCTTCTATCTAGATTCATTTGCGAGAACCAAAAGAGATACTACCGGGAACTTGGTCGACACAGAGGTGCACAGTAAGTGTTATTTTCACCGTCGTGGGAGGCTTGGGACTGTATGGTAACCACGGATCCCGAAGCTTTTCTGCAGCAGCGCAGGTGGTGGGAAAGAGTATGGGGTCAGTGGGCCTGTAGGTGAGGTGGGACCTCCCCGAAGGAGGGAGGGAGGGTCCAGGCACCTCGAGAGTCATGGGAGTCAAGATCCCGGGAGATGCCTCTCAAGTCACGGGGTGGGTTTCTGGGCCCCCACGAGGGAGACGCTTCCTGAAATCCTGGGGTTTCCAGCGCCCCCCCCGGGGCGCTCCCTGAGTCCGGCGGGTTCCAGGCTCCCCGGCGAGGGGTCCCCCACCCCAGCGTCTGCTGACGCTCCGGCCGCCCGCAGGTGCGCCGGAGCAGCGCTGGTCCATGCAGGTGCCGGCCGAGGTGAGCGCGGCGGCGGGCGAGGCGGCCGTGCTGCCCTGCACCTTCACGCACCCGCACCGCCACTACGACGGGCCGCTCACGGCCATCTGGCGCGCGGGCGAGGCCTACGCGGGCCCGCAGGTGTTCCGGTGCGCGGCGGCGCGGGGCAGCGAGCTCTGCCAGACGGCGCTGAGCCTGCACGGCCGCTTCCGGCTGCTGGGCAACCCGCGCCGCAACGACCTGTCGCTGCGCGTCGAGCGCCTCGCCCTGGCCGACGACGGCCGCTACTTCTGCCGCGTGGAGTTCGCCGGCGACGCCCACGACCGCTACGAGAGCCGCCACGGCGTCCGGCTCCGCGTGACCGGTGAGCGCGGCGCCCCTCCCCCCGGCCCGCCGCGTCCCCAGGGGGGCGATACACGGCGCCTTTCTCTAGGGCAGGGGGCCGCACGCCTGGCGATGGCCGCGGGCCGCTCGGCGACTTGGTAAAAATGCAGAATGCTGGCCCCGAGAAGGGCCGAGCGGCGCCCGGGAGTGGGCATCGGAATGAAGCTCGGGGAGCGCGGGGGGGGGGGGTGAATGGCCCCAGGAGCTCTCAGTCTAGGGGGAGGGACACAAGTTGAACAATAATGGCAAGGCTGCGATGGAATGTGTGCTCTGTGCACTGAAGGGCACCCGCAGCCCCCTGGGGAGGTGCCCCGGGAGCCCCTAAAGAAGTGGGAACCAGGGTCCCCGGCCCCTAGAGCCGAGGTTCTCAACCCTGGCCGCGCACTGGAATTAGCTGGAGAGCTTTTAAAAATCCTAGCCCTCCCTGCTGTGGGGATCCCGTTCTGGGTTCCAGTCTGGCTCTGCCAAGAACTCCCCATGTGCCTGTGGAGTCAGGCGGTCCTGACTCTCCGAGTGCCGCCTCTCCGAGTGCATGTCAGTTTCTAACCCGGGCCCGCGCGCCGCCCTGCCGCAGACCCCCGCGTTCAACCCTAGACCTTGGTGAGGCTGTCTGCCAGTGGGAAGTGCCCTTGAAGTCATACCGGCAGACAGCCCCCAGCCCTGAGCTCCAGCAACGGTAACGACCGTCGAGTGAGCATTTGCTATGGGCCAGGCCCGAATCCAAGCACCCCACATGTATTAACTTGCCAAATCTCCTCAACGACCCCATAAGGTAAATGATCCCCATTTTATGCATGAAGAAACTGAGGCACGGAGCTTCAGAATAACTTGCCCAAGGCCACATCTCCATGGGGTCCCAGGCACCATGGCGCTAGAGCGCCTACTCCCTCCTCTCCGCGCCCCCGCCCCAAATCTCTTGGTGACTAAAAGGGACTGGGAGGGGTCCCCCCTTGCCCGCCGCTGCTCTGACCACGGTTCGCTTTCTCCCCCGACGCCCTGGCCGCCGCCCGCAGCCGCCCCGAGGATCGTCAACCTCTCGGTGCTGCCGGGGCCGGCGCACGCCTTCCGCGCGCTCTGCACCGCCGAGGGGGAGCCGCCGCCCGCCCTCGACTGGTCCGGCCCGGCCCTGGGCAACGGCTCGGCCGCCGTGCCGGGCCCGGGCCAGGGTCACGGCCACCAGGTGACCGTCGAGCTGCCCGCGCTGGCCCACGACGGCCGCTACACGTGCACGGCCTCCAACAGCCTGGGCCGCGCGGAGGCCAGCGTCTACTTGTTCCGATTCCACGGCGCCTCCGGGGCCCCGGCGCTCGCCCTCCCGCTCGGCGCGCTTGGCCTCAAGGCGTTACTGCTGCTCGGCATTCTGGCCGCCCGCGCCGCCGCCCGCCGCCGCCTAGGTGGGTGCACCCCGGGCCAGGGCGGGGGCGAGGGGCCGGGCGGGGGCTCTCTCCCAGGAAAGACCGCCTGGCCGAGCACCTGGCGTGACTCAGCCCCTGCACGCTTTCTGCACCTGTGCCTCATCTCGCTGTCCTCTCCCTGCGTAGAGCCCAGGAGGGGGGAACCAGCAGGAGCCCGTTTTACACTAAGGAAGCGGAGGACAGAGAAGTGAAGGAACGTGCCTCGAGCCTAGAGACAGAGACCCAAAAAATGTAACTCCCACCCTTCGCCCACACCCCATAAATGACTCCTCCCGAGGATTCTGACCACACATAGGTCTTCCAAACAGCACCATTCCGTTGTGTTACAGTAAGCATCTTGAGGACCTACTGTGTGCTGTGTAGGTGCTCGGAAGACAGATGAATAAGATGTGCCCTCGAATGGGGTGCTGAGGAGTAAGCAAATAATTGCAGTCTGCAGGGAGAAGGGCTATCCTGGAGCCCGGGTACCACAGGGGCCCAGAGTGCAGCATGCCTCACCCGGGTGGGACGCCTGGATAGGCCAGGAGGGAAGGCTTTACAAGTAAGGGACAGCTAGATCAGGAACTGAAGCAAGGAGCTGATGGTATTCCCAGCAGAGGGAGCGACAGGTGCAGAAATGCACACGTGTGGGCCAGCAGGGTGTGCGCGTGTGGGCCAGCAGGGTGCATGCGCGGGTGGGCCAGCAGGGTGCGTCCGCGTTGTGGACCAGCAGGGTGTGCACGCATGGGCCAGCAGGGTGTCCTCCGGACCTGCCGTTCACCCCTCATTGCTCTCGCTGAGCTGGATGGGAAATCGGCTTGTGCCAGACAGGGGCTTCCCAGAGCCTCTCGGACCATCCAGGTCAGTAGCACCCGCCTCACACCGTCTTGGGATGAAATCCAGAATTTGTCACAGTTGCCCTGGCTGTTGCCTTTCCTGTGGCTTTGCTGTCTTTCCTTGCCGGTTCTTCAGACCCACCAAGCGTTCTGGGCGCCACAGTCCTGAGAAAGGCGGGTTCTTCTGCTGGGCGGCTTCTCCCTCCACGCTTCTCATCGTTAACTCCTGGTCATCTCTAAGGCCGCTTCATGCCTGGCTAGCTAGTGTTTGTCGCACGTCCCTTCGGACCACTTTCCACAGTGCGGTGGGGTGGACAGCGGGGCCTGTCGCCTGAGGCTACCATAGAGATTCATGCGTCTCTCTCTCTCTCTCTCTCTGTCCCTCCTACAGAGCACCCAGTTGCCCAGGACACCCCACCACGGTGAGTACCCTGCCTTCACCCACCCCAGTCTAAGTCCCCACTGGCCAAGGCACAGAATTTCCAGGGCTTGTAGCATAAGGAGAAAGACCAGGCAAAGCGGCAGGGCTGGGGTCTGGGCCTCGACCAGGGTTTTGACCTTCCCTACAGCCTTCCAAAGCCCTGCTCTTCAGTCTCCCAAGTCCTTCTTGGCCAGACCAGGCCACGCTGACCTGCTCTCCCCACCCACCCCTCCCCCAGCATTTACAGTCTGGGCCTCACACTGGCATCTCTCCCAGACCTGCCTGGTATCCTGGTGCCAAAGGGTCATTTTTCTGTCTTATGTCCGCGCCTACATGTGATTCCTAGAGGCTGTGTTTCCTCTTGGGCTCCCCAGCATTCTAGAATAGGCAGACTCACACGAAAGCCCGCTCGGGGCGCTCATTCTGCCCCAGAGCTGAAGGCTTCTCAAACAAAATGCCATTAGAGGTTCAGAGGGTTTAAGCTAGGACGTGCTGACCCTGCAGTCCAGGCTCCCCTTCTCTCTCGGTGTCTGTTCAAGTGAAGGTCTGCGTGGAAGAAAGAATCCAGTTCACTGACCCTGGGCGGGGTGCCTGGGATGCTGGGGAGTGGGGGGGCAGAGCCCAGTCTTTCAGGGCCTACTGGACAAGCGCAGGCGTTCCCATAACTTGGTTCCTGCCTGTGCTCTGAGGGCGGGAGAAGCCGTATTACCAGCCCAGGCCCCTCTCTCTAGCTGCCCGGCCAGCCATCCCCCCCGTTCTTGAAAACCCATGCAGTGTCCCTCTGCTCCGCTAACTGACTAGCACACCGAGTCACCTCCGTCAGAAGGCCGAGGGGTCAGGTAGACACTGCGTACTTGCTGTGTACAGACAGCGTGCCGGGTGCTAACACTAGAGCGACATTCCCCAACGTCAGAAAACTCACGTTTTAACGTGGAGAATTTGATAAACACGTGAACAAGATCAGCTTCGATTCTGAAGTATGAGCTGTGAAGGAAGTGGACAGGGCCACGCAGCAGAGCCCCGGGAAGGGAGGCGGCCGCTGGGCCCGTCACAGGCTCAGGGGAGACCGGGAAGGGGCCGATGGGAAGTCACTGAGTGCTGATGGGAAGCACCCGGGGGGCCCCACCCGAACAAGGCTGCGGGCCAGGAGCCTTCCGAGGAGGCGGCAGGGCGGAGGTGGAGAGGCGGGCAGACGGAAGGCAGGGCTGACCAGGGGGCCGGGTGGGCAGCACGAGCGAGCGAGGCAGCCAGGGTGCCCAGCATCGGCGCTGTAAGCCTGGGTGCCACTGACTGAGATGAAGACGACAGGGAGGAGGGGGTGCAAGCGCTCACACATAGGTCTGAGATGCCCGCGGGAGAAGTGAGGAGAGCAGCTAGAGCTCGGGGCCACGCCTGGGGAGATCAGTGTGGGGGGCACCAGGCACAAGACGGTTGTTGATGCCACCGACGAGACCCCTTCCAGAACATAGTGCCTCTGGGGTCTGGGAGGCCGTCCTCCATGGTAGCCTCCTCCCTGCTCCGCAGACGCTGCTGCCCGCTCTCCTGTCTCCAACCTTAGTTAGTCCCCACGCTCTGCTGGGTCTAGGCCGGGCGCCCATTTCAACTCTCCTTCCTGCCTGTGGCTGGGGCATGGCGTGGGCAATTGGCGGCGCCCCCACTCGTGTATTGGGTGGTCAACGCACTTTCTCCTGTCCACAGGCCCCAGGCTCAGGAGTCCAACTATGAGAATTTGAGCCAGATGAGCCCTGGGGACCCACCAGCGGCCACATGTGTACCATGAGGAGCCCCTTGGCCACTGGCATCCACTTGTACCCCATGAAGAGCAGAGGCCAAGGCCAAGCTTGGCTGGGACGGCCCTTCCTGGCTCCCAGCCACATGGGCAGCCCCTGGCTGGGCGACCTCCCACAAAGGATGTCAAGATCCTGCTCACAGAGGCTCAGTGGTCTCCTATAAGGATGTCTGTCCCAGAGCCCCCGGGATATTTATGTCAGTGGGACCAGCATTTTGAGTGTGTGTGCACGCGCACATGCGTGCAAGCTCCAGCATGAAACTCACGGACAAACTCTCGCCCTTTCCTACACAGAGCGTCATAGTAGAACAGACAGGGCTGGGGCTTCTGAGGCTGGGGCTGCGTAAACCTGTGGTCCCAGGAACATCCACTCAGCGGTGAGGAGAAGCCTGGTCCCCCTGCCTCCCAGGGTCTCCTCTGTGACTGCCCCCCACCCTCTGCCCACCTCTTACCCCATCGGCTGCTCTGTGCTCCTTGAACTGGGACCCCCTGGGAACCCATCGTCTCCTGCATCTGGGATCCACTGCCCTCAAGAACCCAACGCTGAGAGGCTAGGGGCCAGTCTGGGCTGCAGGGTCCCATGGATAAGGCAGCTGCAGCAGCGACCTCTCCCTATGACCCACACCCTCCCCGGACGTGTGAGGTCCAAAAGCACCAGCAATTTCACGGCATTTGCCCGAGGCCTCTCAGGCTGACTTTGTGGGGTGCTACCTTCCACATTCACACGTCAGTGCGAGTGTGTGCATTTTAGCTCCCGCAGTCCCTGGGGTCAGGAGATGGGGGGAGCAGGTGTGCTTGAGACCCGGGCAAGCTGGCAAGAGGAAAGGGCCACAGAGCTAGGGGACTGAAGAGGCGATGGGGACAAACTTTCCCTCAGAGCTTTTCCCAAAGCTAGGCTGGTAACCCAGAGTGGGGAGGGGCCCTGGTTCATGCTCTTCTGGGGAGGTGGCCTGAAGTGGAGGGATCTTCACAAGTTAATAAGCAGGGCAGTGGGTGGCGAGGTACCCTTGCTCACCAGAGCCTTCGCCAGGGCCTGTGGGTGTCAGCAGCCCATGGTTAACTGGGGATCCATCCAGGAGGCTGTTTGAACTGCCAAAAATGCGTCAGCATTTGCACCTCCTTGTACGAGGACATCTGCATGGAGGGTCCTGTATCACCAACGAGGAAGCCAGGGACACGGGGGTGGTGTGTCTTGAAACATCTGCATGGACTTTGAGGCCTGTTTTGCAGCCAAGAAAAACTGTGACAGCAGTTACTTCTTAAGGGTCCGTTTTGTGCGAGGAATTGGGCCAGGCGTGTGTACAGAAATGAGTAAGGGGCGTCTATCAGTCAGTCTGGGCTCGGTTGTGCTGTGCTAACCGACAAACCCCCAAATCACAGTGGCTGAAAACAGGGTTTATTCTTACCGAAGGTATGTGCCCATCACGGACTGGCGGGGTCCCAGGCTCCCATGGATCCAGCATCTCTCGCTGTGGATTGTTGGGTTGGAGATAAAAAGAAAGCGCTAGAGGGCCTCCCACTTGAGAGCAGGACTAGCCACCTGCCCCACTCACCCTCAAGGGGCCGGGCAGTGAAACCTGCCACCACTTGGAGTGAGGAAACCCCGAAGCCCGGGGCACAGCCCTGAGGGCTCCACAGTAAGACTCCAGGATTTCTCACATTAGCGAGCCACGGACCAGTAAGTGGAAAATGCTGAAGGTGCTGTGGGAGCACACAGAAGGGATCACTGACCCAATCTTGGGAAGGCTTCCTGGAGGAGGGGACATGGAGATGATATGTGTGATGGGGAAGGATGGAAATTGGAAGGTTAAGAACAAAGGTGATTCTAAGCAGAAAGGACAGTCTGGGCAAAGGCCAGGAGGTCGGACACAGCATGATGTTGAAGCAGCTGAAAGTTGCTGGGACGTGAGCACAGAGGCACGGTGGCCGGAGCTGGGGCTGCAGCGAGAGGAGTCTCCCACGCGGTGGCCAGTGCTGCCCCCAACAGGGCCGAGAAGCAGAAGGGAGCCGGGCACCCAAGCGGCCCAGCATGGTGCTGACTCCCCGTACTGCCCAGCGGGATGCTTTCCCCAGCCTGGCGCTGCACCTGCCCCACACGCCCCACGCGCTCGGGCTGCGCTTTCCACCTGGACACCCTGGGCTCTCAGAGAGGGTCACCTGTGTCAGGAGCACCTGGGGAGCTTGCTCACATCCCCATTCTCAGTGCCACCTGGGCCTCCTAAAAGTGGGCTCTGAGGGTGGGCGCTGGAATCTTAAACAAATGCTCACGTGATTTTGCCCGTAACTTTGTATTGTGATCATTTTCCAACATGCGCACACACACACAAAGCTGAAAAAGATGATCATCCACATACCCGCCACCCACATTCAACAGTTACTACTGTTTGCCATATTTGCCATATTTGCTGTATTTCCTAATGTGCCCATTCACGTGTGTGTGCAAGTGTGCACGCACGTGTGCATTTGGCTGAACTATTCAAGAGTAAACCATTCAAGACACCACAGTACTTCACCTCTAACTACGTCAGCTGCATCTCCAGAGAACAAGAGCATGCGCCCCCATAACTTCAATGCCATTAGCACACTGGAGAAAATTAACAGTAATTGAACAATACCATCTTACAGCCCACATTCGTATTTACCCAGTTCTCAAAACGGTTTTTTTAGCTTGTTGTCTCTAGCCAGGGTCCAGTTGACTCCAGGCAATTCTTAAGCAAGCTAGAGTCTGAGAATGCCTCTGGCTGGGGCCCAACTTACAAGGGAGCGAGCTAACCAGCCAGTGTTCCTTCCTGTGGTGTGTGCAGCGTGAAGTAGGTCTTCCAGAAACTGCAGAAGCGGCATTCCTCAAAGAAATGTGCCTCTGATGGAGTGGTTTCACACGTGGTGATGGGCCGTGGGAGCACCCTGAGGAGGGACAGCAAAGGCTCCCTCTGGCACTCCCTCTGCCAATTTGCTCACAGGGCACAGGTGGCCTCCTGCTTGGTCTCCAGAGAACGCAGCTGCTCTAGGAGCAGAAGGGGAGGGTGGTGGTGGGGGGTGCACTTGGCCATCACCAGACCCCTGGGAGCCTGGATCTGCCACTGGGAGGTCTCCGTGGAGCAGAGCCACCGTCCTCCCCAACCAGACCATCTAAGAGCACAGGGGCTCTGTCATGGCAAGCAAGGACGAGAGCCACGGGCGACAGGTGCAGTCAGCACATGGTCCCTGGCCGCGGAGAGAAGAGACCCAGGAGACTTGGCGTTTTCAAGATCGGACTCCCCAGTGTGGCCCAGGGCACACAGCTAGAGCCTTCCCTTCCTCCGTACAGTGCTCTGGGAATGTGAGCCCGTTAGTCCCAAGAGGGGCTTCTGACAGCCTGGAGACTGCCCTCCTCTGCCTCCCACCAACTGCCCCCAGGGATGGGCAGCAGGAGGAAGAGATGACAATGGCCTCGGGTGCCCACCCAGATCCACCAAGAGCCCAACACACTTCCCTGCCCTTGAGGAGCTAACCTTTTATATCAAGATGTGTCTCCGTGAGATAATCTATACTGAAGGTAGGCCCTGCCTGGGGGGAAGGAAGTGACCCACAGTGGGGCTGAGTTTTCACATGCAGCCCCCTTGCTAGCCTGGACAGGAGAGCCGGGGGGCCCCACTGCTCACAGGGCCTCAGGCCAGTGGGACCTTAGAGACCCAGAGTCAGGGGTCCCAGGCTTTGTCCTACCGCCAGCCCTGGCCACTTAGGTCAGTGATACTGGTCCCCCACCCCCAACAACAGCCCCTCACATTTCCTGAGTGCCTCCACCTCTGTGACCTCAGGGAGTTCTCGCTATAAACCCAGGGAACAAGAAAGGCTGCAATTATCCTCATTTACAATGAAGGGAAAATCTCCGGGAGGTAAGTGGCCCGGTCCCAGCTCCTTCCATATCCATGTGCCGCCTCTTCTTTCCCAGGCTTTCCTCCTCTCCTGTGCCCTTCCTGTGTGTCCTGTTTTATGAACTAAAGGGAGAAAAACATGATCTGCCAGTATAAGGATATAGAATTACTTGGGATTGGAACTCTCTGGGTTTCCCTGGGTTTGGGCCCCCAGACCTTTGTCTTCCACAGTCATTTCCAAGTCGTGTGTGCAAGTGACCTCAAAGGGTCCCCAGAGCAGAAGATTGCCCAGACACTCACCTCCATACCTCCACCAAAGGAGGAGGAGGGGTGGGGGAGGCTAAGAGTGGGAAGGAGGGGGAAGGGAAAGGGAAGGTAGGCAGAGGGGCCTTAAGGAAGGTTGATTAAGAAGGACAAGGCAGGGAGCAGGTCAGCCTGGGAAGGCTGAGAGAGTCCAGGGTAAATCTGATCTAAGCCACAAATTTAGGCGATATTAAAATATGGCATCCAGGTGAGAGGCCATGTTGGTCACTCTGACCAACAGACCAGGGAATGCAGGGCTGTTTCCTACAAGTGTTTGGCTAACAAAGAAGACCAAGAGGGAAGAGGACTGTCTTCAGAAGAGGAGGAGTTTTCAGAGGAAGATGAAGACCTTCTCTATTCTGGGTTGCCCCACGGTGCCAGGGACCACTTCCGGCCCAGCAAGAAAGCCCACTCATCCAGAGACAGGTAACCGGATTCCTACACTACAAGGAGGTGGCACAGCTGGCCTCTAATCCACTTTCCAATCCCTTAATCCTGTGGTTCTACCTGGAAAAGGAAGCCAAACCCAGACAAGGGTGGAAGGGGCCCCGTCCCTGGGTGAAATTCCAAACTGATGTTACTCCCAAAAGTGCAGACCCTCCCACCATACTTTGGCCCATTCAAGATGTGTCTTACAAATGTTAATGAAAACGAATAGTAAGAGCGAGCTGAGGTTCCGAGATGCCCCACCCCCGCCCACCAACTCTGGCAGTGGAGGCTTCCTGCAGCTTCCGATCCCTCCTCCTCCTCAGGTCACAACCACGTCAGACTCCCAGGGCTCTCCTGAACTCTCTGGGATCACCAGGGGGCCTCCTGTCTAAGCCGGGCCTTAAGCCCCCAAGCATTAAATTCTCTTTGAGGCCTTGTGTGCGGTGTGGGGACTTATCACAATATATAGATTCTACCCACTATGAGCTTTCTAATTTCACCTTTTTCTTAGTGTGATTTCTGGATGAAAAGACCTGCCAACCAACTTGCCAAAAAATGAGACCTGTCCACCACATGTAAATGAAATTTGAATCTGGTTTATTTGCAGGATTTTACTTAAACCAATTCTCATTTCTCCCTGCTTATCATCATTACATAAAAACTCATCCTTTGTACAAGCCTGTAAAATGCTGAACAATGAATAGGAAGTGAATATTGCACATTTAATGAACAAATAAGTTGTGGTAAGGCCACACTAGACATGTGGGAAGGAAAGGGTTAAATACACTTAGGAAGTACTTGTTGCCCCATAAGTGATTTTAAGCCATTGAAAGAAAAATGAATTGTAACCTTCAGTGCTCAGACATACTACAACTGTACATTAAAAAATGAAAGTTATAATAAACAACATTCATTCCTTAAGTGATCTCATTACCCCAAAACAGGGTCAGTAGTTTATTTTTTTCAAATTATTGTCACCAGAAATCAGGAACCCATCTGGACTAGAGGAAGCATCAACTATAGTTTCTACAGGACACTTGGTGGCTCTATTAAGTGTGAGGATCACCACAGACCAGAATAAGGTCAGTATGAGCACCTGGCTGTAAGCCAAGAACTTTATCCAGCTCAACCCAGATTCAAACGGAAGATCAGTACGAGGATACTTAAAAGTAAAAAAGGCAACATGTTTGTTTCCAACATTATACTCTCCATTTTGTTTAATAAGACAAAGTCAACTGAGCAGAAAAAAATTCAGCTACTACCTCAAAATAAGCCATAAAGTTGGTCCAAAATGAAGAGGTGTTTTTTTTTTTTTTTTTAAAGATTTTATTTGACAGAGAGAGACAGCGAGAGAGGGAACACAAGCAGGGGAAGTGGGAGAGGGAGAAGCAGGCTTTCCGCTGAGCAGGGAGCCCGATGCGGGGCTCGATCCCAGGACCCCGGGATCATGACCTGAGCCGAAGGCAGACGCTTAACGACTGAGCCACTCAGGCGCCCCGTGAAGAGCAGTTTTAAAAGATAACATGCAAAGCCTTATTATAAGCTCATCGTGCTGACAGGTGAGAAACCGCGGGGCACAGCTGCTGAGAGCCGATGCTGTCCACGGGGCCCGGGCAGTGGACGTGGCTGCTGGGCCCTCGCCCAGGGCAGGGGCCAGGCGGAGGGCACGGAACGGAAGGAAGCACACTCTCCAGATGCCTGCAGGTGAGTGCCGCCTCCAGTTTGTGCCCTTGGAGCCTCATCGGTCTCCCAAGTCCTGGCCCTGCTACTCGTGGACACGGCCCTTTTGGAGTACCATGGGCTAACGCGGGCACTTTCCCCAAAGAGCAGCCCTGTTAGACGTTGGGTGGAAGAGGGCCAACTGAAGGCACTGAGCATTTAGCCTGAAGACTAAGAGGTGGACGGGTGGGGCCAGAGGTGTGAGGAGGTCTGGGAGTGTTGGAAGATTTGTCCCAGGAGGAGGAGGAGAGCAGCCCCGGCCTGGCCTGCTCCTGCCAAACCGTTACCGATGTTATCAGGCCAGCTTTGGTGCTACGTAAAGTAGAACTACAGAGAGAGCTGGTCACGGGCCACCTGGCCTTGCCCACGAAGGGGGGGACTACTGGCCTGGGGGCTGACAGGGAGGGGCAAAGGAGAGGCAGGAGGGGGTCAGCAGGGGAGGCTGAAGAGCAGGGCTGGGGATCCCTGCTGAATGAGAAGTGGGACCAGATGAGCTTTAATGTCCCTGCTGACTTCAGTCACGATTGTACAGCATTTGCTTCCTGCTCCAGAAGAAATCATTAAGCTTAGTATTAAAAACCCAGTAGAAAACGGAGTATCACCTTCATTCAAAAGGAAGAAAGGCCATGCACACTCTACCTTGTACAACGTGGACACACTGATTTTAGTAACCGACCGGGAGGAACGCGGTTGGCACTTGGTTAAAGTGAGGTTAGGCTACTCTGGGGGTTTGCATCTTCTGGATAGGCTTGCCCCCGCCTCAGAACTGACCGACTCCTGCAACCCCAGGAAGCAGATGTGACTGAGCCCCAAACAGATCATGAGGTTCTCTGCGTGCCCAGGAGCTTTGGGAACATGCGGGGTGGGTCCCAAATCCTCCAGCAGGCTGGGCACACACATCAGCACCACCTCCTGTCCTCAGCGTCTGCGCCTCCCAGCTTTCCGCCATGTTCACTTGTTACAGGCGTGGGAGACTGGAGAGGGAGACCGAGGGTGCCTCTCGGACCGAGCTCTGTGTGCTGCAGAGCTGGGGGAGACGGGGGGGGGGGGGGGGGGGGGGCAGAAGCAGGGGAGGTGCTCGTCATGGGCCAGGAAGCTGCCAGACATCCCTGTGGGAAGCAGGCGCCGCCGTGGCAGGTGCAGGGCAGGTGTGGGCAGGTGTGGGCCAGCGGGCCTCCAGCACTGCTCGGAGCGGGCGGCCTGGGGCCGGCTGGATCCGGACAGCCATGCACAGCACGGGTAACAGCGTCCAAAACCGGCCCCGCGCGCTCCGGAGGCCGACTACTTTCGGCAGCAAAGGCGCGTTACTCCTGAAAGCCAACGGGGAGGCCGGTCTCTTCCGCCCCAGGAGGCTGCAGCAGCGCTGCCACCTTCTGAAGCATCTCACGGTCTTTAAAGCGCTTTCTTGGCCCAGAGCAGCTCGGAGGAAGCAAGCGGTGAGCCAAGCTCCCACTGCTGCTAAGCCCGAAGGAGTTAGAGAGGAGGCGCTTTCACCGACCCCCTATGATAATCAAGTTCCAGTGTCAAATGAAATAGAGGACATCAGGCACGAAAGCCTGCACTGACTTTAACTGAAATACTTGACAAGATAGTGTGAGATCCCTAAAATTCGTAGTCTTGCCAGCTACAACCAAAGGTTGGTTTTATTTTTTATGATTTTTACAGACCAAACACATTATAAATATTACAAACCTTCGAAAATTAATAATCATAATTTTCTTTAAAATGTACATACTGTCACTCAAAAATGTTCACATTCTAGGATACCAATAATTACAGCTTCCTCAGAGAAAAGAGCACACAAAACCCCTCCTGTCATAAAATCTTTGTTGCCAAATCGGCCACCAAACTGCTCACAGCTTCTAACGCTTTCTTACACAGCACAGGGAAGCTGCCTGATGTTGAAAGTGGAGAGAAGCAAAACGCCCCAGGCTAGCTCTGTGACGCGCCCCTCTGAGACGGACACCTCGTGACCTACACAAACTCGGAGGCTGCACGGGGATGAGCTCTGTGAGGCAGAAGTGTTCTGTCCAACTAGAGAAGTTTGAAATGAAGAACAGCTCCTGCACACTTCCACATGTTGGGGGAAGTACTACATAGGGTATCTGAAAGAGAGATTATCACTCCGTTAACCTAGATCCCTACCCCCTGCTAAGAGCTCTCAGTTCAGATATTTTTAGGTAAATACCCTTGGGTTGTAAGTAACCCATGAACAGAAGACATATTATGCAAGCTGAACAAACAAAACCAATTCTGAGCCAAGAGAATTAGGAAGACAAAAGTCAAACTTTCATTCCAGGGGGCGAAATGACGAGAGCAAGAAGCTGGCGACAGAACAAGGCCACACTACAGAAAGGCGCTGGTAATGAGTGAACTGTTACCAACAACAGAAGGCACAGGGCTACTGGGAAAAGCCCAATTTCCATGGACAAGTGCTTCAGTAGGTGTGCTAACTTCATCTGACTTTATATGTGGAATGAAGAAACACAAAGGGACCCAGAGCATCAAGTTCTCAGACTCTGTCTCTTTCTAGACAGCAAGGCCTTCCGATTTCAAGCCTGATGTCTACAGGGACGGAGGAAGTGACCTGAGTGAGGGAATGGGCTGGGGTAGGCTCTACAGAGATTATGTCTACAGTGACCACACTCTCCACCATGGGGGTCATACAAAACACGCCACCAGTGTGCCACCTCGGTTGACAGGGATGTCTCCTTCTCCATAAGGACCACAGCTGGATGGAAATGGACTTGTCACCGTCTCTGCTGTCCACTACAATCAGGATCAAGTGGCCCCATTTTAGACAATGACTCACTTTAATTCAGCATTCTTATCTCCATTCTGCGGGAAGTGATACTTTTAAGCTGGTGTATTTCCCCACCTGTGAGAAATGCAGAAATTTTCTAAGCTTTTTTTACCTGGAAAGAACACAAATGGGGTTCAAAAGTGAGGGTTCTACATGACTCCCAAAGCGGTTAGATCTGGCACAGCAGTCTCGAGATTTAAATAAAATAGGGAAGACAGAAATGGAGACACAGAAGAGCTCTGTGCGAGGTCCTGTGAGGTGACTGGGGCTCCAGCAGCTGAGAGTGGTTCTGTGCCCAAGTGGGACTCAGTAAGTTTCTCCTGTCGGGTGAACATAAAAACTAAAAAGGCCCCAAGAAGTTTCAAGAACTAAGAAGACACACACACACGCACACGCACGGACACAGGCACACACGTGCGCATGCGCAACAGAATTATCTAGTGCCTCCCGACTTGCACTGCAGTCAACAAACTCATTGGCCAAACTGAGCTCTGCAGTGAGACTGAGCGAAGTTACTTGTGCAACAGCAAAGTTAAATGTAAACGTAAACAGCAACAGGGTTTCTTGAGATACTCAGTGTTACTATCGTATGTTGTCCAAATAATGCACTTCTGGATAGAGACAGTTAACAAGAAGAGCCAGGAAGCTTTTCCCATCTTGGAGGCAATGGCCAGGATGCTTTATAAATTGTGCAGCTTGCGATATCTGATCCTGGTATTCAACATACTGCTTATTTGACGTCAAGGATTCAAGAGCAGTCAGAGCCTAAGAGACACGAAGACAAGAGGGTTAACCATACAGACGCAGACAATGTGATTCCCACAGGTGCAGCACACCTGCCATTACCTGCTACGACCGTGAGCCTCCGGGAAGCTTACAGAACTACAAGTCCCAGAGGCAGGCACTCACTGATTAACCACAGCGGAAGGAAGCCAGCAACTCAAGTTTCTCCGGCTTCGGCCGCCTTCCACACCCAGCCCTCCCTCCTGCTGGCCTGTGCTGTTTCCCAACCCTTCTGCACAGAGAGCCCCTGCTGCAAGCCCCTTAACCGGAAATCCCAGGTGCCAATGGCCTGTGCATGTTTGATTTGCTGTTGGGTTTGTTCTCACGTTACAAAATCATGTCATACTAAGCTAACTGTATGAAATTCAAAAGAAACCAGTGTCTAAGTGCTGCTGAGGATAAACAATAAGGTAGCTCGATCAGTCAACAAACGAAGTACAGATCAAGTTCCTCCGGCTTTGCCCGCCAAAAACAATGAAGGTGCTCCCATGCCCTTTTTTTTTTTTTTTTTAAGATTTTATTTATTTATTTGACAGAGACAGACAGCAAGAGAGGGCACACAAGCAGGGGGAATGGGAGAGGGAGAAGCAGGCTCCCCGCCGAGCAGGGAGCCCGATGCGGGGCTCGATCCCAGGACCCTGGGATCCTGACCTGAGCCGAAGGCAGACACTTAACGACTGAGCCACCCAGGCATCCTACGCCCCTCCTTACATTCTTTAATCCCATAATTTTAAAATTTCTTTCCTTCATAGTGGGAGAAGTGAAAAAGACTATTTGGAGAAAACAAAATCAGGGTAACAGTTCTTAGTGTAGGGAGAGTTTTATTTTCCAGCTATTCAAGTCCACCCACCCCCAGGATGGTGAATGTGCCCATCAAGTCCCCCACACCTTCCCCTCTCAGAGATGCGACCACTGCACTAGCGAATATAGATTAAATGGTGGAATTTGCTTGGCTCAGTAAACAAGGACGGAGAAGATTTTGAGGATGGTAAACGAACTGGCAGCTTAGAAGTAAATGGCCAGGGGGTTGGAGACAGAAGTCTTGGAGTGGAAAATAAACTGATCTGGGTACCAACCTAACTGCTGTGTGAAGAGAGTTCAACCTAAGAACAGGAAGCACTGGGCTTGAGCGGGAGCCATGCCTGAAGGGAACGCAGGCAGAGAGGCGAGGCTCAGGGGACCTCCTCTGATGCAGGAGAGCGTCAGACGTCTCAAATATACCCGGAAATGGGTCGTGCTGACTTCACAACCGGCCCTTGGGACAGTCACCTGCCCACCTGTGGGGTTCAGACATGGCTCATCGATGACTTTGGGGACTCAGAGAGCAGTTGTGAGGTCAGTTCGGGACAAGTATCAGGTCTTACATAGACCAAGAAGCCTGTGAAGACCCTGCCGACTGGATCACTGGACGCGTGCTCTCGATACCCAGGAGGTCATCCGGCCCGGGGCTAGCCTGGACACCGCAAGGCTGCAGAGGAGGAAGAGCTGGGGGTGCAAGCGCCAAGAGGGCGAGGCGGAGCCACACGGCTGAGTGATCCCGGCCCAGCACGTGCAAGCTAGCGCGCCCGCCCCTCTGCGCTCCCCTTCCTCACCACACACAGCCAGGACAGGAACCGTCCCTAGCGTCCAGGGTGGTTAGGAGGGTCTGTCCGGTGAGTGAAGACTTACAACAGGGCCTGGCACGTAGTGAGGACTCAAGAACACTAGCCATCGTTTTATCTGAGCCACCTCTGTACGCACGCGGCCAGCCTGTTTGCAGGTGCAGGAATGGGACCGCTGCCACGTGGCCGTCCGTGTTCTAGAACAAACTAGCATTTCTCACAGCTGCCGCTCTGTCCGGGTTTGGTTATTCCAACAGCAGCCAGCAGTGGTCAAGCTCCAGACTCACAAAACAGGAGCTGCTTCCTTGGTTCCCAGCTACAGCTCAGCTAACCTCACTGGTCTTCACTGTGGCCCCAGCTTCTGGGCCAGTGCCCAGCCCCCAGCAGGTGGCCAGTCAGCACACCACGTTCATCAGAACCAGATCTGATCCTGGACTGGCTTGCCTGCCCACGGCCTTGCTTCTTCTACGACGGCAGTGACAGTGCTCGAGGCAAGTGCCTACAAAGACAGTTTAACGCAGGCAGGTGCAGTAACCATTTTCCGGGGCGCAGAGCATACTGATGAGCTACTCCTGAAAACCACAACCTCGTGTTGTCGTCGTGTGTAAGGACCAGTGCTGCCCCCTCCCCGCCTCCTGGGCAGGTCAACGGAAGAACTCCTACCCAGGAATTGTAAAGCTGTTTTTACTGACCTGCTGAGCTTTTGGGGTCAGATGTAATTCCGTGCCAGGCTTCAAACGGATCTGATCCTCGGAAGGAACCTGAACTGAAAGGAAGGCGGCCATGCCTCGAGCAACCACTCGGAACCTTAGGTGTCAAGGAGAGGTCAGAAGTAAATGACTATTAAAGTAAATATTTTAAAGTAAATACCACATTTTCTCTTTAAAAACAAGATAAACACATTTCAGACCTAATGTTGCTGTTAGCATTTGCAGGAAAATCTTAAAAAAGATCCAGAAGGAGGATTAATCTTCCTTTCCATTATACTGCCCCAACAATGTAAGCAACATTCAGACTCAAGAATAAAAGTGCTGCAAGCATGTAGAATAACTGGAACTCTCAGACATTGCTAGTGTGAATGTGAGAGATGGTGCAAGAAAATAGGTTCTGGCAGTTACTCGGTAACAGAGTAACCATATGACCCAGCAATTCCACTCCTGGGCATATACCCAAAAGAACAGAAAACAGGTGTTCTAACAAAAATTTGTAAACAAGTTTCATAACAGCACTATTCACAACAGCCAAAAAGTGTAAACGACCCAAATGCCTATCAACTGATGAATGGATAAACAAAATGTGGGACATCATATACTGGAATATGACTCAGCCATTAAAAGGAGTGGGGTACGGATTTATGATAAAACATGGGTGAGTCCTGAAACTTCATGCTATGTCACAGAAGCCAGACACGAGGCCACATACTACATGATTCCATTTATATGAAATGTCCAGAAGAGACACAATAAAGTCGGAAAGTCAATTAGTGGCTGCCAGAGACGCAGGGGACAGGGGTCTAGGGAGTAACTATGTCATGAGCGTAGCATTTCCTGCTGGGGTGACAGAAACGTGGTGATGGCTGCAACATTGTGTATGTACTAAATGCTACTGAATTGTACATTTTAAAAGAGCTGCCATGATAAATTTTATGTTACGTGTAGTCTACCACAACTTAAGTGAATCAAAATCACATACTCCTGCTAAATTCTATCACAAACAAAGAGACATGGTGTGAACCCGTATGGACTGAGTGATTCCCAAAGTTGCAACAAGAGGATGGGCTATTCCACAAGAATGCTGACATGAGAATGGGAGGAGAACTTGTTTCAACACTGATAAGGGCTTGGAAAGAAAACCATTATGCAAATAAGTAAGATAAAACGGGAGGCTAGTGGCAAATTCTTTCATGCCTCGGAATTTTTTAGCAACAAAAACTTAAGACTTGTTTCTCATTACTTATCCTTATCCGTTAACTTTAACTCATCTTGACTTACAGTTCTAGGAGACTGCCTCGTGGGGCCTGGGCAGCCCTGACAAAGTATGCAATGAAGCAGCTAACTGGGGTATTTTCACCTAACCCTGCACACCGTCACTGGCTCAAAACCAGACAGAAATCAGCAGTGTGGTCAGGTTACAAAGCCAAAATACAACAAGAGATACTACTAAGAAAACATTCTTTAAACGTGAAAACAAAGTTGTTTTAAAATGAGAAAAAAAGGGCGCCTGGGTGGCTCAGTTGGTTGAGCAACTGCCTTCGGCTCAGGTCATGATCCTGGAGTCCCTGGATCGAGTCCCGCATCGGGCTCCCTGCTCGGCAGGGAGTCTGCTTCTCCCTCTGACCCTCACCCCTCTCATGTACTCTCTCTCATTCTCGCTCTCTCAAATAAATAAATAAATCTTTAAAAAAATAAAATAAAATGAGAAAAAAAAATGTTTTTGTAAAATATAAAGATGTAATCAGGTGATTTTGTTCCCCCCCTTAATCTATAGGGGAACCCTAGCCTAGCCCTTAAGTCAAAAAACCTCCTAAAGTATTACAATCCCGAAGTAGGAGCAGAAGCTGAGGCCCACTTAGAAGGTGCTTCCTTACCTGTTAGACAGGGGTGACTTCCGGCCCAGCCCAATTGCCCCCAGAATCCCAGAGCTGAGCCTCTCCTCGGCCAGCAGGCTCAGCCTGCTCTGAAGCATGAGCAGAATTCGAATGACAGATTCTGTCAAGACCGAGTCACTCTGCTCCGCTTGAATCAGGGACAGCTGCAGGACTTGGTGCCACCACAAAAACAGCTTGGCCTCTTCCTGCGTGGAGCTGGGGGGGGGGCCAGGAGGAAAATAAAATTAGAAGTGGATTCTTTCCGCTCCCATTTAACTGAAGTCCACATTTGAATTTTAAGTACAGGGGACATTCAGTACTTTAAAAGCTTAGGCTAACAGATAATATTAATATAGTGAGTGTGATACGGCAGCCACGGGGCCAACAAACCTTGGATACACCTGTTCCAACCACTTGCTTAAGATGAGCAGCACCTTCATGTCGTTCCTTAGAGTCTGTTCACTATTTAAACACTGAAGCAAGTAGACATAAAGAGTCAGGTAACTGCCGAGGGACAGGCACTCCTGCAGAAATTCTTCTATGGTAAGCTCAGGAACTTGAAGGGACACCAGAATGGGGCCCCATCCTAAATTCTGATTGAGGGAACCTAAGAAAAGAGCACCAAGAAAAGACAGCAAGATAAAAACAGGAATCAAATTATTTAACTGCTGTCATGAATCTTTTCACTTTAGGCTTCATGTCAAGCCCATGGGACCCCGGAGGCCACCCAAGGGAAGCATGCCGGGAGGCTCAGACTGGAAAGCCCGCACGCTGAGTGCCTATCCCCTGCTAGCCACCGCGGAGGGGCCGAAGTCAGAACTGAGCACTGTGTTCTCAGAGTCACCCTTCTCATCATTTTATGGTCATTAAAATCGCAGGCAGACACTGCCTGTCCGGTCATCCAAGGGTCTTAACTTCATCTAATACCTTTTAAGTATGTTATGAAAATGTATGCTTTTCCAAGGAAAATTATTATTCTATCCAACTGAAGTATTTCCCCTTTTTAAAGCTTAGCTGGATTCATCCCTCAACGGAAATCAATTGAAAAAACATTTTTTTTGATTTTGGTAACATGAATGAATTTGAAGCAGGAGTTTATCCTTATGGTTCTCAAGTCTTTGGGGGGAATGACGGTGGGGAGATGGTGACATGCACAGCACCTTCCATGGGGGGACATGGGTACAGGTCATGGTCTGCCAAGAAAGGGCAGGGGCAGGTTATGGGCACCTCCCGGCATTCTTGCTCTAACACCCTTCTTTCTCTCCTACTGTGTGCACAATGTATATCTGGGTATCAAGAGTTGAGTAGTGCTAATCCAAGCCATTCTTCTTAACCAGACCACGTTGTTTCCAGAATCAGAGTTTAGAGGGAGGTTAGGGAATAAGAAAGATTTTTAAAAGGTAGGGGTGGGGTGGAGATTGACCTCTTTGTAATAGTTCAAAAGATGTGACAAAAAGCAATAAAAAACTTATATGAAAACTCATTTTAACAAGTGACAAAAATAGAGAAAAATAACACAGTGGGTCTTATTATAAAGATTCTGGTTTAGGGGCGCCTGGGTGGCTCAGTTGGTTAAGCGACTGCCTCCAGCTCAGGTCATGATCCTGGAGTCCCGGGATCAAGTCCCGCATCGGGCTCCCTGCTCAGCAGGGAGTGTGCTTCTCCCTCTGACCCTCCCCCCTCTCATGTGCTCTCTCTCTCTCATTCTCTCTTTCAAATAAATAAATAAAATCTTTAAAAAAAAAAAAAAGATTCTGGTTTATAGCATTTGTTTTGAAGAGCATAGCTAGGCCTGTGACTTACACGATGTGCCTCCCATAAAAGGGCCGGTCTGACATCGAAACCCACTGTAAAGTGAATTAGAGGTTCCCTCCACGGAAACATGGTTGTGCTGACAAACATGGGCCATAGGTTCTCACGCTAACTGCAGATCTTTGCAAACAAAACAAAATACATACTGAAGTATCAGCTACATTAACAAGGAAATCTGCGTGGCGCAATCACCCGCTGGGGAGGGTCTGGAAAGATACCTCCTTCTGACAAAGCTTTGCTCTCGCCTGGAAAGGACCAACCTAAAGAGAGCTTCGCACCTTCTTTGAAGTAGGCAGTGATGCAGGCTTCCGTGGTCTCGGCCATGTGGCGGACGGAAGCCAGGCTCTGACAGGCTGCTGTTAAGAGGGGCAGGACCACCAGCCCGTGCACTTTCTGTCCAATCCAGGTCCGGACACTGCCCCGGAGGAACTCTGCCGTTGGAATAGTCGCATTGTTCATCATCATTAGGACTTCCATAAAGAGGCTGCTGAGGGCCATGTGGCGGGTTTGGCTGTCCATGTCTGCGGGGTAACATAGACACACTCCGTGAGAGGCTGCCGGAACGGCGACGTGAATGTGAGCAACTTCGGCTGCACTCTGGGCACATTTTACAATTTATAAATACTCTGGATGGTGCTTAGCTGGTAAGGATAGGATGCAGCACATCAGTACTTTGTAAGGGCACAGTAGGAACCACTGAGAGACCCCTGGTTACAGCAGGTGGCCGAGCAATACTTTAATAAAGAGACCTATCAAGTTGGCATGAAAGACTAAACAATTTATCAGAACATGCTTACTTAGACTTTAGCTTCCAAACTTTGCTCATTTGGAAAACCAAGCAGGCAGATCTCAGAAGTCACCTGATAAACGGACTAGAAAAATACCTCCACCCTCACCACTACCAAAGCTATCAATATTCTGGAGTGATTTACAAGGAATAGAGGTTATTACTTAAAACAAAACATAAAAGTAAGGAAAAGAAACACCTTTTAAACCTTCTTAAAAGAGCTCCTAACTTAAACAGCTCTTATTTCCTTGTTTTTTAAATGGAAAAAGAAAAGTGGACAGACTGATAATTTAAATGGGTCTTTCAAAAAAACTGAGATGAAAAGAGCACAGCGTATAAGAAAAAGCAAATTCATTGTACAAGACACCTGCGAATGAGCAGGTTACCGAGGTAGATTCCTTCCTCACATCCCAAAACAGAAAACCTTTTTCGCAGGCTAGAGTTTTTGCCAACTACTTCTAGCTCTCCTTAAGCTAGGTAGAATTTTTTTAATAGAACAGAAGTGGGGCTTTGTCACCACAAGCCTCCCGTATTGACATCAGCGAGGGCAGGGGAGTCTGGGTCGTACTTGCCACACCTATCAAATCAAACTCGCCCACCTGCAAGTGTTAAATAAACTCTAACAATGTTACTGTAAGACCTACTTATTGTGATCAAAGCAAGGACTTCAGGAACCAAAGTTCTAGACATAAGTTCAACAATGTCTATGTGTGAGTGCATATTTTGTCATGTATTCCTACGGGTATGGGCATTCTTCTCTAAGGCCTTATCTGTGAATTTCAGCTCAAAAGCAACTGTAATTTTAATGTGCCTTTTAATGATGACTCACAGGAACAAAAAACTCATACAGTAAGCCTCCTAACAGATCCCACCCTCTCCTCTCCTCTCCCTATGCATCATCAACACAGCCAACAAATGTTTTCTTAAAAACCAGATCTGATCCCGTCACTCTTCTGAGGAAGATCTTTCTAGAACACCCTCCCCTCCTGTGCTTGGCCAGCTATTATCTGACCTTCACGGCCTAAACACATTTGATCAACTCTAAAACCCTTTCTCTGGTATCGCCTGCTAATTTTTCTTTTTTTCTTTTAACACTGACTGGGTGTTACTGGTTAGAGGGGCTGATGCTAAAAGGTCAGGTGCACTATCCCATTTCATGCTTACAACACCCATATGAAACAGGTATGACTATTATCCCCACTTTGCAGATGAAGTTATAAAACTTGTACAAGATCACACAGCAGGTGGAACACCCAGGCAGTCTGGTCCCAGAATCAGCTTTTTACCTACCATATTATATACCCTGTGCAGTAAATCTACATTGCAGGTACGTACAAGAAATTTCAACTGATTTTTTGTTCACCAATTCTAACCAACTCAGACAGTGACACCAGCTTTCAATTGCTGTGCTTCCCTAAATACTACAGTTGCCTATTTTCAAACAGTATTTAAGTAAACATTAAAACGTCTGTGAGATTCATCCACGTCGTGGCAGATTTTCACTGTTGCATTCTATTATACAAATATACTACAACAATTCATCCTTTCTACTGAACACACGGGTTGTTTCCGGTTTTGGATCCCCTCAGATGCATAACTACAGTCACTGTTCACGTTTCCCAGGGCACAGGTGCATTTCTTTTGGAATATTCCAAGGAGCGGAATTCTGAGTCGTACGATATGCAAACTAGTAGATGACAGATGCCAAACTTTTAAAACTGGTTGTACCAATTTCCTCTGTGATCAGCAGTACATGAGTTACATTCATCCACATACTTGCCAACTTTGTATCGAAACCTTCTTAACTGTACTCACTATGGTGGATGTGTCATCTTTTAATTTGCATTTCCCTGATTATTAACATGGTTAGCACCTTTCTGTAAATATACTGGTCATTTAGATATTCTCTTTTGTAGAATGTCAATTCAAGGGTCTTGTTCATTTTTTCTACTGGCTTGTCTTTTTCTCCCTTCTTTTATCCAGTGTGATAATTTTAGTCACTCATATTTAATGTTAATTACTGATGTAACTGGGTCTAAATCTACAATCTTACAATGTACTTTCCATTTACTCCCCAAATTCTACATCCCTTTTTCTCTCTTTTACTTCATTATTTCTTATTCTATTTTCTCTCTTTTGGTCTGGAAGTTAAACACCGTTCCAACATTCTTACAGTGGTTGCCTTACCAATTACACATGCACTCTTGACTTTTCAAAAGTCTGATGTTAACTGGCTCCAAGGCAGTGCCAGGGCTCTGTAACATTCTAACCCCTACCAGCTCTCCCTGCTGGTGCCTTATCCCCGGGAGGCATTTCTATTATTATTGTTTTAGACAGTCATGTTTCATGTAGACTCACCTACACGTTTATCTGCCACTTTCATTGTTCTTCACACTCTCTCTCTTCCTACTTATCTTCTCCGGATTATTATCTCTTTCTTTCCACAGTCTTTGATCGTATTTTGCTATTCTTTTTATAACCTCTTAAGCTGGATTCTTATCTTATTAGCCTTCATCTTTTTAACATTTTAATATAAGCACTGAAGGCCAAGAAACTAAGTCCCACTTTAGCTGCACCCCACAAGTTTGGATGCATTCTGTTTTTTTATCCAGTTCCAAATCTTCTAAATTTCTATTATGACTGCTTCTTTGGTCATCATCAGTTAGTTAAAAGTTTGCTTCTTAATTTCCAGGGTATAGTTATATTTTGTTACTGATTCCTAAGTTGACTGCATTGTGGTCTGTTGCACACCAGTCCTTTGGGATTGGTGGAGACTGGCTTTAAGCTGAACAAGGGTGAGGTTCCTTAGCCATTGTGTAGGGGACTCATCCCGCATATACAGGGCATATCTTGTCCACGTGCTCACTATACCCAGTGGGGCTCTTCAGACTTCCTAAAGCCTTACTGATTCTCCTTCGACTTCATCAATTACTGTGAGATGTGTGGCAAAATCTCTTACTGTGAGTGAATCTGACTTTTCTCTTCCTAATTTTGTCAGTTTTCACTCAGGTATTTGCAGTTGCTGCTGTATTATTAGGTACAAATACATTTATCATTAATATATGCTCCTGGTGGATTAAACCTTTTATCAATTTCCCATGACTCCATCTCTACGATAACGCTTTTATTTATTTTTTGTCATGCAACTTCAAAGCAGGGAAACACCCTAAAGATCACCTGGCTCTGTAATGCTTTCTGCTTCACAGTCCTATCTGCCCAATATTAATCTACTACGCCAGCTTTCTATTTAATAATTGCCTGATATGATTGCCTTATAGAAAGCTTTCTATATCCTATGCTCTATATGTACTTTTTAGAAACAGCTTAAGGCTGGATGTTCATTATTAATTCAGTCTGACAAACTTTTGTCTTTTAAGCTGAGTACCTGTCCATTTACATTTGCTGATGTATTTAAATTTTACCATCTTATTTTGGTTATTTTTCTCACCTTCTCCAAGCTTCTTTTCTTGCCTTCTTTGGACTGAATGCACTTTGGCCATTCCTTTTTATCTCCCTCCACTAACTTGGAAATTATACATTTTATTTCTATTCTTTTAGTGAATTTCTTAGCAATTTCAACATTCACATTTTACCAAGATGTAAATTTAATCAATTTATTGACCCTCTCAAACCATACTAAAACTTTAGATGCTTTTAAGTCAACCTCCTTCCTAACTTACATGTACTTGTGGCCATATAGTTTAATTTTTGCTTTTGCTTTTTAAACCCATAAATGCATGGTTATGTAGTTTTCCATATGTGCCTAACATTTTACTACTTTCTCTGCTTACTTTTCCTGCTTATAATCCAAGCCTTTTTACTTGTGATCACTCTACTTCTACCTAAAGAACATGCTTTAGGATTTCCTTCAAGTGATGTCACGGGGACAAACAATCTCAGTTTTCAATGAAAGTATCTTTACATCACCCTCATCCTTGCAAGATGGTTTCTCTTAGTTTACAGCTCCAGGTTACAAGTCACTTCCGCACAGCACACTGAAGCTGTTCCACTGTCTTAGCTTCCTTTGTTGCTACTGAGAAGTCAGCAGTGTAAATGTTCCTTTGTAGGTGACCGTCCGCCCTCCTTCCTGGGTGTGAGAGTTCTTTCCTTTGTCCCTGCTGCTCGTGCAGCATCACCACAGTGTGACAGTGTGTAGAGATGTGCATTTCTCGGTCCTGCTTAGGATCTGCTGGGTTCACTGAATCTAAGGAGTGTTGTGCTCATCGGCCCTGGAAAATTCTCAGCCCTGCTGTCTCTCCGGCTATTCCTGCCTCCCCCCAGGTCTGTCTGTCCTCTCCGGGAATTCTGACTGGATGACTGCATGTATGTTCCATCTTCCCGGCCTGTCCCCCAGGCCCTCTAACCTCGCTTCCATGTTCTTTCTCTGTCTGTCCTACATTCTGGACACTGTGTTCATATGTATTCTCCAGTTTACTAATTTTCTCTTCAAATGAGTTGAACCTGCTGTTAAACTTACCCATTAAGTTTTTATTACAAGTGCTATATTTTACATTTCTAGAATATCGGATTCTCCCTCAAAGCTGTATATTTCTATAATTTCTTGCTCCTACCGACATTTTCAAATTTCTCTTATTTTATTAAATAGATAAAAATACTTTTTTGTTTACTGTACTAATTATTTCAGTATCTTAAGTCGTTCTCTGCTGACTTGCTTGTGGTGCCTTGTTTCCTTGTGTGTTTTATGACTTTTTCTTTTTTTACTATGAGTTTATATTCCTTGGAACTCTGAGGCCAGAGCTGAAGACGGGTTTCTCCAACGTGGCTCTGTGGGTGCTTTCCCCTGGGCATCTAACGGCACTGCCGACACAGAACAACTTGTACTCAGTTCCCAGGCTGAGGGATTTTTCTCTGGACAGTCTAGGTAGTAGGAATTTGTGCCTCAGACACACATGAGGGTCAGCTTATGCCTACTGATTTTCAAAAGAGACAGCTCTCTTTCCCCACCACACAGATATCTGACCCAACACCCAGGTCAAACGGATTATTGACTTTGCTCTCCTCTCCCAGGGGCAGGTTTATCTCTGGCTCATCCTTACACTGAAGATGCCATCCTGTGGGTGATGCATACGAGCTCCTTTCAGGCCCCCATCTCCAGCGGCCCTGGGCTTTAGTGCTCCCCTACCCCACCCCAGTCTAAGATGGTCCCGTAAAAGCCTCCAAGGGGGAAGCCAGCTTCAGCACTCCATCTACGTTTATGGGTTCCTCCTTTCACTTAGCTTCTGACTTCTAAGATTTCCCACCACCTCATGACAAGTTTCATTGTCGGTTTCCTAAAAACATTTTGTCCAGCATTCTTAGTTGTTTTCAGCAGAAGCAGTCAGGATACCCAGTCCACCAAACTGCCAGGAGCACAAGCTCTCCACACACAGTTTCTTTACACGTCTACAGGTGATTCTGAAGGGCTCTCCCAGTGAAGAGCGAAAGCATCTCGGGATGCTGCTCACTGGCCGTCTCTGGTTCCCTCCTACTTATTAAATCCAGCTGTCTAGCTTAGCCCTCAGTCCCGTTAATCTCACACCAGCATCTGACAGTGTCAACTCCTCCTCAAGTTCTTAGCATTTGTCCCTCCCCTGGTGCCGACATGACAGTGTCCCTGGGAGCCCATCCTCTCTCCAAGCACCACTTCTCTGGGAACAAGACTGAAAGTGTACTGCCCAGGCCCCTGATCTCACAAGAGCAGGGATTCACCCACTGAATGGAGACACGACGGCCCATGGGCCACTCACCAGGTGGGTTAAAGACGATGATATCATCCAAGAGCTTAGACATCTCCGTTTCTAGGACTGCTAAGGTGATTTTTCCATTTTGTTCCAGGGAGCTGAGGAACTGAACCATCTGATGAGTGAAGGCTCGGCACTTTGGAACTGCATCCTGACAAATAATAAAAGGAGCATTCATTTGAATCCATGCGAGCAGTGTAAACTGAGTATCCCCTGGGGGCATGTAACTGCTCTGAATGCTTCGGGAGGGAGAGGCGAGGACATAGCAGGAGGCCACATGAAGACAGGTGTGTGTCTAAGGCCCTGTGTCTAGGGATATGCAAATCTGTGGTAACAATTACACCAGAACCCCCGTTCTCCCAAATTCCAGAACATTCTTCCTTTTTCACTACATCAATAGCAATGTTAATTACACATTGATTACTTGCCAGAAACTTTTCCAAAAACGTTTATATTCACTACCTAATTTAATTCTCACAACAACACTTTGAGGCAAAGTACTATTTCCAGCTCAGATGAGAAAACAAACGTCGGAATGGCCATGAGCTGGGGACCGGAGTTTGTCAGACCTCAAATTCATGCTCATAATTTCGCTGCCATTCTGCTGCCAGTGACATCCAGATCTCTAAACCAAAGGCTGCCGCCCTCAATCCTTTCGCCCTCTTGTTAGCGTGTAATATTGCTAGTAAGTGAAGGTTTAGCAAAAGAGGTAATTAAAACTAAAAGATCTGAGAGGCCAAAATAGGAGTACACAATGGTACACATCCTCTAACTCTTTCACCTGAGCCATCACAGGGTTTGAGACTGTCCTCAGCAGCACCTCCACTACCACAATCCTGAAGAACACTCTGCCTTTTAAAGCACCCACTCAACTTACAAGATGTTTCTGGCTGTCAGTAGGAATGGAAAGGCCCGCAGACACTCTTAGGAGCTTCATGATTAATTCTGCAGAAGATTCCTTTGCCAGGATGATGGCTGGCTGGTAATGGCTGCTGAAATAACTGAGCACGCTCTGGTAGGACACGGTATCCACGAGATGCCACGAGAGTGAGCTTGTTTGTCCGAGGAGGTTCAGGAGAGGTGAATCCTAAAAATAAAACACATATTCCTTTAGTTTCGGAGTTCTCAGTTTCCCAGAAATATGTATCTCTGGTCTATGGAGTGATCACTAAGATGGCCTATGATAAGCACTGAACAGTTAAGATGTCAAGTAAGTATCTACTGAAGCTAGAAGTACTAGTGAAAGTAATAACCAAGGTCTTGGCAAAAACACATTAACTTTAAAATCTGTAAGTATTCAGAACCCAATTTTCAAAGGAACTCTCAGATCTGGTGGCAGAACTAGCAATTAATGAGATGTAAAATAAAATTGACTTGCATTCTCTAACTCAGTGTGCTTCCCTTCATAACCCAGAATTAGATTATGAACGATCCCAGAAAATCGGGCGCCTAGTTGAAGGCACATCCCATATGCCAAGCAGATATTCACACTGACAGAGGTGTTAGGGAAACAAGTGAAAAGCTACAACCTCGTAGGGAGTGGGGCTCTAGGAAGCCTTGCCAAGTCTTCATCACAGGCTCTCCAAACTTACTGCTTGGTCTACCAGCTGATCTTCCTTTGCCAATAAAATCATCATGAAAAGGAGGCAGACAATCATGCTCCGGGTCTCTGGGTGGGGACTGGGGCTCCAGGCATCAGAGAGCACACTGACCCAGTTGACTTCGCACAGGACAGACCCCAAAAATAAGAAGCAGCTCTTAGGGCTTCCTCGTTCCACCTTAAAGGGAAATGAATCAAAATTAATGTTTTCCTTCAACCTGTCTGTGTTCTTAAAAATGTGTATAAATCAATGCTTACTAAATTGAATTTTAAAAATAACTTTTTCCCCAAATTATAAAAACCATGTCCGAATCCTTCCCCGCAAAGATTTAGACTTAACATTTGTAATATTTTTTCTTCCATCCTCAGTGAACGCATACATTTTTCAGCTTCTTTAGAGTTCATTATTTATTCCACTAGTTCGTAACAGGAGAGGAATGACCTTCCCTAGCTCTAACCAGGGTGGTAAATCCCTGCCACAGTCACCAATGCTCTGTCACAATCCTCAGATGTGCTAAGATAGAACAAAGATTGAGATCTATTAGTCAGTAGTTCCTAAAGTTGATTGTGCAGCAGAACCACCTGGAGAACTCACTAAAACACAGATTGTGGGACCCTACCCCCAGAATTTTATATTTCCTACATCTAGGGTAAGAGCAGGAATTTGGATTTCTAACAAGCTCCCAGGTGGTGCCGACGCTGCTGGTTCTAGGACCATACTTTGAGACCCGCTCTATTATTGTATATAATTTTTATACTGCCTTTTTGGTATAATGTTATGTTATAAAAATGTCTCCACATCATTAGACTTTGTGATTTTTGATGACTGCATAATATTTAATTAAATCCTATTTAAAAGATATTTAAAATATATTAGGGATTGGTGGGGGGGTGGTAAATGTATTTTACGGTATATAATCAATGTCAGAGTTAACTCTTATTAGCCCATTTCAGCAGTCTGTTTAAAATAAAACATGGCTAGCTATAAATTTTTCTATTTAAAATGAAGATTAAAAAGCCATTTATAAAATCAGTCAATGGAATCTGGTGATGATTCATGCCCTCCTGTGACTACCATCATTTTATCATATTAACTGCTGCTTCTTTTCCCTTTTATTCCTCATCCTCTTTTTTTCACCTGTTCTCTATCCTCACTCCAAACCCCTCAAAACACATCCCTTCTTACTCCAGAAGGACACACAGGACTGAAAGCCTTCCTGCTTCCGGCCAGGTCAGCATTCTCTCTCATTAGACTAAAATACCTAGAGGCACCGAGTCTACACCGACCCTTCGGGGCTGTGCTCACATTTCATCTGTCACACAGCTGAGGCCGCCCGCTTCAAGCCACCCTACAGCTCTTTAAGCAAACATTCTCTTCCATGTTCATAGTAGTGATAAATATCTACTCGGGACCTATCTCATATACTAAACCGGCTATAAAATCATTCCTAAACTTTTATTTTGGAGACAGCCGTCCTCAGCCTTCCCTGGAGCTCGGCTGCAGAGGAGCGGCTGACAAGCACAGCCCTGGGTGCTCTCCACGGTCAGCGCTAACAGACCGCAGTACGTTTCCCGGACCGTCAGAGACCACCGTGGACCTGCAGGAATTAAAGCACTTATGGTGTCTCAGTCATCAACGTGACGTCAAGTGAGGAGTAAACACAAAAGAACTGGTGACTCTGAATAACTGAAACGACTATAAAAAGCTAAGACAAGACAATAAGGGGCTTTTAAAAATGGAAACCTAAGGGGCACCTGGGTGGCTCAGTCGTTAGGCATCTGCCTTCGGCTCAGGTCATGATCCCAGGGTCCTGGGATCAAGTCCCCCATCAGGCTCCCTGCCCGGCGGGAAGCCTGCTTCTCCCTCTCCCACTCCCCCTGCTTGTGTTCCTTCTCTCGTTCCCTCTCTCGCTGTCTCTCTCTCTCTCAAATAAATAAATAAATAAATAAATAAATAAATAAATAAATAAATAATCTTTAAAAATGGAAACCTAAGAAGAACAACAACAAAAATGCCGGGTGCTATGTAAGTGACCTACTGGGGCTGTTTTTGTAACTATTGCTTCTACTGCTAAGACTCACATACGTATTAGCAATTTTTCCAAGTCGTTTCGGGTCTTTATATGATTATGATGCGTCACTGGTTGTTACGATGCACTTCTGTCTCCTACAGCATTATTCCCTTATGTAACTGCTTAAAGAAACTAATGGCTTGAGTACCAATTACATTTTGCTTTAATAGAACATTTAACAACATGGAAGCCTGATGATACTGTCCTAGAAAAAGATGCAAACCCAGAGACACCAAGACTGAGCATGACAAAGTCATTAAACCATGTACTCCTACAACAATATTACGAAAGTCCAGGGTTGACAGCCATGCTACAGTCAACATCTTTCCCTAGGTTTAAAAATGGTCCTACAAATGTCTTCCAGTTGCCTACTCCCGCAGTAAAATGAATTCCACGGAACGCTGCTTCCCACAAGCACCATTTGGGCAACACAGAATGCAAGCACAGTCCACTCTAGCACCCACTGCAGCCGGGCCTGAGAACCGCAGTGAGCAGGCTGCTCCCTAGGAGCCAGGCTGCGACACAGAGCGCGAGGGCTCACTTTGAAGAAGGCCTCCATGAGCATCTGGTCAGGGTGCAGGTCCCTCCATGGGAGTCTCCGGTAGGCACTATGGAAGGCGTACAGAATGAACTCTGGCATTCTGGGGGCTGTACACGCTTCACAATAATGCATCAGGTGTAACCGAAGGGCTCCTTCATCACTTGGCAACAGCTTATCTAAAATTCAAGCAGAAAACACAGCTGAAGACCTTCTGGGTTATCTTTAAAAACAAACAAACACGGGGCGCCTGGGTGGCTCAGTCGTTAAGTGTCTGCCTTCGGCTCAGGTCATGATCCCGGGGTCCTAGGATCGAGCCCCGCATCGGGCTCCCTGCTCCGCGGGGAGTCTGCTTCTCCCTCTCCCACTCCCCCTGCTTGTGTTCCCTCACTGTGTCTCTTTCTGTCAAATAAATAAATAAAATCTTTAAAAACAAAAAACAAACACAAAACAAAAATTTGAACTAAAAGTCTAAAACCTAAGTTTCTCAATAATTACCAAATTTCAAAGATTTTCATGTGCCAGGAAAAAAAAAACAAAAAACTGATGGCAAATTAATAGCAAAGACCGGTACTATAATTACTTACTTGGGGAACCAGAACGAGAAGCTGGTAGGTGGGAGATAGCAGGGGTGATCAGTTTTTCTTTAAAACTTCTAGCTAAATGGCTTTTTAACTCAAATACACTTGCACAACCCCACCCACTTCTAGGCATCCCTCCAGTCTGCTGCCCTCAGCATATAATCAGTCACCAGCATGGAGCACTCATTCATTTGGCGCCTTGGAGGAATCCAATATCGCTCAAAAGGAAATGTTGCACATGACTAAAACGTAACCCTTGGTGCAGTACGACTAGATGATTAACTGTCACTCGGCTAAGTTATTCTAAAACGACACTCCTCTGCGACATGGATCACTCAGTATTAAAGTCACAAGTATCAATTACCTCAGTGCCCGCAAGAGTGAATGCCAGTATAAGGGGCATTTAGTCTAAAACAAAACTTTTCAGATGTTCTGGTTCTACGCAAAGGAATGAATGTAGTCAAAGAAGAGAGAGCCAGCCGCCCACAACAACATGAGAAACCTGATGGTGGTTCTTAGTGGTGGCTTTTGAAAAATGGCCAATGAGCATCAACCCATGGTAGCAATCGCTTTATCATTTCCAACATACCTGTGCCCTTGATTCACAGTCCTTACTTTATTCTACAGCATGAAACATCAACATGTTTTTAACCTTTTAAGACAAGGTAAGGCTAGCATTTATTTAAATATGAATAAAAGATAGTTTTGTTTAAATAAGGATGGATATATAGTTGGATGTCTAAAAGGTAATCTCTGAGGACAAGACTGAGTTTCTAGTTCCAGCCCAGACACACATTAAGTTCTGTGAGCTCAGATAAATTCATTTTGCTTTTTGGGTCTTCATTTTCTCATGAATAAAAGGAGGGAGCTGGATCAGAAGATCTCACTAAAAGGCTATAATAAAATGCTTTTTCCTGCTTTGCATAGTTCTGTTTCCTCTCCTTGAACTCAGCTACCAGTTCCTGATGTTAGCCATGGACCCTCCTGTTCCCAAGCCACTTTCTTATTTTATATACACAGGCAAGAGCCTGAGAGAGTGCTTGTCCCCTATACTAAGAAACTAAACATACAGGGGCACCTGGGTGGCTCAGTCGGTTAAACATCCAACTCTTGATCTCAGCTCGTGTTTGATCTCAGGATGGTGAACTCAAGCCCCATGTTGGGTTCTATGCTGCGCATGGAGCCTGCTTAAAAAAAAAAAAGTTTATATATATATATATATATATATATATATATATATATATATATATATATATAGTGCCTTTGTGATTATAATTTGATGCTCAAATATTTTTGATGATGATAAGCAGCTAGAAGTTTGTCTTTCTAAAAAAAGTGATTACTGTTAGTATTTCATATGTTACTCATTAAACCAATACTTATCAAATAGACACTGAGATTATGGCACTGCGTAAGTCTTGTAGGGGATAAAAAGAATAATGTTTCTGGACCTAGAGTTTACATCTTACAGTTCGGTCAAAAATTTTTTTTTAAAGAGATCTGGCATGTATGTAAAAGGTCAATCAAAAGTACCAGATGATGGGGTACCTGGGTGGCTCAGTCAGTTGGGCTTCCAACTCTTGATTTTGGCTCAGGTCATGACCTCAGGATCATGAGATCGAGCCCCAAGTCGGGGTCCATGCTGGATGTGGAGCCTGCTTGGGATTCTGTCTCTCCTTTCTGACCCCGCCAACCCCCTGTGCGCTTTCTCTCTCTTAAAAAAAATATATATATCTAGACAATGGAATACTGTTCAGTGCTAAAAGGAATGAACTATCAAGCCATGTAAAGACTCGGAGGAACTTAAATGCATATCACTAAGTGAAAGAAGCCCATATGAAAAGCTACATAATATATGATTCCAACTATTTGGCATTCTAAAAAAACTAAAACTATGGAGACAAGAAAAAAAAATCAGTGGTCACCTAGAATTAGGTGGGAGGGGGGAGAGTAGGCAGAACACAGAGGATCCTTGGGGCCACGAAACTACTCTGCAGGATACCACAATGGTGGATACGTGTCATTACACAGCCGTCAAAGTCCACAGAATGTACAACGCCAAGAGTGGATGGTAACGTAAACTATGAGCTTTGGGTGACAATGAGGTGTCAGTGTAGGCCCATCAGCTGTAAGCAGCATACCAGTCTGGTGGGGGGGGTGTTTATAGGAGGGGAGGTTGTGTGGGGGAGGTGGGGGGGGTCATATGGGCGCTCCGGGTACTTTCTGCTCAATTTGGCTGCAAACCTAAATCTGTTCTGCACACACACACACAGCTGTCGAAGGCCACATTGTTAAGTCAGCGACTACGAGCCACAGAGAATGTGGCTGCCCCAGAGGCAGACCAGTCAGAAACAGAAGGTGCCCAGCAGGCCGCGCTCCCTCAGGACCCACTGCAGTGCCCGAGGGGAGCCAACAACTGAGCACAGAGTGGCCACTTCTGCCCAACGTGGGAGCTGTAGGGCGGAATGTCTGCCTGGCGCCGGCCACTGGCTGGCCGCCCCTTGGTCGGAGCTGCACCGCAGGCAGGCGCACTGCTCTTCCCTCCCACTCGCCTCTCACAGCTGTCCCACCTGCACGGGGGTCCGAGGCCACCGCCCCAAACAGATCTCTGGCATTTGGGCTCCATCACGGTGTCTACTGCCCAAGGACTCAAACTGCAGAGGTGCGCTAGAAGATTCAGAGGCAGGCGAGAAACACATGCACATAAACACACGTGCGAAAGAATATAAAGTACCCGAGGCTTCATCTGGTAGTGGAATCAGCCTGAGCAAGGGCAGCGAGGGGAGCGCCAAGGACATTCGCAGAACAGTGCGTCAAGCGGTATGGCTGGAGTGGAAGGTTTCCATGAAGAAACCATCACATAATGTTGAAGTACACTGGGCCAGCCATATCGGAATTCTGGGCAGAAACACGACACTTTAAAGTTTGGAAATATGAATATGATAGGATATAAATACTACTTCACGAAAATCAATCTAGTCAGTAGGCAGGAACAAAAACTGGAGATAGGAAAAACAGGAGGCGATTGCAAGAATCTTGGGGGGTGTGTGTGGAACGAATGTCTTTATAAACCTCCCAATATAAAACTTGTAGATACACTAGATAAAACAAAACATCTCTGAAAATGCAGAACTACGTTCGCTCAATGGAAGTAAACAGGGCCAGAAGCAGGGACCAGAAGCAAAGAGAGACGAGGAAACCTGGGTACTGAACAGACATTGAAGCCTCGGCTGCCCGTGGACGGTCGGCTTCTGAGGGGTTCTAACGGCATGAGGAGTCTCCTAAGGACTGGGCCCTCACTGAAAGAGCAGATCATGGTAAGATCTCTGCCTTCACCTTGACTCAGAGCCAAGGAGAGGAACAAGTTGACTGTGAACACTGAGGCCCGCCGGCAAGTGAGCCTGGGGTCTGTTTACAGCACAACAGTGAGAAACCACAAGCCAAGTAATTACACAACTCCCACTGGCAACAAATGCAGATCTCCTCTGGAGGACACACCCTCAAGCCCTTGTCTTTACGGAATTCCCACAGAGAGAATCTCTCGAATCTCTCTAAATGCGGGCTCACAATACAAAATTTAAAAATCCACAAGGAAACAAGCCTCTAAGTGTAAGAATCTGAAGGAACATCTAACTAGTTGTAGCATAAGCCATCCCCAATAGTAACTTCAGTTATTGCAAACAGATCATAAAGGAAACGATGTTTAAACATTTCAAACAAACAAAAATTAGAATTTTAAACAAAAGAAATGATACGCTATCAAAAAGGAGGATAGGTTTGAAAAAAACCAAACATGACTTCTAGAAATTGAAATAAATCCAAAGGCTTTTTTTTTTTTTAAAGCAGATGAGACACAGCTGGAGAGACTAAGTAAACTGGAAGAGAGTCCTCAAAAATTCACCCAAAATGAAGCACAGAAAGAAAACATGAAAAAGAAGTCGGAGTCACAGAAGATAGAATGAGGTTCAACATGAGGGACAGAGAATATTTGAAGAGAATGGCTGCCTATATTCCAAGGCTGATGCAGCTCAGAGCTACCTTACAAACAATAAGAGGTTACAAACTTCACACCAACCAACTTATCAGTGACCTCCTTTGGTCAAAGATGACTGCCTCTCAACTAAAATAAAATTAAACAAAGTAGGAAAAGCAGAGGCAAAAGAGTAACCGAATGATTTAGGAAAAAAGTGGTAACTAACCAGAGACATAACATAACATCTTCCTACCTTTAAAACTCTCGTGCAAAGAGTCAATACAGTCCGTGAACAACTGCACAATGCTTAAGGCCACCACAGCATCACTCTCCAGCCAGGGGTAATGTCGTTGGCTGCTTTAAATAAAAGAAGCACACGCTTAGAAAGGAAAGCACCGTAATTAAATCACTCTAGGTCCCAGAATCTAGGGACTGCCTCAGTCCTTACAGATCACTGTATTACGTAGCCCCCAAACACATTCTGACCACTTTAACCGCTGTGAATTCCTGGAGATGAATCGTAGCTCATAATAACAATCACACAATTTTATTTACTTTCCTTCTAAACCTTTCATTCCAATGCAATGACGTTTCAGAAATGTGTGGTCTACATAGATTAACACCTTTTTAAATTCAATTTACACCCCTGTGTATCTCGGTTATATTTCAAATGCCTCAGACACGTGCCACGAAGTGGCTTCCACAGTTTTGTCTTCCGAAAACATGGGGAAAAAATCCCTGTAACAGAAAGATGGCCAAAAACGGACAGATTTCGAAATAACCAAAGAAAAAAACTCTTTATATGATCATTTTAGTTTCTGAACTGGGCCCAAAAAATGCAGTATCAAAATAAGTCCCATTAGTTCTTCCTGGAAATAAACAGCAGTCTGCATTATGGCCAACAGTCTCGGAGTCAGCACGGAATCCTGAAGCTTGCAGATTGAGGACAGTCCTCTAGCAAACGCAAAGATCCAGAACCTTTTCGATTTTCTTCAGCGAGCTCTTGGGAGCAGCATGGGCTAATGCCAAGAGTCCCGACAGGGGAGTCGGAAGCCCTGAGCTCTGCTCCCGGCTCTGGCCCCCACTCGTGGTGGGACTGAAGCAAAGCCACTCATGTTTTCTGAGTCTCAGTAACAGATTAGTAGTTGTGAAAACACCCAAACACTGTGATATCTAGCACTGTTGTAATTTTAACAAACTCCTGACAAATTCACCTAGCTTTGTTTGTATGCTTTTAGGGGAAAATAGACTCAGAAGGCAACTCCCGGCATGTGAACAGTTTCTACACCTCTGTTTTAAATGCTCATAACATCATGCTTTCATTTAATCTCCAAACTCATGTGAAAGGGGTTCATTGCCACCCAGTAATTCAAAAGCCAACTTAGTTCCAAAAAATAAATAACTGAGTACTGGATAAAATCAAGTTAGTCTCATATTTTACAGTAGTATATTATCAAAATCTAATTCAGGAGAGTAACACCCATTTTTCTGAAATTAAGTACCAAAATTTATTCAACGTCTTTTTGTAGAAAACTGGAAATAAGTGTCTAGTTTTGCTTCAAAGTTAATAGGTCTGATCAACCAAACTAACAATTCCACAAGCAGAAAACGTCTTAAGTTTCCTTCATAAGGAAGCATTTTCTAAATTTAATATGGCCCTACATAAAAAATTAAATCCGTGACGCATCCCTCATAACAAAATACCAACAGAACTTTAACTCTATACATTTCAAAAGAATATGAATCTCTGAAAAACGATTTACCTTTCATGGTCCTCCAAAACCAAGATCCATGGCTTAAAGAGCTGGATGATTACTGAATGTAGGGATCTCAGCACTAAAAACAAAGCAAAATTTTTAGAGACAAGAAACAAGCTCATCCTTTGTCAATATCACTAATAACGCTAAAAAAAAATCTACTTATTATCTGTATACTCACAAACCTATGTTGATAAACAACACATTTCATGTAACTAAGTTAAGCTCATGTTTTCATCATTTGCTGCAATGGAATTTCCTGAGGAATTTTTATTACCTCACAGTGTCATGGATAATTTTATACCGTATATTTTTTAAAAGATAAATGTTTAAATATTCAGAACCCTTTCCCAAATGAGATAAATATAGGAAGAAAGAGCTGGAGACTGAAACCTATCTCCGTGCGCCGTCCCCCATGAAGGAGGGGCAGAGACAAGCTGAAGCAAGCACACAGTGTGCAAGTGAACATAGGTATGATACATAGATGGGTTCACGTCTATACTATATATTTCCTATTTCTTCTTCTTGACACTCAGATATATAGTTTTATTGCTAAGATTTAAATATCTTAATGTGTCTATTCAAGTCTCTTCTAATGGAAGGTCAGAGCACCTTGCTCCGTGGTGCACTAAGGGCATATTACCTGTTTTGCTGCTGGGAAATGCGTCTTGAGCCAAGCAGGCCATTTCTGAATCAAGCAGCCGTTTTACAAGATAGCCCAAGAGTGTCTTCATATCAGCCATGTAAGGACTCCATTTTGAGAATAAACCAAAGCTTTTAAAGTCCAATGTGGATAACCGAAGCTTATAAAAAAAGTTTGAAAGCCACTGTATAGTCTCCACTACCTGAAAGAGAATGACGGGTCAAAGAGTCCTTACTAAAGGTCTACTTTCAGCCGAGTACTAGGGTCAACTGTGATGGAGGGCTCGGACTTTGTAATAGAGTTGCAAAGGCGTTTGCATAGGAAAAGTAAATCAGCAGATTTCAAACTCTTTTTCTAAAGCAGAGGAACCATTCTTTCCAGTACATTGTCATGCGGCCCCACATCACATAACACTGATGAAACTGAGGGCTCTGTGGGACGCTGCATGAGAACCTGACCACAGGAGCCAGGGGTGTGAGGTTAACTGGGTGGGGTAAGGTGGGGAGGGAAGGTACACCCAGAGGGTGGGTCTGGGCTGCTCTTGAACGGTTGAGCAAGACAGACTCTGAGGTGTGAGAGAAAGGCAAAGGGTGCATGGGAGGAAGAAAGTGACTGACAAAAACACAGGGCTCTTAAAGATAATGCACAGAAGTGCAGCTTTTTTAGGTAAAAATTTTGAATGTGTTCCAACTGTTTAAAAAACAGATAGCAAAGGAAACAGAAAAGGAATGCAGAGACATAAACTTCAGACACCAAAAGCTACACACCTGCTTGTCAGACAAGAGAACATCTGGAGAGCTCTGAAGCACTGAGCTCTCTGCAGAAGCTGCCCCCTGCTGGCAGTTTGGGGCACAGCAGCCCAGGGCTCTCAGAGTGGCTTTCCAACACTCGGGGCTCAGCAGCTGCTCGGCGGAGCCTTATGGGGCAGGGACGGAAGACAGCAGGTTAGCATCTTTCACAAACTAACTTTTTCAACTTGAATCAAATAATGTGTGTACTTTACAAAGGAATGAAAATTCTGTGTCGAATGGCTACTGTGGTCTGGCTCTTGAGGACACAGCCCTGAATCAAGTTACAGGTATGGGAGTCACGCACACCTAGAACACAGCAGGGAAACCAGGGAAAACAAGGGGCTTGTCCATGAAGAGTGAAGAGAAGAGACAAGCAAAGGCTAGAGCCCCAAGAACACCAACATGGTGTCCAGGGAGGGAAGGTAAACCAGGAGGCTGGAGGTCACGGAATCGGCCAGTGATGGTACTGTTATTCTTAAGCCTTTAACTAAAATTACTTTCCTGGTAAGTATAAATTTCGTATTAAATGCAAGTCAATAGTTGCCTATACACACTGCTTACAAGCTCTTAAAAAGGCTTCAGGGAAAAAAAACACAATATATACTTGATCAAGTTCTGAAAATTTAGAGCAAAAATTAGGCCAGCATGCATCAAAATTGTACAAATACATCTCCCTACCCCATTCTCCACCTACCCTCAACCTGCCTCCACAGAAACAATGAAAGCTTGAAGTACTTTGAAAACGAGAGCACACATTTCCGTATTCTTCAGGTAGTTCAATATATAAAATCATTACCTTATTCCTTAAATGGTTTCTCAATATTAAGTAACACAAAAATGTGGCATAAAGCAAAACTTAGTTTTCCATTACATCTATAAACTGTATGAAGTTCGCATGAAAAAAGTAAATACTATCTCACATTTATCAAATTTCAGTAAAATTCCTACCTAGTGAAATTCCCAAAATAAAAAAACTAACAACCTTTTTACTCCTCTTCTAATCTCCAATACTCTAGTGGAAAATTGCAGGGCGGGAGGAAAAAGAAATGGCGGGAATGTAGAAAATTGAACACTGCTCTTTCCCTTGGTGAATATAAATACAGGCTACCATTACATACAGATAAAATTTACTTGCAAAAAAACATGAGTCTAAAAAATTAAGAGGGGAGAAAAAAACCAAAATTTATCCACTCTTTGGATCTACAGAGAAACCAGTTGGCAAAGTAAACATATTGCAACGGAGCAACTTCCTTCTCTTACCAAATCTGTAGTCAGCACAGTAAGCAGGCCCACTCCTAACCCAGCCCAGTTCAGGACAGCTGCAAAGTCAAGGGAAAGAGGTGGATGCATGACTGTGGACTTCAACACCATATACTAAGTGCTGTCTTGCTGAATCAGGGCCCATTTGAACATTTAGGACAATAACTGACCTTTTCTACAGACAGTACCCTTTTGGGCATTGTTCATCAAGCACTTCAGGTAAAAATTAGTGATTCTAAAACTCCTACATACTGGTCTTATTTTTACATTTTTGGATGACATCTGTAGAATGGTAAATGTCACATTAAATATTCACTGCAATCTAATCATTATAATTAAAAGACACTTACTTTGCATCAGCAGCCTGAGAATGTCACTGTACTGGTCAGGGAACTGATAGAGAAGAAGGTAAGTCCAGTGCTTACAGAAAAGATTAAATGGCATCAAAATATCTTCATCTGGCTCAAGACCCCAGGCAGTAAGTGCCAAATGAATGGACTCCAGAAGCCTGGTACGATCAGACAGAGGAGGTTTAGTGGTGTTTAACCATTGCTTAAGATTGAACTAAAAAGAAAAAGAAATAAGAAGCAGTTTTATTGACACCGGAAAATTAACTGAAGTAGAGAAAACTATGTGCAAATTTAGTTTAAAAGTCAAACATCACTCAAGATTCAGCTTTGTATAAAGACTGAAACTAAAACGTATATACAAGTACTTAAAAGAATCTATGCAGGTCAATAATTAATAGGTGTCAGTAAGCCGCCAGCTCCACTTCACCCTCTGGGATTACAGAGGAGAGTTTTCTCAGCTCTGTGCGCTTTTCTGTAATGTAAGAATGTTTGGTTAAGTTCTCCCTACAAGGCAAGAATCAGAACTCTGTCGTTCTGCCTCACTGTGCCAGAGTGCCAGAAACAAGCAGCCCCTTTACGGGACTGTCTCCATGTGATACAGTTACATTTCTGAGTCTGCAGTAGTAACGTATCTCAGTTAATAAAACTTCAGGGTGTTATCGATCACCTCCCAGAATTCGCAACTATAAAATAACATGTTTGCCCCCATTACAGACTGAGAGCAGTTTCTAGGCCCTAAAAAATGCCTAGGTTTTATGATTTATAGATGTCAGAGAAATACAATTGAAGGCAAAATCACTAAGGCTCTGCAATTCTCAAGTGGTTAAGTAAATTCATTGCTTGGGCCTGAGTTAATATTCTACTTGGAATGAGGACAAAGGCAATTTGCTTATTTCTGGCTTATTCCAAATATGAGAGACTTTGATATATGACATCTCATTTATCAAACACATTTTCAGCATAAATTCAGGATATATTCAAAAGAAGCATGCACTAAATTACTATTATGAATATTTCAAAGCTGTACTGTTTCTCAAGAGGGCTTGGGAGCGAAGTCCTTTTTCTACTATGTGGAGTAAGACTGCTCTACACAACACAACCACTACCCCCACAAGAAGAAGCTGCGGGATCAGGCTGCTTGAAGATAATACAAAATGTGAAAAGGGTCTACCAGGAAACAACTCCAGGGGCCCCTTCATTTCTACAGAGTGGGAAACAACACCAGATCCTACATTTCCATGACGGCATCAGCACGGAATCACATCTCACCTTGGTCAGCAGCATGAAAATCATATCACTGTTGTCCTCACTTAGAAACTTCACCACTTTCTCATAGAGCTGAATGAATTCCGCGGGTGCAGCATTGGGAGTGAAGAAAGGAGACAGCAGAGAGCAGAGCCTTCTATTCTTCAGAACGGTCTCCAGTACTTTCCTGCATTCTGACTTAGTGCCGCTGATAAACACCTTGAAAGAATTAGAAAAGGAAAATGTCATCAGATTCTGCACTGCCTTCCCCCCCAACTTTTAGTTAAGCAACCAAGCTTTAAGGGCTAATACAGAAGGCAAAGAGAACTTTTTCTAAATGAAAACATGAAACAATCAAAATAATCTAAAATCAACACAGATAAACCTAACACTTCCAATGATGGTGATATTAAAAATTCTGGATTATCCATGAATTTGATTTGGACAAGCCATAGGGAATTTCTAAAAGATTAAAATATTAGGATAATTTGAATCCAGAAATTTGCAAGGTACCTACCATAATTTCGAAGTATTCAAAGTGACCCTGCATTTTGTCAAGAAAACAAAACCTCTAGGTTATAAATTTTATTGAGATGTGCTTTTAGTACTTTTAAAAAGTTAACTTTATTTATTTATTTTTTAAGATTTTATTTATTTATTTGACACAGAGAGACACAGCGAGAGAGGGAACACAAGCAGAGGGAGTGGAAGAAGGAGAAGCAGGCTTCCCGCCGAGCAGGGAGCCCGATGCAGGGCTCAATCCCAGAAACCTGGGATCATGACCTGAGCCGAAGGCAGACGCTTAACAACTGAGCCACCCAGGCACCCCTAAAAAATTAACTTTAATAATTAATATTTAATCAAGATAACTTCACCATGTTTTAACTTGGTTCTAATGTTTTAAGTACTGGATATAAGTATTTAAATAATTTCAGGGTCAGGAAGGCTTTGATAGGCCGGATCACAGGCAGAAATAATAAAAAGCAAGACTGAGAGATCTGAATATATAAAAATTTTAACTTCCATAAGGCAAAAAGTATGATAAAATTAAAGGAAAATGACACAGTAGAAAAATCCATTTAGAACACATTCCAGATACTAGGTTGAAAGTCTGAGGAGCTCCTTCAAAGCAATCAAAAAACAGAAATTCTACAACAGAAAACATGCAAAGGACAACAACCAGCAAATCATAAAAAATAATTAAATGGCTAATAAACATAAGGAAAGTCATGCAAGTGAACAATTACTTAAAGAAATACAACTTAAAATAATAACAAAGTACACTTGCCCTATTAGATTAGCAAGACTTAAAAAGAACAATCCTCCCTCACACTGGTTACAGTTTGGAGAACAATAAATTCAAACCCTGCTATGATAGTGGCAACAGGTAAAAACTTCCCAGGGGGGCACTGTGACAATCTACACCAAATGGTAGTCCCTCTGACATAGCGACCATACTTCTAGAAAATTATCCTGGAAAAAACAGTCCAAAGAGTTCACAAAGATGTGTAAGAATATTTATCTCAGGCTCATTGCAGCAAAACAAACCACCTGAATAGCCATCCAGCGGGCACGGGCTCAATACATCACAATATATCTGTACCATGGAACACTATGTATTAAATACCATGAGATCAGTCTGTTTTTACTAACAGAATAGTATCTAAAAGTTGTGTTTGAATGAAAAACAGTAGGTTACAAAATAGCACTTGCCCATTTTTGGGTATATATGCCTATCTCTATCTATTTAGCGATACGTAGGAATGATGTATCATTTCTACATATGTACACACATACGCTAACATGCATATACACAAGACAAACCATAATAAAATGTTAGCTATTTAACCAATATCTTCAGGAGGTTAGAATTATGGAAATTTTTCTTCTTTATACTTTTTATACTGTCTGCATTGCTTATGGTAAGCACACATCAATTTTAAAATCAGGAAGAAAACTTTAAAAAATCTATCTTAATATCTGCTCTGCATCACCTCTATATAAGTATCCAATAACAAAGTACTCATTCCACTGAAACTGGGTGAGAGTACACGGTTAGTGTTTACACATTTTCCATCAAGTGGCTTTCCTTTCTTTAATGACTTATTTCATAACTATGCATGCATACCTTGCTCTTGCCTTTTAAAATATCCATATATTTAACAGTAAGTCAAATAAACAAACAAACAAACAAACAAACGGGGACCGAGAACAGCAACTGGGAGGCAGCAGTGGGGAGGCAGAGTGAACACGGAATGCTAAGGCAGAACACATGGGATCCAGGCTCAGCTCCAGCACTGACCAGCTGGATTCTTTAGGCAAGTCATTTCATCTATTAGAGACCAGTTTTCTCATCTTTAAAATGAGAATGGTATCAATCACAAAGAGTCACTGTGAGGATGAACTGGAGAGCGTTTTATAAACAATAAAGAACTTCATCATGTTAATTGTTAATACCAAAAGCATATGCGTTTGATGTCTCCCCAGAGACTTTCAAATATGAGCAACTTTATATCTATTGTATGAGAAGCAAAACTCTATACCAACGATTTAATCACATCTTGAGATGTCAAGAATTCAAAGGGGCTTCTGACTTAAGAGTCCGAAACTGTAATGGAAGCCTCAAGTCAACCCTGACTATATCTAATGAGGATGCTGCAGGAACTCAATAGATGTGAATAAGGCTAAAAAACACATGGGGCGCCTGGGTGGCTCAGTTGGTTAAGCAACTGCCTTCGGCTCAGGTCATGATCCTGGAGTCCCGGGATCGAGTCCTGCATCGGGCTCCCTGCTCGGCAGGGAGTCTGCTTCTCCCTCTGACCCTCCCCCCTCTCATGCTCTCTCTCTCTCTCTCATTCTCTCTCTCAAATAAATAAATAAAATCTTTAAAAAAAAAAAGGCTAAAAAACACAGAAGTACCTTACCTGTCCCAAGATCTCAATGCATGATGTAAAGAACTGCCTTGTGGGAGGATGACGCTGAGTTTCATCACTGACATAATCCACAACAGTAAAGAAGAGGCTAATGCCAACCTTCTGAACCCCAGGAGTAGGCTGCAACTTGTAGGCATTCACTAAGGCCCTGTGGGAAAATGTAGGTGAGACTATTGGTCTACAGTAGGAGAATCCAGACTCAACAAGTATTTCTCTGGTACTCTACACTTCTCAGGCAATATTCTTAAAGAGTCCTTCAGAGCCCCATACAAATGTCACTTTAAAAATATTCCATGAGATTGGGGCGCCTGGGTGGCTCAGTCAGTTAGGTGTCTGCCTTTGGCTCAGGTCATGATCCCAGGGTCCTGGGACTGATCCCCAAGTCAGCTCCCTCTCAGCAGGGAGACATCCCCTGCCCATCCCCCCACTCATGAGTGCTCTCTCTCTAATAAATAAAATCTTTAAGTTTTTATTTATTTTTTTTTAAGCTTTGACAGAGAGAGACACAGCGAGAGAGGGAACACAAGCAGGGGGAGTGGGGGAGGGAGAAGCAGGCTTCCCGCGGAGCAGGGAGCCGGATGCGGGGCTCGATCCCAGGACCCTGGGATCATGACCTGAGCCGAAGGCAGACGCTTAACGACTGAGCCACCCAGGCGCCCTAATAAATAAAATCTTTAAAATAAAATATGCCATGGGGTATCTTCCAACTTGGCCCGACACTTATTTTTAATACACAGAAATGATTTTATGTCCTCTTGGGAGAGTGGGGATCAGCTGTATTAACATTCTTACCCTTATCAAAATTACCCTTTCATATTTTCTATGTAATTCATAATTTATTCTTTCACTTTGTGTATTCCTTATAGAATACATATTTTTAAAAACAAGAACACTAAGTTCTCTAAATTTTAAAATCCAAAACACTGAAAAAGATTTTTGTAGAGTATGATCCTAGAATAAAGACACCTCTTCTAAGTCTCACACTCTTTTGAGTTCCTTTGCTGGTAAAAGAAACATTAACTTCTTGTTCACCTCACCTCCTTCTTCTTCCCAGGTCCCCCAATCCAACCTACAAAAGGACTCAATGCCCTCCTCCGTATCACCACCCCAATCTACTGGGGGATTAGTTGCTGGTACTAGAATGTGGAGTCACCTTAAATCAAAGGCAGGGTCAACCTCTCTCCCAAGTCATGCCCTGGTGGCTTTAAGAAGAAAGAGGACATTGAGTGTAAGCCAGATGCTCCATGGGAAAAAAATCACAATGGCCAAATGCAAGCTGACAACTACAGTTGAGAGCCCTAATTCCCCTGAGCAATTCCACTTCAAACTCTGCTCAGTAATCTGAGTTGACGATGATGATTTTCTGGTAAATGTAACTATAATCTAAAGCTTAAGCACTAAATCTCTCCATGATTGAATTTCAATATGCTGTGTCATCTCATAATTTAGGGGTCAGTAAGCTTATTCTATCGAGGACCAGATAGTAAATATTGTATGTTTTATGGGCCCTAAACTGTCACAACTATTCAATTCTGCCATTATAGCATAAAGCCATACACATGAAGTAAATAAATGGGCATGGCTGTGTTCAATAAAACTTTATTTATAAAAAGAGGTGGCAGGCCAGATTTGGTCCAACGGCCATTGTTTGCTGATCCCTGTACTAATTTAATTAGCAGGTGCCTGGGGGTGTGGTAGCAGGTAGGATTACTATCAGTACTAACAAAATAGATTTTTAAATTATAATGCTCTCAAAACTTACGTAATCAAGTTTTCTGCATGGACCGCAGCTTCCACAGTATTAAGTGATGGTGGTTTAGCAGCTTCGGCTTGCAACTGCTTCACTTCTTTTCGCAAAACATGAAGCTGCTGGCTTATTGCTTCATTTTTATGCATACCTTCAAACTAAGAAAAATTTAAATGGTCAACAGACTTTTTTGTTCCTATTATGTTTCTACAGCAAAGATTTATTACAAATATACTGTGTACTTGATGAAGAATTATTACTACAATTAATATTATAACTCAAAATTCTCAGCTGAATGGGACAGGGGTGGGGAAAAAAAATGTCAGAAAACTATGCAAGAACCTCAGGTTTTTCATGAAGAATCAAACCTGAGTCAGTTTATCACTGGTTCAGTCTTTTGTAGGATATGTTCTCTGTCACTTATGTTTGGACTCCCCAGCTCTCATCAAAAACAGACTTAATGTCTTCTACCACTGAGGTTTTCCTTGAAGCATGCCCCTCCTCTGTTGAGCATCTTCCCCAGAAGCTTGACCTCCCGTTCTCCCCACCCAATAGCACACACAGTTCAACTCAAAACACTTAGGCTGCACATCTCATGTGTGCCACACATACAAAGACCATGATACAGATGCTGTTAATAAAACACTTGCCATTCTGAAAGGAAGAAAGGATATATAATTATAAAACAAACAACAAAATAAGATAAAATCCAGGAAGTGCACAAATCAGCTGCACGCCTACAAAAGAGCAGTTGACTGATTCAGTGGTCCCTGAAGCTCATCTCTGATAAAATTTTTACTCATTCTCAGTAAAGATGTGACAAAGGAGAATTTACTGAGCTTAAAAAAAAAAAAAAACTAAATCTATTTCAATTTAAAAGATTAGCCTTTAGTTAAGATTACATCTCTCTTATTTGAGGGGATTGTTAATATCCCTTTTCTCTAATTAATTGATGGTGACCTAGGGGCGCCTGGGTGGCTCAGTCATTAAGCGTCTGCCTTCGGCTCAGGTCATGATCCCGGGGTCCTGGGATCGAGCCCCGCATTGGGCTCCCTGCTCAGCGGGAAGCCTGCTTCTGCCTCTCCCACTCCCCCTGCTTGTGTTCCCTCTCTCGCTGTGTCTCTGTCAAACAATAAAATCTTTAAAAAAAAAAAAAAAAAAAAAGATGGTGACCTGTATGATAACTGCTTTGTAATGTCCTTTCTTGGATATGAATAGATGCAGAGCATATCCTACATCCAGGCTGCAACACAAAGATAGAACTAAGGCAGCAACTGTGGAGGACAGGAGGACACAGGGACAACAAGGAGAAGCCCCGCCTGGCAGGGAGGTCAGGGATGAATAGCACAGAGCAGTCAGTCTAGGGAGGAGGGGTCCTGTCCTGGGGGAGTTCTTTGAAGCAAGCCAGGGAATTTGGACTTATCCTGCAGGCACAGCAGAGAATGCTGAAGAGCTGAGAACATTCAGAAGGCAGGAATGTTAAATCCTGCATTCTCCTCAAATGGGCTCCCCCAATCATGTGAATGAGCAATGCAGTCTACATTTTCCTTTATGTGCACCTACCCAAACCCAGTCTTCAGCCCACCACTGCAATGATTACAGGTACCTTTGTTTGTAAATAACATAAATACTTAATTCACAAATTTATTTAACTGAGGCCCTTATGTCCCTGCCAGAGTTATTATCATAAATTCCAGACGAAAGGCTCCTGGAGTGCAATGGTCCGGTCTCTTCTGCTTTACACAGCACCCCAGTACAACACGACTCTGACAGGATGCCGAGCACCTACTTTCACAATCGTGAGAACAACTTTTTCCCATAAAACTCAGCAATGTTGTATTAAAAAGCTTTACGAAACTTCTTAAAGAAAAAAATACACTGTTAGCTTGAATCAAAAGGCATGAAAGTGAATAAGAACATATAATGTTAACAACAAGTATTTTAATTTTTGGAGAAATGAAAGATAAAATAATCAAATTACCTCTATTAAACCACATAATGAATCAATACAAATATTAAATTTCCAATCTTTCAAATAAAAGACCAACGTTTAATAACCTAAAATGTGATCAGGAGCATGTGCAGTCAGTTTTGTGCCTACGATGTCACCCACTGCGGTTACACTGGGTCTTTGAGGGTCACAGCCCTTGGCTGGCCTGGAGAGAAGGCAGCCAAACAGGGAGGAAAAAAAGGAATCTGAGGGGAGGAAGGAAGACAGTGAGGATGAAGGGAAGTGGAAAGACAATGGGTAAGAGAGAAGGAAAGAGGATCCCCAGATTGGGAAATGCAGACACAAGACTAAGTTAACTGGAGCTTCAGAACTGCCACCGCACGCTTGGAAACTACTAGTGCCCAAGAGTAAGGAAAAGCAACATTCTCACCAAAAACACCACACAATGATCATTATTTCCCAGTCTACGTGTTTTTGTTCATTGCGCCCAACTCTACTGAGAGTTTTCTTTGCTCACAAGGACGGAAGAGGGGCTGACTGCCTGGCGGCTCACAATCACCAGAAGTTGTGGACTACACAGCAAAGCCGCGTGCTGGAAGCCCCTCCACTTAAGTCACTGTAAGGAGACAAAGCGATGGAAAAGCTGAACAAAGCAAGTAAGTTGTTACAATACTGCGAGGCCTTCAGTGGGTCTTTTCCATCTTTCATTTCTAGGACTGAGCAAATTTTTCACATGATAATAAATCAATCCTGGGTCCCACAAACATGCCCCACAATACCACAGTACAACAAAAGGAACCCTATTATAAATCACACCATTTCCTCAGGGAATATCACTGAATTATTAGAGGCTTCTACTGGGAGAGACGACCGCAGAAGAAGCACGTTTCACTTCCCATAAAATATATTTGGCTTTTGTATACCCCTAACAAGCTATACATAGTTCAAACATTTGCAGATGGCTGGAAATTTCCAGGGCTTTCCCTCTCAGAAAAATTCTATGAAGCTATAAAATATTTTCATGATATAATTTGAAATCTTTATAAATGAGCCATTTAAATATACTTATGCATTTTAATCTTAAAATTTATATTTAAAATATAGTCATAATATAATATATATAACATAATATAAATATATAATATAATATAAAGTCCGTGAAACTGATTTTAAAAATGGATCCAATCAATGAATTTTCTAATCACTGAAAGGGAAGGTGATCCTATCACACCAACTCAAGAGAGAGAAAATGGTATACCTGTTAATTTAAATGAAAATTGATGGTCATGATCAGCTTTCTCAGAATGATACAGCTAGTCTTAAAAATTGGAGCAGAAATAGCTAAAAGCAAATGGCTTCATTTACCAATACTGAGTGGGAAAGAATGGGTCTTGAATTTAAATAGACGTGGGCTTGAATTTCAACTGAGCCACTTACAAGCTGTGTGACTATGGCAGGTCCTTGAGACTCTCTGAACCTGTTTCATCACCCACATTTTGTGAAGATTAAGTGAGATAATGTATGCAGAGTCACCAGCATGTACCCTGGGATATGGGAGTGCCCCAGCAAGTGATAAGAAGAAATAATAAACAGAGCTGGGAAATAATGTAATATACTGAAGTATGACCATCCTTATCACTTTCCAAGATGGAATGCCCAGGAGGCGTTTGTATTAGAGCAAAAAGCGCAGCAGTGTGGTGCTTAAGTCGAGATTTTGTATGGAAAGCATTAAGTCGGCCAACTGAACAATAAATTGGCCTAAGGTAAACACAGTCAAAGAGTGACTGCTAATTTCTAGTAGGAACAAGTTCCAACTTCCAGGCAAATAATATCTACAAAATTCCTGAGGGTAGTGAAAATCTTACTTGTGAAGAGTATAAATCTGTAGTTGTTTGCTCCTTCAAACACCTCAGTTCTATGGCACTGACTGAGCCACTGACAACAGAAACATGAGTTAAGACAAGGTCCCGGCCCTCACAGAACTCAGAATCTAGTCACAGTGACAGAGGTGATCATAATGCAAAACAAGTTGTAATTCAGCCTAATGAGTGATGTGCTGGTGGTTTTCATGGACTCATTCAGGGCCGTGAAAGGGCACCTAGGGACGCCTGGGTGGCTCAGTCGGTTAAGCGGCTGCCTTCGGCTCACGTCATGATCCCAGGGTCCTAGGATCGAGTCCCACATCGGGCTCCTTGCTCGGCGGGGAGCCTGCTTCTCCCTCTGCCTGCCTCTCCCCCTGCTTGTGTTCTGTCTCTCTGACAAATAAATAAATAAAATCTTTAAAAAAAAAAAAAAAAGAAAGGGCACCATGCTTGACAGTACAGGAACACAGACGACTAAGGACAGGAACTCTATCCCTGAGGAGTTCACAGACTGGCAGGAAAGACAGCAGGCAACTACCACAGCATTTATGCACGAGCTGCTATGAGAGACTACCTCAATCTGACTAGAGGGGCTAGGACCTCAAGACGTACTGCCTGACCCAAGACTGGAAGGATGAGAGGAAGGAGCTCTCATGCGACAACAGGAGCGTGGGACAAGTAGCGCATGCCTAAGACAGAAGGTAGGAACGTGCATGTCATGTTTAGAGAATGGAAAAAGCCTGAGTGGCTAGAAAACAATGTTTAGGGATCAGGGAAGGGTAAATGATGCCACTAGAAACTGATGAAGAACAGATTACGGGGGGTCCCAAGAGTCCTGTTCCTTATAGATACTGGAGAGCCAATGCTGGCTGTCAGCCTGCAAATGCGATGAGCTTTGTGTTTAAAAAGATGAATGGTGGCAGAATGGAAAACAGACTGGACAGGGTGAGAGTCTATGGACAGGAAGCCTTACGTAATGGTTCAGGGGAGAAGTGATGTGGGGCTACCTGGGGGCAATGGGAACGAAGAGAAAGAAAACAAATGTAAAGTCATTTCAGAAGCAGAGCCGGGAGGACTTGGAAAGTAACTAGATGGGACATATGAGGGTGGGGCGATGACACTGATGCCTAGGTCCCCATTTCCTGTTATAGGAAAAACTGGTTTGGAGGGTCAAAGTGGGATTAGTTTGGGACCTGTGGAGTTTGAGGTATCTTTGGACATTCACAGAACATTACATAGGCAAGTAGAAATCTAGATTTGGAACTCAGAGAATTCTGGACTAGAAAAGCAGAACAGGAGTCATCAACATATGGGTTAGCCCTTTGGGGGTCATGGATTACTGAGGATCTACTGAAGTTATGAACTCTCCAGAAAAAAAATTTCCACATACTTTCAGGGACTTCACTGACCCACTGAAGACCATTCACACACCCACACTAGATTAGGAACTCCAACACAAAGAGTAGGCAAAAGCCGCTAATGTCACAATGACGGAGGGGATCAGGGGAAGCGCAACTCACAACCAGCAATCTAAGGGTTGAGTTGATGAAGAGGAACCCTGGACAGAACCTGCAAAGTGGCTAGTGATTTGGAGGGACTAGAAGAGACCTCATGACGTTCAGCATCGCCAGATGATAGAATTATGTTAAACAGGATTAAACTACTGGATATAGCCATGAAGTGGTCCCTGGACACACAGACACAAAGGGGCTACAATTCTCTGTAGAAGAATAACAATCTACCTTCTGTATGGCATATGCTCTCCCAGTGGCAGTTCCATGATGAGTCCTAAACAGTCAGAACTCACCTTCCCTACCCCAACATCCATAACCAAAGTCATCCATTTGTGTAAGAGACAGCTTTAGACTCAAGTACAATCTCTGACCAAAATTCAGAGCGAATCTAACTGACTTGCATCAATTAGATAATGCCCCAACTTCATGACAGCTAGAGTTTCAACTTTCTTCTATTGCTCTTAGCTATCAAGGAGTAGCCAAAAAAATTTTTTTGTCTTCAACTCCTAGAAGTATCAACCAGCGAGTACTGCCTAGGATAGACTTAGTTAGCAATTTCTATATAACTTTCTAAAGAAATCTTACTTGAATCAGACTACAAAAGCTGCTCACTATCCTCACATTTTTAATATCCCTGGCAGATCTGCATCACCAGGCAAAATAATGGCTGAAGTAGATACCGTGTCGATATTGGTACTTCTAGGAGCCATCAGTGGGGGTTCCGAAGTTTCTAGGTCTTCCCAAATGGAACTGAAAGGTAGAGCACTGGGCAAACTAGTAAGGCCAGCAGAAAATCAGAGCATGCTTTAAGAAAACTTGGATATTTCTAATGAGATTATGGCCACAAAACATAGCTATTTTTTCACATTCTTTAGGCTTCTATAAAATCTCCTTTTTCCCCCCTCTCTCCTCTCTTTTTGCTTCCTTTCTTTAAGCAATCTTAGCATCTATCAATTTTTCTTTTGAGAAAAGAAAGAAATATTTTTATTTGTTTGTAAAAATAAAATCTAAACCATATTCATTTTAATTCTTATCATAAATCATCCGCTTTCCAATCTCCCTCTAATCAAAATCACTTTGAAGGAATTTTAGGAAAGGTATGCCTTTCTATTTCAGAATCAACAAAGCAAAAGTTTGTAAAGAAATTTCAATTCAAGGGTTCAGACAAATCAAGACTACTTCAGAAAAGGAAAAGCGCCAAGTCACTGGTAGGCTGGGAGCTAAAGCTCCCAAGTCTGCCTGGTGGTATTTTCCACCGCAAGACCCGGAGAGTTAACAGGTCAGGCAAAGAGACCTGTTCTTTGGCTGGGGCAGCAAATATTCACAACTCTTCACAGAGCAAGCTACTGGCCAGAACTGGGAAAACATTTTTGTACTCACTTCACCCAGTCATTTACAAAAATGCATCTGAGGAGACTTCCCCTCTCTGTATAGAATTAACAGCCTGGCAAAGATATGTAATTCCAAAATATGGAAAAATACCATATTTGTGAAGGCACAGATTGAAAGACACCCTTTTTAATTAGAACTGGATACATTTCAGCTTTTTTCACACCAATTCAAACTCCATCCGAAATTGACAGACTTGTCTTCCAGCACTATTCCTTTAGCAAGTGATCCTTCTTAAATGCTCCTACCTAGTCTTACTAAAGTATTTGTAACTGAGGGGAAAATTACACTGAAAGAAAATTAACTTTATAAAGCACCTGGCCAAAGACATTACTCAGTGTTTAGAAGTCTCCCATCCCAGATCAAAGTTCTGAACTTCAGATGCATACGAAGATATTATTTTATCAGAAACAAATTTTAAAGGTAATGAAAAATACAAGTATAAAAGTTACTTCAGAGGAGTCATTTTAGAGAAAACAGGCTCCCAAGGAGACTGATGAGGAATACATCAGAACTGCTCAAATGCGGATTAGAACAAAAGGAAATTCTGGAAAGACAATCAAGAGTCAGTAAAATAAATTTTCCCTAATTTCTAAAAGCTAACAAAAGAAGAGGAGCCATGTTTGTGCAAATGGAGTCAGGCAACAGGCAGCCTATCTCTGAGCGGTTCTTTCCCGGCTCTGGGGACCTGAAGGCCCTGGCACAGGACTCGGGTGCAGCGGTGGGGGAGCGGCACTCTGCAGCCACACTGCCCGGGCCTTCCTGGTTCTGCCACTCAGCGGCTGTGCCACTTCAGGTGTGTGCTTTACTTCTCTGTGCCTTTATTTCCTGAAGATAACAAGAATACCCACCTCACAGGGTTGTGGGGAGGATAAAGTAAGTTCTGCAGTGTGTTCAGACAGTGCTGGCTAAAGCTAAGCTCCACCCTGACGTCCTTATGATGTCACAGACCCAACTTGAGCCTGTTTTTCCAACCCAAGAAGCTGACTCTAAGAGGCGGTTGAATTCCTAATCTTATAGCTGCACATCTCTTTCTTTCCGCCTGCTGGCAAGCTCCACCCAACTGACCTGCTTTCCACACGGCCCTCCACGTCTGTCTTCAGTGGCTCTCCACTGGCCAGGGCACACGGCTGGAGCTCCCAAAGGATCCTCTTTTCCGATGTAAACCCCAACCTTTCTGATATGAATTCCCACCACCACAGCCAGAAACCACCTGAAGTAAACTGACCTAGCCGGTGCCCCCTAAACTATGTCCAGAAGACTCCATTCCCACATTCCTTCCCAGTGACTCCAAACCGTCATCATCAAAGTGTGAGCCCCTCTCTCTAAGAATCTTCTCAGTTAACTGCTTTTCTGTGAATTTGTCTTGCAGGACACATCAGCACTACGGAAATACATGATTAGCTCCGTGTGGGCCGTCACCCCCCCCACAAAACTATTAAATGTTTTGGGACGTGAATCATGTGCTATGAACTTCTTGCTGTCTCTCTCAACAATATGCCAGTATTAGGGACTCAATTAAAAATTCGGTGAATCATGAAGAAGCTTCCACAATCTTACCTGAACTGTGACAACGGCTGGTCCTTGGCATTTCTTACCGCTACTACCTCTACACTCCAAATGCAGAGTGGCCTGTTCTTCCCTGTTCACGTACTGTTTGGGCATTGTGTCCAACAGCTCACTCTCCAGGGCAACCTGCTGGGATTCTCGAAGAGCTGCAGTTCTGGAAACATCATCAGGAGGTAGAAGAATGGCTTAGGAAGGGTTTCATGGTAAGTAATAAAGGCTTCCGGTTACCCCCAGCCTACACTAGAGAGCAACAAGACCTAGTATTCTACAGGAACAAAAGACCAAAGGTGTGTGCAAATCCTCTCTTTTCCTTGATAAGAAAGTTAAGAAAAGAAGGGAAAGTGGGACGACTTTTTAGCCAGGAACAAAGCTTCATTTAGAATCTGTATTACATTAACAATGTTTTTTACACAGACATTGTTTAAATAAACAAGACCAAATGAGAATTTCATCCCGATTAAAACATTCCTAAAGGGGTACCTTACTTCTAAGCACCAGTGATTTCTTAGGTATTAGCAACTCAAACTGAACTTCAAAGATAGAGGAAGCTAACTTTTTACATGGGTGTCAATACTGTTACGTGTGTGTACGCATGCGCTGGTGGGGCCAGGGGGTGCGCGTGCGCACGCACGTGCACACACGCACACACACACACAATAAATACCTGGACCAAAAACAGCCAAGGAAACAAAAGCCAGTAAGAGATAGATTCCCATGGTCTTGGAGAAGATAAGACTCTTTTACTTTATAAAACAGACTCACTCCACACACACTCCTTCTCACAAGACAACAAGCAAGAATCAAACCTTCAAGAGTTGATCATTCTGTATCTACTTCAACTCAGAGCACTAAATGACTTTCCCACACTCTGATCAAGCGCCTGTGGCAGTTTGTTAAAGAACATGAAGAGTTAGGGAGCGAAGCAGTGACAAAAGAAAGCAAATCTCACTGGATACCCTTTTAACACCATCTTTCCAATATCAGAAAGTCTCCTCAGGAGAAGCTTAAGAAACACTCGGCTGGCACTGCTGACACTCCGAAATGCCACCCCAGGAAATGTAAAATTTATCGTCCACGTAAGCACCACATCATTTCAACGTAAAATTAAGGGACTTGTCACAACTTGGTCAGCTGAGGTGACTGACTGGGCTAGCCTGGTCAAATTACCCTCACGGAGAGGTGGCTGATGAGGAAGCCCTTCTAGGTACGCAGTCATCCAAGCTGCCGCAGCAGCGAGCACAAAGGCACGGCCCTGGAGGTCTCATGGGCTTACCTGGCCTGCTGCTGCAACACATTCAGGTCCGTGCGCACCAGCTGGGTGGCGTCCTTCTGACTCAGGAGCACGGCTGAGGAAATGACTGGCACAGGAGGCCTCACTGGGTGCAGGTCAAGGGGAGGCTGGGGAGCCTCATGCTTCCGCAAGTTACTTAAAACCCTTTCTTTAGCTGAAAGAAAATTATGTCCTACTTACCGAGCAATGGCTACCACTAGGTAGTAACATATTAAATGGGTGCAAAGCCTTGGCCTATTACTTTTGAGAAGAATGCTGAAGATCTATAGAACAGTTACATAAACCATCAGAGGCCTAAATGAATAAAATCATTATCTTCAGTTACTTACAAGTTTTGAGGGAGCCCCCACCCGGCTACTAATATTCTACCGGGAGCTAGGAGCTCACAAGCATGTGGTATGATTAATAAACAGAATTCCTATCCAAAAAGCCTTAATGACAGTTTAAGAGCTAAAGCTTGTGATCTTAAATTATTACCCTAGACAGCCTTGCGTGACATGCTGCAGTGCCTGGACTTGATACGAGTAGTGAACAGCTCTCAACAAGCCTGAGAAAGGTGGTAGCTATCACCAGGTAGTCCCATTAAGAGTTTAATGTGGGGCGCCTGGGCAGCTCAGTCGGTTAAGCATCTGCCTTCGGCTCAGGTCATGATCCCAGGCTCCTGGAACCGAGCCCCGTATCAGGCTCCTGGCTCAGTGGGGAGCCTGCTTCTCCCTCTCCCACTCCCCCTGCTTGTGTTCCCTCTCTTGCTGTGTCTCTCTCAATAAATAAAATTTAAAAAAAAAAAAAAGAGTTTAATGCAATCATCCAGATAAACCTCATAAGAAGAGGAGGAAAAAAAAAATGGGTGTTAAGGAATATGACAGACTGAAAAATCTTAAATTGGGCCAAAGTTTGAACAGGAGGGCTGAGACTAGTATAAAATGAACAAAGACATGGGCACAAACTACTACAGTACTTATATTACATAATTATATTGTCATGCATTCATTTATTCACTTACTCATTAACTCAATAATAAAGTCCAAATAAGAAATCAGGTGCCATGTAAGAAAGTAAAGGCAAATTTATCCATCCAACTTTGTACTCGATTGCATGTGATCCCATATTGGTGAATGCAATTTTAGTGTTTTTATTTCTACACTTAGTACAGAGCTGACCACACACAGGTATCCAGTAAATTACTATCTTCCCACCCTCTTTCTGTTTTGCACTGGACACATACCATATAGCAGGTGGGGACTGAGGAACATGAAGAAAAATGCTGCCACACACCTGATTCTTTTCAAAAGATAACAGGGGATAGGAGAGGTCAAGGAAATTTCAATCAGTAAGTCAGGTCAACAAATACTTAAGGGATTACTATGAATTTCCAACTTCATTCCAGATGTAGCATTCCATTTTCTATTCTTAAGAAAATTTAAGACAACTTAATAGCCAGGATTTTACTTGGCATAAAAAGACCTGTATTGTTTGCACCCCAAACAGATGGAATTTAACATTCCAAACAGGTCAAGTGAGGGATCAACCTGTAAAGCCGGGGTTTTTCCACTAGAACAACTACTCTGCACAGAATGTAACAAAGTTGGATATTCATCACTGGAAAAGACTCCTAGCTTTGTGCAAGTTTCTCTCAAGCAACATTTTAGGCCATAAAGCTACTGCCTAACTGCCTGCCTCCAACTTCTTTTACGGAAAAAGTAAGTATCTTATTTAAGCCATTACTGTTTTGGAGTTTTCTCTCCATCACAGCCAAACCTAACCCTAAGTTGTAGACAAGTTAACAACGACCTCCTAAAAAGCAATTCTCACTGGAGGAATACACTGTGTAAACCTTAACCCTCAATGGTTCGGTTTCAATCATTCATTCCCTCACGCATTCATTCCCTCGAGGGGGCTGATGCTCATTCGCTCACCCAACAAAGGATCAGTGACGTCCAGCTGCATCAACAAGCTGCAGGGCGGAGAATGGGATTCCAGTGTGGCCTGTGTCCACAGACCAACGGTTTCCTGGAACTCATAATGTATGCGCTCCATGTTCAAATACTCCATCCACAGATCCTAGAATTGAACCACAGGACATTAGCTTTCATGAATGAATCACATATTCACATATAAAACTAAATTTTTTAACTAAAAAGTGGACCAGTAACGTTTGGCACAAGGTGGTCCATACCAAGCTCTCCAGTATTAGGATGAATCACATTTAAAATGGACACTAACAGGGGTGCCTGGGTGGCTCAGTCAGTTAAGCACCCGACTCTTAGTTTCAACTCCAGTCATGATCTCATGGGTCTGAGATCTCACCCCGCATCAGGCTCCGTGCTCAGCAGGGAGTCTGCTTGAAGATTCTCTCCCTCTGACCCTCCCCCCACTCCCACACATGTGTGCTCCCTCCGTCAAATAAATAAATCTTGGGCGCCTGGGTGGCTCAGTTGGTTAAGCGACTGCCTTCGGCTCAGGTCATGATCCTGGAGTCCCTGGATCGAGTCCCGCATCGGGCTCCCTGCTCGGCAGGGAGCCTGCTTCTCTCTCTGACCCTCCCCCCTCTCATGTGCTCTCTGTCTCTCTCATTCTCTCTGTCTCAAATAAATAAATAAAATCTTTAAAAAAAAAAATAAATCTTTAATATATATATATACACATACACACATGCATATATAAAAAACAGAATGGATACTAACAATCTTAGCAGGTGTTTGATTACGTACCAAGATCAGAAAAAATAATTTTAACAGCCCCACCAACTGTACATTTATAAATTATATACACATAGTACTGAGCTAATAAATTATAAAACATGAGTAAAAGTCAGAAATTTTAAAGAGATAAATAACAAATATATTGGAAAATCGTTGAATCTGGATTAGATCAGGCCCTTGGTCCCAATACCATCCTACAGGAAATACAGGGGACAGAGAGACATATTAAACCACACTAACAAAGATAAAATCTATAAAATCCAGACTGGGGAAACTATATGAACGAACTATCCAGTTTCTTCAACAGACAAACTGCGAGGGGAAGAAAAGGAATAAGGTGAGGACCAGTAGATTAAACAGATTTAAAGAGCTATCAACCAATCACAAAACGAGGATCCTGACTCAAAGTATAAAAATGAAAATAAAACTTTTATGACATTTATGAGGTAACCAGAAACTGGAACACTTAGATATTTGATATTAAGAAACTGCTGTTAATATTTTTCAGATATAAATGCTATTGGGTTAGAATACTTTTTTTTAACCCTCATCTTTTGAAATCTACATGCATCAAATGCTTTCTAGGATTATTCCAAAATAACATGGGTGAAGGGAGTGGATGGGCTACAGATAAAATTCGACACCTGGTACCCAGCAGGCAGAGGGAGGAGAAGGGCTGTGTGTTGCACTATTCCATTTTTCTGTATGATCAAATTTTTTCTATTACAAAAGAAAATAAATAATAGATAAAAGGAGAAAAAACAGAAGTTTCAGTATTCTCTTCCCACATTCCAATGAACTGTCTTGCATATTTTGAACTACGCCTACTTCACTTTGGTGATCAATACATATCAGAATGGGAGACCGTCTTCAGTGAAAAGAAATGGCAGCTCTCCATGAACACTAAAAACTGTATCAAACAGTAGTAACGGGTGATCAGATATGGACTATGGACTATAGTTTTGTGAACAATTTATTTTTCTGATTTTAAGTGTTTAAAGGATTCCTCTAAACCTACAAATGTCTCTGGTTTCTCAATGAGCACACTGCCATGTAGTCCTAAATCATTACTTCCAAACCACGGCACGAGGCATTCCAGACTCAGAGGAGAAACTACGAAGTCATCTCGGTCACAAGCCTGAATCGAGAGGCCCCAAACAACTGCTGGAGGTGCTGTACCAGTCCCCCCTACTGTGTATACACGGCTCCTTTAAGAGGGATCGCTAATGTCACCTTCTCTGCCTCTGTGCTAAATAACTGCTGACAGAGGCTAACGATTGAGAATACAAAGAATTAACAGTGGGCAAGCAAGAGATGTCTCAGAAACCACAAAAAGACAGAACAACTCTAAATGTGAACTACAGATCAAAAAGTGGAGCTATAGGGGCACCTGGGTGGCTCAGTTGGTTAAGCATCTGCCTTCAGCTCACGTCATGATCCCAGGGTCCTGGGATTGAGCCCTGCATCAGGCTCTCTGCTCAGTAGAGAGCCTGCTTCTCCCTCTCCCTCTGCTGCTCCCCCTTCTGTTCTCTCTCTCTGTCAAATAAATAAATAAAATCCTTAAAAAAAAAAAGGGGGCGCCTGGGTGGCTCAGTTGGTTAAGCGACTGCCTTCAGCTCAGGTCATGATCCTGGAGTCCCAGGATCGAGTCCCGCATTGGGCTCCCTGCTCTGGCTCCTCCCTCTGACCCTCCCCCCTCTCATGTGCTCTCTCTCTCATTCTCTCTCAAATAAATAAATAAAATCTTTAAAAAAAAAAAAAGTGTAGCTATAAAATCAAATGGCAAAGACTTTAAAAAAAAAAAGAAAGAAAGCTATTAATTCTGTCGATACTAGGGAACCAAGATAAATATCTGAGAACCAAGAAGCTATGACTAATTTTTAAAAACACTGACCAGACATCTACTACACACAAATTCTTAGGTAAGGCCTTGGCATGTAGAGGATAAAGAAGAGATGAACACAGAACTGACTCAAAGGCTTTCAGGACACCATGACTGCCTATTTATGTTTCCTGTTTCTCTGGCCCTGGATTCTCAGCCTTATTTCTCTATGCCCTAAATGTCGTTACTTCTCAGGGCTCTGGCTTCATTCAGTCCTCTTCGCAATCTAAATGCTCCACTACCGTTAAACCCGCATTTCCTACCCTGCCCCGTTCCTGAATTCTAGCATCCCCTCCCTACCAAATCCTGGAGAGAGCATCCTCCTTGAAGCCCCTCTGGCACCTCCGCTTCCAGTGTTCTGGGTCTTTGCTAACAGTATCTCTAGCCGCCCAAGCCAGAAATCCGAGTGTTCTCGTCTATCTAATCAATCCTACCACTGCAGATCAATCCCACCTGTGTATCTAATCTGAAAACCCTCCTGATCCTACTGATTCTTCTTCAACATACTTTAAATTCATCCATTTATCTAATCACTCCTGTCATTTCATGGCCCCTTCAAACAAACACTTCAGAACAAAATCCAAGTTCTTTGGAAAGGCATTTTTGGTCCTTAGAAATTTAACCCCTATTCACCTGTCTGGCATCATCTGCCCTCTTCGGTGGTTACACCCCATCTGCACCTCTTGAACATGCCTGTGACCCCATTTCCATATCAGTAAGTGGTTTTAACGTCAGATTAAGACTGTGACCTATTTGATGACAGTCAGGTATGCTAAAAGAGACATTGCCATAGTCTCACCTGCTGATTCTGCATCACTTTTGCTAGCCTGTGAATATCGTAATGCTTTGGTAGAGAAGGGATGTAAGTATCTCCTTTTTGAAAATTCTCATCTTCCAGCCATACTATATACACATTGAAGAGCCTAAAAGAAAAAAGACAGAATTATATAAAATACAAAAAGATGTGCAGACAAATGAAGTTTCTTACATCCGTAGGAACCCTGTCACTACTACATAGAAGTAAAAAGCACATAATACCGAAAATGTTTCCATCCACCACCACAGGCCCACGAAGCTCATGGGCCAGCAGGGGAGGAAGGTCACAAATCCTTACAATATGGTGCAGTAATTGCTACAACAAGGCTGTGAGAAAAGGACTCTGCAAACTCTATTATTAAAGTTGGGGTAAATACAACACAGAGATTAAAAATAAACGGAAGAGGTGATTTTAACGTAGACCTAAGATCTGAATTTGGAGTTTTTCCTTCCTGGGCAATCCAGTCACAGTGAGCCTCAATGGTTGGAAAAGTTTAAGTAACATTCCAGTAAACATATTTTCTCTCTTTCAGAGAAAACATTAAAAGCCATCTTAGGGGCACCTCGGTGGCTTAGTCAGTTAAGTGTCTGCCTTCAGCTCGGGTCATGATCCCAGGGTCCTGGGATCGAGCCCCGCATCAGGCTCCATGCTCGGCGGGAAGCCTGCTTCTCCCTCTCCCACCCCCCCTGCTTGTGTTTCCTCTCTCTATGTGTCTCTCTCTGCCAAATAAATAAATAAAATCTTAAAAAGAAAGAAAAAAAAAAAGCCATCTTAAACTTTCGCAACAGAAGAACCTGCCAGCTTTAGACTTAATGACGCCCTCCTGCTTCAAGGAATCACAAACAAAACTCAAAGTATGTGTATACCTTGTTCCCATTAACAAGGAATAAAACAAAGCCTGGCTAAAAAAAGAAAGAAAAAAATCTCCATTTTCCAGTAAAAATTTTTTTAAAAATTTAATGATGTTTCCTTTGTTTTTATAAGGAACACAGTCCAGTTAGCTAGGCTCACCAGTATTCCAAGCAGCTGTTTGCAGCAAAGGGAGGACTAGAGGAGTCCGTGGCTCAGGAACTGCTGGGTGGGGTCTGGGAGCTGGCACAGTTTGGCTTTGCTCAGTAACATGGAAAACTACCTCCCTTACCTCTGAGGCAGCCCGTGCAGGAAGAGGGACAGGACTCTGAGGCTCTCACACACAGAAGAGGACAGTGTGGAGTTCTCTTCCAGCTCCTGATTCAGTTAGATGGCTACTTAACGAACATGCCAAAGGAAGGGGGGGTTTACGAGAGGCAGAAGGGCACATCAAACTTTCTTGGCTGATCTAAATGTTCAAAGATTAAGCCTCCCCACTGTTAAACCTGGCTAAAAGTAAGTTTTCCTTCAAGCAAGATAAGGGGAGAAATCATCCCAGAGGCAGAAAGATAGCCCGCAGGGCTTTCAGGTCAAGCAAGCCTGAAGCCTCAGAGCTGGATCAAAACCCCGGGTTTCCTGACCAAGACATTCAGCATTCAGGGCTACTTATTAGAACCCATTTTTATTAAGTCTTATTTAGAAGACTAATACCTGGTTTATGGCAAGCATAAATGAAAGGTAAAGGACTAGTGTGAAACGGACCACACTTACTTCAGAGTTCTTAACCTTTGGAGAGATATCCATTTTATGCCTGATTTTAGAAGTGATTTTTTGGTTTGTTTTTTTTTTTAAAGATTTTATTTATTTATTTGAAAGAGAGAGAGAGAGCGCGAGAGAGGGAACACAGCAGGGGGAGTGGGAGAGGGAGAAGCAGGCTCCCCGCTGAGCAGGGAGCCCGATGCAGGGCTCGATCCCAGGACACTGGGATCATGACCTGAGCCAAAGGCAGATGCTTAACAACTGAGCCACCCAGGCGCCCCTTAGAAGTGGTTTTGGGGGATTACTAGAACCTACCCTACCCCAAGTAGATTCCAAGAGGTGTATGGACTTTGCTTAAAGAACCCTGCCTTGCTCATGAAGTTCCTTTAGAGAAGTTTCCTAGCAGGCTTTACTAGATGTTTACCTGCTGTGACCGACTGTTTTGGTTTCTGTTATTACATAGAGAAACAGAAGAGGACATCAGCCCCTCTAGCTTAAGACCTTCCATTCAGACTCCAGGCACCTGACAGAGCTATATCCAAAGTGCCAATTCCCTTCTCATGAGGAACACAGAGAAGAAGCATTACAAGATGCAAACCTAGGGACGCCTAGGTGGCTCAGTTGGTTAAGCAACTGCCTTCGGCTCGGGTCATGATCCTGGAGTCCCGGGATCGAGTCCCACATCTGGCTCCCTGCTCGGCAGGGAGTCTGCTTCTCCCTCTGATCCTCCCCCCTCTCATGCTCTCTCTCTCTCTCATTCTCTCTCTCAAATAAATAAAAATATTAAAAAAAAAAAAAAAGATGCAAACCTAGCCCAAACCACCCTCCCTATTCAATCTAACAGGGTTGAGAGAATGACATCTGGCAGTCTGTAGCACAAACAGGTGCTCCAGCAGAGTACCCGATGCTGCCAACGACAGCACAGAGGGCTAAATAACCATGCCCCACCTCACGAGCTCCGTGTGCAGCTCTGGTGAAGTCAGGTAGCCGGGGGTGCCAGCCTGGCTGGCAGGTGGCCTTTCACTGCCCTCTGCTGGAACGCGGAGGGCCTTGCTCGCAGCATGGTGGAAGTCTGCCACCTCCATCAGGCGCCTCTTCATTTCTTTCAACAAACTGATATGAGCAGGGCTTTGAAAAAACCTTCTTCCAATACAACCATCTATGGGTAACCTTAAAAAATACAAGCACAGATCACAAGATCAACACAAGATGCTCTTTCTATGTGGCACACAACTGCAATCAGTTAATTCAATGGCTATAAATATACCACATTAAATCAATACCTGTTATTTCTACCTCAGTGGTTGGTATGAGGCTCCAACAAGAGGGTGTGTATGAAAGCAGTTTTAAAAAGAATGCAATGCTACACAAATTTAAGATATTATCACGACTTAGCGGTACAGAATAAAGACAGTCTCTGCTCTAGAAGAAGTTGCAAGCTGGTAGAAAACAGAAGAGCCCAAGAACCAATATCTGTACGTTCTGAAGGACTGAGTTAAGGGAGTGAGGGTGAGCCAGGAATTGAGCTGGAGCCAGAGAACACGGTCAGTTAACAGTGAATGGGCAGTTCCAGCTGCCAGAGTCCCTTAATACCCAGGGGAAATGTTAGACACCCCCAGGCACAGCCCAAGGGCTGCCAGGCAGTGCCTGATCTTTGTCTACACCTGCTCTGGCCAGCACAAGTCCGCTTGGATGACCCCCACAACAGTCACACGAGCAGCCTGCTTGGGGCAGTTTCTCTCCCTTTGCAGCTCCAGGGGCTCTATGCTACACCTTGCCCAGCTCCAGGTGCTGTCCTCACCCCAGGGGGTATAGGGGATGGTAAAGAGAGAGCTGCCACAAGATACCCTAAACTCAAGAACTGTCTAGTCTAATAAATGTGAAACAGAGGGGCAGACTCCTAACCAGAGGCTAAAGAATGGTTCTAACTCACAGGCCACAGTGTGAGAACACAGAGCATGAGAGCAGAGTGCAAAGTAAAGAACAGGTTCAAGAGACACCTACAACAACACTGGGTACCATACCCATATTGCGGTCCTGGGCGATGAAGATACAGGAGGAAGAACTTCTGCCAAATGAGAGGCAGAAGAGGGTGATCAGAAGGTGTGACAAGGGCCTGGTGCGCCCAACGATAAATCAGCAGCCTCTGCAGGGATGGGACGATGGGGAGCTTCAGCTGGGCCTGGGCTTTCTACAAAAGAGGAGGGGCTTTGAGCAACCATGATATGATCACAGTTCCAGACAGTCAGCTCTTTCTAAATGATCCAAAAAAAACACTGAACATTTTGTTTTCATTCAGTAAGAAAAAAAAGTCCTATAAACCTTACTTTTCCAACCCACTAGCTGACACAAGGTTACTCCTTGGTAGCAAAACATGTGGGGCAGTTTTTTTTCTGTCAAAACATTTCATAAGCCCCCAGACTGGAATGTGTCTTACACATTTTACCTCATTTCCGTGCCTTTCCAGGCCTTTGCGCACAAAACGCCACAGTACAAGGGAGCAGAACGATAGGAAAATCAAGTCAATTTTACTGTCAAATGTTAGGAATCTCTTGAAAACTTAGATTTGAAAAGAACTGTCAAGAATGATAAACTCCTTGACAGGGTCTGAAATCCAAAATCCAACTCCCTATTAGGAGACCTTAAAATAGGTCTTTCATTCTAAAGCCTTATCCCAGTCTTTTTCTCATTCCATGAGCCTAAAGATCAGCTAGGGAGTTTTTAAAATAAATTCCTGGTCCCACTCCAGACTTAGAAACTCAGAATTTCAAAAGCTGGGGTCCGGGAATCTGATTTTTAACGAGCTCTCCAGGGGACTGATGCACAGACGCACATTGGAAATTGTTTTAAAACGAGGGCAAACCCCTCCACCCCTGCATGAACACAGACTTCAATCGTTAGGTTGTGACTCTTTATGCTAAATAAAGCTTGGAAAGGAAGTATACACTTCAATTATACAGTTTTAAGCACTGGTTTGGATGTTGTGCTTTCCAAGCATTTACATGAAAGAAAACGCAGAAGTTCAAAAGCTATTAGATGAATCCATCAATAAACCACCTTCTCCCACTCAAATGCAGAACTGCTTTTTGCACCTTCAGAGCTTGGTCAGGGGTAAAAGCTGAGTTTATCACCAATTCCCCTTCGACAACTCGACGGAGCTGGGAGTCTTCTTCAAAGATGGATTCCATGTTCAGTACTGTCCAGGCGAACCAGACCTACAAGGACAGCAGGTAAGAGTGAGGGGAATGAGCAGCTCACTCAGACCAAATCATCCCGACATTCTACAAATGCGCATCTCTTCTACCAGATATCTCAATCAACAAATATTTATGGTTCCCCGAATTAACAGAGTTCTTATACCTATCACTGTTCTTGTCACAGGTCCAAACTTAGATAAAACAAATCACTGAAAAATGCTAAATTCCCTCAGAAACGCCACTTCAGTAAAAGAAGACGTTTGTTCACACAATAATTATTTCTTGGGCAGGTTCCATAGGCACGAGGGACAGGAAAGAGGGCCAGATCTGAGCTCTGCCCTCAAGTTTTCCATCTCTTCGAGGAGACGAGACTAACGTTTAAGTAACTACAATGCGAAGCGAGAGGTGCTGAGCACGGAATCAGGAGTCAAGTGCTGTGGGAAGCTGGCGGAAGGAGCACAGGGCCACGGAGCGGGCATACCACAGACGACTCTGCATGGAGAATGGCCACGAAGGCGTGCCTGGTAAGAGGACCGGTGAGGCAGGGGCGGAGAGGCGGAAACACCAGGCACCCGTGTGGGTGACAGCAAGGAGTGTGTCACAGCTGGCTCACGAGAGGTTAAGAGGAAGAGCGGGGGCAAGACCGATGGGAGGCTGAAGGCTGTCACTACTGGTGGGAGGGATGAATCGGGGACATAATGTGACACACAACGTCAGACGGGGGTAAGAATGAAGAAAAGCTGCCGCTGCGGCTCATGGTGGTAAGAGCAGCCAACACCGAGTCCGCGCCGTGTGGCTGCACTGAGCACGGGGCTGAGTGCACTACATGCAGATGCAACCGTTACTCCATTCCACAGCAGAGGGAACTGAGGACAGAGAGGTAAGCAAGCCGCCCGAGGCACAGGGCTAACAAAGAGCAGACCGGGCCTGGGGCGGTCTAGCTCCAGCGTCCACTCTTAACCATGCTGCTGGGCAGGCCCTGCCATCAGGCACACCAGGCCCGACCCCGAGTTGTCGGACACTCTGCCAGCCACTTGGCTCCACGAAACCTCCGTTAACATCTCCGTGAAACAGAAGAGCAACAGCACCACCTCAGCAGAGAGCCACTGGGAGGGTTACGTGGAAAAGCATTCTAATACGCAGTAAGAGGGGCGCTACTTAAAGCTGGTAGCACTGTATCAGCATAGATGATAACAACATTAAAAGTTCGCGAAGATTACCAATGGGCCGCAGGGGCGCTCCTACCTGGGTGGGCGTGGCCAAGCCCTCCACGAAGGAAGGAGTGATGTTGCCAGCCACGATCCAGCTCACCAAAGAAGAGAGCAGACTCCGATCACAGTGGTAACCCAGAGCATTCTACACATGGGACAGGATGTGCAGCAGAGAGAAGAGGCTTTAAAAAAACCTTATCAAGAATATCAGCAATTATCTTCCTACAACAGTAGGTTCTGGTAAGACACGGATTTCACTGATTAGTCCCCCCCAGCAATGATAGTCACAGGCAGCGTGTTACAGCCAAATGCGATGAGCAAGCTCCTCCCGGGGGGGTCCTTTCCTTTGGCTTCCCTGGAGTCTACACTAGCAGAGACTATGGTTCCTGAGATAAGGCACCATCAAGACCAAGCTTTAAAAAGGCAGTACCCCAGAGTAGCACTGGGAACTGTGCATTTGGAGGAATGTTCTGAGAAGGCCACTATCTAGCCAATGACTGGAAGACAAATTCTCTAACAGGTTTACCTTATGTTGCTGGTAAAGTAATTTCTGCACACAGTCTTCCTGCATCAGCTGAAAAGCTGTTTTACACAACTGGTCCATGAGGAAGAGGATGGCTTGTTCTCGGTACCAAAGATGCTGGCTTATTAGAGCCTGAACCCAGAACTCCAACACGGCAACGGGGCCCACTTCATTGGGCTGCGTGCTTACAGATATGTGGGCCTATGGAGAAAGGTCTCAGGTGATGTGGAGGTAAGAGTCAGCCTCCCATTTTTAAAACACCAACAAATAAAAACCTCCACTACAAAGCCCAAATCTGCTGCCAAGTGCTTTGAAATGACCAACACTCAGCTGTGCTAACACCAGGGTGCTTGACTGGGAAGGTGGGCCGGTGTCTATGTAGGGGCTTCCTAGGGGCCTGACCTGGATCATGCTGTTGAGAAGCTTCACGTTGTCCCCATGGCTGGCTCCTGTCAGGTGCTGTGCCACCTTGTGGGTGACCTGCTGTGTGACACCCTGAAGGACACCACTGTCCAGGTGTAGGAACAGGAGGAGGTGTGACAGAAACCTGCCAAGAACATAGGACAACACACTTGACCTTCTAATCAGAAGTCAATAAAGTTTCCAGTGGCTAATTACTTACAAGGAAACAGAAAAATATTAAACTGGTCCCATTTGTAGACCAAAGCTCTTTTAGAGATTTCAACAATTCTTCAAGAATTTCAGAAAAATGAAGTTTTTGAATTTAAGGTGGGTTAAAAGGAATTCTATCTACCTGTAGAAGTATAGTGAACAGACAGATCCAAGACACACAAACACACACAAGTTAAAAAGCATTAGAGGAAAAACATCCCAAGCATCCCGTTTATCCCCTCCCCACTCCCTACTCTCACAAAAGCAGAGATGTTTAGAAAATCATCCCACAATCTGGTACTGCCTGTCAACTTCATACAAGGTGGTGTAAGGGGTGCGGGGGTGGAATCCCACCACAAATGGGGGGAGTGCCCTCAGTTCCCTGGGTGTACTGGCTCCTGCCTCTCTCCTGTCTCCTCTGCTTCTTCTGGGTCTTGTGCCTGAAACACTCCCCCACACCTAACCTGGCAAACTCCTATTCATTCCCAACATCTCATCTACAATGTCCTTTCCCCAGAAGACACTTCCTGACCCTTCCCTGCTATCTAAAATACACCTAACCCAGGGGCGCCCGGGTGGCTCAGTTGGTTAAGCGACTGCCTTCGGCTCAGGTCATGATCCTGGAGTCCCAGGATCGAGTCCCGCATCGGGCTCCCTGCTCGGCAGGGAACCTGCTTCTGCCTCTGACCCTCTCCCCTCTCATGTGCTCTCTCTCTCTCATTCTCTGTCTCAAATAAATAAATAAAATAAAATAAATAAATAAATAAAAAGAAATAAATAAATAAATAAATAAAATAAAATACACCTAACCCATGAAGCCTCCCCCAAACCCTCCCTCTGCACACCCTTGCCCAACCATCCACTGCCTTCCATCCCCCCCAGCAGGATGTGACAACCCAAATCATCTCTAGACATTACCAAATGTCCTCTGAGGCTCAAAATCACCCCCGGCTGAGAACTACCACTTTAGAATTACTTGACGTTATCACGAGCCTTTTTCCCAATCACATGAGCCAATATATACCCTTCTTGGTGAAACCAGTGTGCACTGGATTTTTATCATGTGTAATGGGGAATCTTGATTAATACTCCATTCTTAATTCCCTCCCTCCCCAAGCAGCTACTTCTTTTACTATAAATCCCATTTACTTTTACCCAGATGCAAATGCAACCTATAACACTACAGCATGGCCTTGCCAATAACACTTTGTAATTACCTCAAAAGTCTTGTTTCCTCAACAAGATTATGAGTATCTCATGTGATGAGCACCTTCCCATGTATCTTACCTGCTTGTAATAGTACAGACAATGAAAAGCAGTAGGTTTTACTACTGTTACAACGGCAAAGCCATTTGCTGCTCAATGTCAGAAACACTATTCCCAGGTTTCATGGAAACAACTACTCTCTCAAATACTAACAAGCTATAAGCAATCTAAAATTAAATGAGAAGAGGAAATATCTTTCATGAAAATAAAACTGGAATCATTTTAGGAGTTACTGTTCATCAACCTGCATTCTAAACTAGGCAGGAAGTTTTTTTGCCTCATAAAAAATACACTATGGAATCACATCATTCCCTATTTTACTTGAAAACACAGTGGTTGGTCCTCCCTGGGCTATACCCTACTTACTGCTCGTTCTTCAGAAGGTAATACTGGCCAGGGTAGAACAAAGGCAGGATCTTATCCAGGACATGAACCACTGTTCTCAAATGCCTCGACTGGACCAGAATTCCTAACAGTGAGATGCCTTCGGCACAGAACTTCTCAATGCTACGGAAAGAGACAAAGGCAATGAGCATTCAAGAAAATGATGTTCTTCCAATGAGCCATCAGCCTACTTGCTACCCAGATGATCTCAGGTCCCCAACACATGGTGTGCACAGCCAAACTTCACACAGAAATACCAGCACCAGAACTCGGGAAGTACAAAGAACTTAACAGTTCATCTGTATTTTCACTTTACAGATGAGAATGGTGAGGTATCATGCCCAAATTCACATAATTTCCTAGTGTAGGGCCAAAATGAGAACCCAGCTTTGCAAATTTCCAGTCCAGAACACTGGCCACTACCCCATTTTGCTTCCCAAATGGTGCTTCTTCGAAGAGCCATGGGGCTCTCATTGTCTGCGCATTTCCACAAGGTATTAGAGCAAAGAGAAGATTCAAAAGTGAGTTCACGCTGTTAGTATAAACTGGCGAAATTCTTCTGAAACCAATTTGCATAAAAATTGATTTATTCTTTGACTCACTTCAGAAAATCTATCTTTAAGAAATAATCTCAATGTGGAGAAAAATATGACATATGATCCATGTAAAGATGTACTTTTCAAAATTATTTAAAATCACAAACTCAGAGGCAAAAATGATATATGTAAATTTTGGGAAAATCCATTCAATGGGAATATTATTGCATCATTTAAAAATAATGCATATGAGGGGCACCTGGGTGGCTCAGTCGGTTAAGCATCTGGTTCTTAGTTTCAGCTCAGGTCACAATCTCAGGGTCGTGAGATCAAGCCCCACATGGGACTCCGTGCTCAGCATAGAGTCTCCCTAAGATTCTTTCCTTCACTCCCCCTTTGCTCCTGCCCCCCAAATAAAATAAATAAAATCTTTAAAAAGAATGCATATGATGTGCAAGGGCAACATGGAAAAATTCTACTACACTGATGCCGGGGGGAGAAAAAAAAACATAAAATGTTATACTTTTGATTACAACAACTAGTAAAAAAGAATCATATAGAAGGGAAAAAACAGGGGCGCCTGGGTGGCTCAGTCGTTAAGCGTCTGCCTTCAGCTCAGGTCATGATCCCAGGGTCCCGGGATCAAGCCCCACATTGGGCTCCCTGCTCAGCGGGAAGCCTGCTTCTCCCTCTCCCACTCCCCCTGCTTGTGTTCTCTCTCTCTCACTGTCTCTCTGTCAAATAATAAAATCTTTAAAAAAAAAAAAAGAAGGGAAAAAACACAGGTATGATATCACACCAAAATGTTCATTGTGCTGGAGAAGTAGAAGTAAGTGGCTCTTTCTCCCATCTTCCTACTTCTACAGTTTGATTATACTGCTTTAATTCTAGGGTGAAGAGGCGCCTGGGTGGCTCAGTTGGTTAAGTGACTGCCTTCGGCTCAGGTCATGATCCTGGAGTCCCGGGATCGAGTCCCGCATAGGGCTCCCTGCTCGGCGGGGAGTCTGCTTCTCCCTCTGACCCTCCTCCCTCTCATGCTCTCTGTCTCTCATTCTCTCTGTCTCAAATAAATAAATAAAATCTTTAAAAAAAAAAAAAAAATTCTAGGGTAAAAAGTCATTTCAAAAGATAAAAGTAATGATGCAAAGATTATACCACAGGGAGATGTTTATAATATTAGAATGAGAAACAAAGGATATACAAAATTATACATATGTTATAACTCTAAAAAACATCAAAGGAAAAAATACTGGATAAAAAGCAAACCGGAAAAGAAAAACCCAGTGTTTCATTAGGGTAAGAAAGATTCTGGGTGATTTCTCTGACTATTGTTCTCTGTTCTGTGTGATGTTATATTCATGTACAACTTATATCCCTGAATACTCTGTCCCCAACCCCAAGCACATTCATAAGATTGTTTTAAGTTAGTTCTAGTATATATACATCCCTGATGACCACGGTGGATGGAGTTCAGTCCACAAGAGAAACACTTTATTCTCACCTCCACTCCCGTTCGGGATGCAGTAATCAGCACCAAACAAATAGTTATGTTTGGAGAAGACCGATAGTAGTATCAGTGAATAAAGAGGTGCAGTCCCAGAACGAATACAAGACACGAGAGAAATCATGAAAGATTAAGTTCAGAGCACTACACTCAGAATCCACATGCCAGCCATTTGCTGAACAAGTTGAAAGTATTATCACACACTTAAGGCTCAACAAGTCAGTCCAGTACTATCATTATTCCCATTTTAGAGATGAGGAACCTGAGGTACAGGAAACTCGACCTAGCGAAGGACACTTGGGTTACTAGAAAAAAAGAAGAGTGCTTTCCAAAGCGCCTGTGTAACATCTCTCCTCGTCCTAGTGGATCAGTTCTACCCTCTTTCACCTGACTTTCAAATCTGTCCATCACACTTGGGCCCTACTCACCTACGTGGTCACCTCCGGTCACTCACGGGAAGCACGGGCTTCGGTCAGGAGTGCTTCCTCACCCCCCCACACACACACTCAGACACCTGCTGCTCCTTCCCGCATTCATGGAGTCAAACACCTACTAGTCCAAGCTGTGGAGATACACAGATGACAGGACAATGCCCTGCCGTCAAGGAGCACGCAGTGCACGAGGAGAGCAAGAGACACTATCACACTGCAATACAGTAAGGGTGCTGCTCGGAGTGCACACGTGCTGCGGGGGGACGGGGAGGGCAAGGCCCGTGGCTGAATTTTCCACACTGGGGGCACTAGTCACCTGGAGAGGGTGAGTGTCACCACTCTGCCCCCTAGCCTCGGATGCCTTCTCTACTTAAGACTCCTCTCCAAAGCTTCGCTCCTCTACGCAGGTATCCTGCCCTCATGATCTCTCCTTCCTTGAAATTCCTTCTGCTCATACTTTTGAGTGGTTCCCAATCCAGGCTGTACATCAGAATAATCTGGAGAACTGGCCCCCAGACCAATTATATCTGGATTCTCGCCCTCTTTTCCGTAGCTTTAGAATCACTCCGAACAGGACTCTAAAGAGCAGCAAGGGTGGAGAAGCACCGCTCTACAAACCTCATCCGGCCCACAATCACATCTTTAGCGCTGCCCACTACCTTCTGTCAACCAGCTCCACTAAACTGTCAATAACCTGAAGGCAGCTAACTAACAGTTCCATGTCTCTCCCACTTCAGAGCACAAGGCCGAACACAAACAGCTGATAGGACACCCAGCATCCCACTGAAAATACATGTAATGCGAAACAAGATGTTGACATTGGGATGCTAAAGAAGTATTACAGTGAGTCTAAAATGCAAGAACCAGAAGCATGTAGGTGAAAGAGATTTTAGAAAAACAGATAGGCTAGAAAAAATTAATACATCGTAGGAAAATGATCTTTTCCAAAACAAAAAACAAAAAAAACGATTTTTAACCAACTAAGAACTCATCCATTTACTTACGGGACCAGCTACAGCTGTCAGCACTAGGGATGAAATGGGAACACAAGACAAACATGGTTCCTGAGGTTAGGACCTCACAGACGATCCCTGAGAAGACTGAACAGACAACTACAACACAGTGTGGCAAATGCTCCAGTGGAAGAAATAGCGACAGCTCTGGGCTCATGCCAAAGAAGCATGTGACCTGATCAGGCATTTCTTTCCCCTGGGCAGATTTAGCCCTTTAGTGGAGAAGCCTGAGTTGGGCTGCCATCACTTTAAACAAAATTCAATACAGATGACCAATTCTTTTTATGTGATCTCTATTCCAAGAAAGAGAAAACACCTACTGCTGACATGAACATTCCACTCTGGGGCACAGATATACTCTCTCCATAATGTATGAGGTACAAATCTGTCTTATATGAATTTGGGCAGCATTTCCCCTGGAGAAACCATTAATAAGGCTTATGATTTGGTCCTGATCACCATTAGATAGGTTTGATGGAGGCCTCAGACCTTGGGGTGTGAAAAACGAGATCTAGAATCACTGACTGAGGTTCAGCGACCCTAGGGGCTCAGCCCACACTGTACCTGTGGCCCACGGTGGTCATAGCTAAAGCCAGGTAACAGCCGATGGGCATGCCCGCCTTAACAGCCTTCAAGAGAGGATGAAACGTGGGTGACTCTGTCATGTCAGGCACAGTGCTGGAGAAGGGAACAGTTGGACAATTCTGCTGTATTCCATAATCATTTTTGTGCAGTTTTAACCTCAAGATCAAGTTCCAGGCCCACTGGTTAAATGAGGTCTCAGGTGTCTCTCCATATCGAACAATACTGGCCAAATATGAAACCTAAAACAATTATTTATTTTAAAACCACAATTAGTCACATACAAATTAAATCAGTAAGCTCACCCGCCCATTTCCTTCTGTGATCGACAACATCCTCAAAAGAGAGGACATACTACTTACCAGTACTCAAGTGTTTACAGCACTCAATTAAAGCAATTTCTCACAACTACCACTTCTGCTTACTTGCTAGTCACTTTGTGAACCTGATCTGAGTCAGTGCAAGCAAAGGAGCAATAATACAAAGGTTGGTACACAACAAATGGTGTCATGATAGGTACGTTTTAACAACCAGCTGGAGCGTGGGAGATCATTTACAGGGTTTGTCAATTTTGGTAGTGTAAAAACTCCCACCATGGTCAGGTGCAAGCTACAAACAGGTTAACAACCTGGTTTGCAAAGCTCCTGAAAATTCAGTCCGTTCTCCTGAGCCAGGACATGCCAGCTCCAGCTTCCACTGAATTCTACAACACTGAAATGGTCATATGTAAGCTACTTCTCAAAGAAAAATCTTTATCCAACCACAGAATTCAATTTCAGGATCTTAAATTGCCAGAAATGGTCTTAGGCAATCTAAGGGTAAATACTGTAACTTTATCCACCCGGGCCACTTACAAAAAAGATGTTCTCAGTATAGAGGAAAAGGAAATACCTGCTTCATACTTTCAGAAAGAAGCCCGGCATATGGCTTCTGTGCAAGGTATTTCTGGTACGCTTCAAGAATCATTAAAGCCACTTCAGCATGGACTGCTTGATCCAGATGAAGGGTACCCTTTCAAAGAGAAAAATAATCACAAACAAGCCACCTTGATTTTTTTTTTTTTTAACATGCCCTTGAACAAAAAGACTAGGAAAAATAGTAAAAAAGGATCTTGGATGTAGAACTTAAGCATTCCAAAAATGACATCCCCTAACAATTAAGTTATAAAATGACAACAGGAAAAAACCCTGAAATCTTAAAGAACCATTAATTGCACTTAGATAGGTTTGAATCTGACTCATCTTGGACCCCAGGTATATCTTTGAATGTAACTCCCCCACCCTAGAAGCTCTATAAAGTCTTTGGGTTACAATTTTAAGGGCATTGCCACAAACCGGGAAATTGTTCAAGTATTATTAAACAGGAAAATATTTAATAAATTAAGTCTATATTCCCTTTCATTATTCTATCATCAGTGAAAATATAGAAGATACTCAACAACACAGGGCACCCGGGTGGTTCAGTCAGTTAAGCGTCTTACTCTTGATTTCGGCTCAAGTCATGATCTCAGGGTCTCTGCTTCAGATTCTCTCTTCCTCTCCCTCTATCCACTGCCCCACACCACCCCCCATCACACACGTGTGCACTCTCTAAATAAATAAATAAATAATAAATAAACCTTAAAAAAAAAGATAACACAGATAAAATATTCCTTCAGGAGCTTGAAGTTGCCTATCGAATTTCCCATCCAATCTTCCTTTGCAACCTGAAGAAATACATTTCTTAATCCTTTAACGGAAGATGACTTTCCTAATGAAGGATCGTGGAGACTCTCACAGGGAAGTCTTCACACAGCCAGCTGGGAGAGGAAGGGCTGAGGGGAGGGGGGTTCTACTCACAAATCAGAGAACGTGAAGATGAAAATTAGCCCCCTATAGCTCTCACCCATCAGCACTGGAGTGGGAGAAGCTCCAAATGGACCCAGGGGCAGACCCAGGTGGCTAGGGACACCCAGGGAGAAAAGCTGCCTGGTTCCAGTTTTCTCATCTGTACAACAGGGGTCAAGTACATGGAAACCTCACAAGACGGCTATGAGGACTAAATGATTTGCTGAGAATAAAAGCTGGCAGACAGAGAGGGCTGAGTTCTCTCCCATTTTCCCTGTATAATACCAAAACATTTTGATCTAGGAGCTAACTAATAAGGTCTAGGGTAAAGAGGAAGGAAAGTTTTTTGTTGTTTTTTTTTTAAAGATTTTATTTATTTATTTGACAGAGACACAGCGAGAGAGGGAACACAGCAGGGGGAGTGGAAGAGGGAGAAGCAGGCTTCCCGCTGAACACAGAGCCCGATGCGGGGCTCGATCCCAGGACCCTGGGATCATGACCTGAGCCAAAGGCAGACACTTAACAACTGAACCACCCAGGTGCCCCAAGAGGAAGGAAAGTTTTAACAGTCAAAATCATTGACATGGCATCTTTGGAGACATATGATAGGTAGCAAACTCTCAATAATAATAAGCTATTATTAACAAAGCTATTAATAAACTATTATTAACAAAAACTACCACCGCTGAGTACTTAATGTGCACCAAGAATTGTCCTAAATGTTCTGCACGTCCTAACTTGCTGAATCCTTACAACAACCCTACAAGGTAAGCGTGTTAGTATCAATGCTGATGGATGACCACCTGAAGCCCTGAGAGTTCAGATGCATTCGGGGTCATGCATCCAGGAGGTGGCAGAGCTGGGAACAGAACCCAGGCATGCAGCCTGCTTAGAGTGCCGGCTCTTAGCCAATGCACAGTGTTTTAGGAGACAAATGTGGCAGTGACAAGCAAGACAAAATGCAGGAGGAAGAGAGACCAGAGTCAGGAGGGGCAAGCAGGAAGAACTGCAGTAAACAGCTAGAGATAACACAACAGATACAAACAGTCTTAGGAAAAAGAGAAGAAGTTTCACTGTGGAACAATTTATCTTCATGTAAAGGATGGTCACTCTGCAAAATAGAATTAAAGAAAAGATCCTAAACTCTGACACAGCTAACAGAATTTGCAGACCTTGCAAATGATAATTGGAAATGTTTATGTTTTGAGAAAATGCTTCTTTAAAACTGATGTGTATAGAACCTCCAGTCTCTAGAGAATGGTTTTAACACATACCTGTTCACCAAATCCCCAATTGAGTCCTTCTAGAATAACGCAGGCCAATTTATTCTTCACCATTGCCAGGTTATAATTCAATAACCAATCCCGAATCACAGCTCTCTCAGAGGCAGATGGTCGCCAGAGATACAAAGGCAGTTCTTTAAACAAGTATAAAGAAACCTTATTTAAAAGAAAATGATGATAATTAAGATCGAAGCTTAAGGACAATCCTGTATTACTATAATATTATTAAACTGCTTGCAAAAATTTTTTTCCAAAAGGAAGAGGGGTTTTGTTTGATTTTTAGACAAATGAAATGAACATCATGGACAACCAAATAAAATAAATATTAAAACTAATAATACACCAAAAGCACATTTTGCTACCCTTTGTAAAGGTCAACAATCTTTTATTTATATATAAATTGATATACTTCCATTTAAGAAAACCATTTAAGAATACCAAGGCCCAAATTTAAAGCCATGATAAATGAGGAGATGGTCATTCATTTTACAAAAAGCGTTAGCACTTTCGATAATTATTTAAATAAACAAAAAACAGAAACAGACTCAAATACAGAGAACAAACTGGTAGTTGCCAGAGGGGAGGGGAGTAAGGGGATGGGTGAAAAAGGTACAAACTTCCAGTTATACAATAAATAAGTCACAGGGATGAGAAGTACAGCATAGGGATTACGTTCAATAATATTGTCATCACTTTGTATAGTGACAGATGGTGACCACACTTATCGTGGTGAGCATTTCATAATGCATGCAACTGTCGAATCACTATGCTGTACACCTGAAACAAATATAATATTGCATGTCAACTATAAAAAAATTATTATTTCTTCTGTGGCATTTAAAAAGATATTTCTGTTAGCTTCCAAGCAATCTGGGGAAGAGGGACAAGGAGTGGATGGAGGTGAAGAGGAAACAAGATCAACCAAGAGTTGGTAACTGTTGAAGCTGGATGATGGGTACACAGGGATCCATTACCCTATTCTTTTACACAGATTTGAAAGATTCTATAATAAAAAGTTTTTTAAAACCTGTTTACAAAAAGTCTATAGCATCACTTTCTGAATAACATACCCATGTGTGCAAATTAAGATAAATCTGGGTTCACTCAATAGTTTGCTTTAAGGGAGACTGATCAGAAGAGCAATTCGTTTTACAATGTCTAGAACAGTGCTATCCAATGGAAACATAATGCAAGCTACATATGTAATTTTAATTTTTCTAACAGCCACATTTTTAAAGAGTTAAATGAAACAAGTAATAAAATTTTAATAATATATTTCATTTAATCCAATACATCCAATACATTATCAACATGTAATCATTACACAAAACTGTGACATGTCACATACTTTTTGTTCATATGAAGTCTTTGAAACCCAGTGAGTACTTTACACTTACAGTACATCTCAATTTGGACTAGCCACCTTTTAAGGACTCTATAGTTACACGTGTACCTAGTGGCTACAGCATTGGACAACGCAAATCTAGAACATACATACTAGTTTTTTTCAGGTTCCTGCACTGCTCCCAATGAAAGGCAAAACAAAATGTGAAAGAACAACAGAAACAATAAATTTTAAAGAAACCTTTCCTTTCCTTTGTGTGTGTGCACTCACATAGTTAAATTTTCATGAGGATTTGTTAATAAAGGTCTTGAATATTCTGAATAAAATGGTAAAATGGTAATTTTAAAGATGGAAAAATCCTACTTTACACTGTGAGAATCTGAGAGAAAGGGCAAAACAATGAGTACAGCAATGAGATCTGTCCAGAAAAACATCTATCCCAGCTAGATAAAATAATGGTATAGCATGTGTCTTTCCACCAAGAATCAAAGTGTGGCTATCGTGAAAGGCCCTAGGGACGTTAAAAGGTTAACAAGGGAATATTACCAACAACTTTATGCCAATAAATTCAACTAGTTAGATGAAACGGGAAAATGCCTTTAAAAACATAACTTACCAAAACTAAGGAAAAACAAAAATCTGGACAGCTCTATATTTGTTTTAAAAATGCAAATTGTTATCAAAGGGTTTTCTACAGAGAAAACTCTAGGGCCAGATGATTTCACTGGTAAACTCCATCAAACAGTCAAGTTAGAATTAATGGCAATCTTAAAAAACTCTTAAAAAATGGAAGAGGAAAGAATGCTTCCCAACTCATATGAGGCCGATATAATCCTAAAATCAAAACCTAACAAAGACATAACAATAAGATATAGATCAATATCCTCATAAATATACATGTAAAAATCCTCAACAAAAAATATCAAACTGAATCTATCAACATATATCAAGAATAATACACCATGATCAAGTGGCTTTTATTCCAGGAAACAATAATGGTTCAACATTTGAAAACTAGAACAGTTTAGAGCCCACAGATCACTTCCAGGCTCTGGGGCTACATCTGATTCCTGATAACCCCAAGGTGACAACAAAAATATTCAAAGCTATCCTATTCATCTAAAGGCAGAGAGGGTTTGAACAACTTACTCCAAAAATGTCAGCAAGTTCCCAGGGCACAAAGGAACTATAGGTATAAACAGAGAATGGAGGCATCTTTTAGAAGATGTGCTCTAAAAACCTTATGGTCCCAATTTTTACAGTTAAGTTAAACATATCTCTGGGCACAGTTTACTACTTGAACTATTATGACCAAATTTAAAATACAGGTGTAGCCCAAACCAGAAAAACACTTAAGAGAAAATGGTGATGAGCTCAACCAAATGGAAAGAATCTTGTGACCCCCTATGTATATTTCTTTGGGACTCATCCCATCAGATAATCACTCAAAACTGAACAACTAAAACCATGCTCCTGTATATTGCATATAAAAGGGCTTTCATCTCAACATAATCATATCACAGTGGGATACAATGCTTTTCTCTAAAGTACTGCTGCCACATAGAAAACAGTATGGTGGTGCCTCAAAAAATGAAAAATAGAATTACCCTATGTTCCAGCAATTCTACTTCTGGGCATATCCCCCAAAGAATGGAAAGCACAGTCTCAAGAGATAGCTGTATACTCATGTTCGTAGCAGCATTATTCACAGCAGCCAAAGGGAAGAAGCAATCCGAGTGCCCATCAACAGATGAACAGATAAATAAAATGTGGTCTATACTTACAATAGAATATTATTCTGGCTTAAAAAGGCAGGAAATTCTGACACATGCTACGACATGCACAAACATTGAGGACAAAATGTTAAATGAAGGAAGCCAATCACAAAAGGATAAATACTGGATGGTTTCATTTATATGAGGTACCTAGAGTAGTCAAACTCAGAGAGAGAGAAAGTAGAATGTTGGCTGCCAGGGCTGGAGAGTGGAGGACGGAGGGAATGGGGACTTATTGTTTAATCAGTACTGAGTTAGTTTTGCAAGATGAAAAGAGGTCTAGAGATGGATGATGGTGACGGTAGACAGCAAAACAATGTGAATGTACCTAATGTCACTGAACTTAAAAAGGGTGAAAATGGTATATTTTTATGCTGTGTATAATTTACCACCATTAAATTTTTTAATGTAAAAAAAGTACCATGTACTCTTCCAAGGAAAGCATGATATATCATTTATCCTTCATTTAGAAACAATATGTCTCATGAATCAATCTTTCACTGGAATTTGCCCACTTTTGAATGTGATGAAGTAATGACAGTTATCAGTCATCTATCCTACAGGGATAATGCAGTGACTATAAGACAGAAAGGCCCTTTTCAAATACCTTACAGAAAAGTACTTTAAATGTTCCTCTTCAGGTTATAACACGTGAATACCTGCCATGTGAAAAATTCACACATTATAGCCTTCTTATAGATGATGAAAAAGATCTTCATTAAGTGTATGTTTTTAAAAATGGCACATCAGGGGCGCCTGGGTGGCTCAGTTGGTTAAGTGTCTGCCTTCAGCTCAGGTCATGATCCCAGGGTCCTGGGATAGAGTCCTGCATCGGGCTCCCTGATCCACGGGGAGCCTGCTTCTCCCTCTGCCTGCTGCTCCCCCTGCTTGTGCTCTTTCTCTGACAAATAAATGAATAAAATCTTTAACAAATAAATAAATAAATAAAATGGCACATCCATACAATGGAATATTTGGCCATTAAAAGGCGTAAAGTGCTGACTCATGCTACAACATGGATGAACCTGAAAAACATTATGCTAAGTAAAAGAAGCCAGTCACAGACCACATATTGTATAATTCTGTTTGTATAAAATGTCCAGAAGAGTCAAATCTATAGAGACAGAATGTAGATTAGTGATGGCTTAGGGCTGCAGGGGTTGGAGGGACAGCTGGAGGGACAGAGTGTAATACCTAAAGAGTTTGTGGTTTCTTTCTGAGGTAATGAAAATGTTCTAAAATTGAGAGTGGTGATGGTTGCACAACTCTGAGAATATACTAAAACACCACTGACTTACATGCTTTAAATAGATGAACTGTATGGCATGTGAATTATATCACAACACACCTGTTCTTAACATCGACAAAAATTACAAAAGGGATTGTGACAAATGACAGAAATAAACTATATGTGTCTTGTTCAACTTAAATTACCACTTTTAATTCTGCTTTTGGCTGATGTAAATAGGGCCATCCTTCTTAATCAGGGTTGTTTTCTTCCAAGTATAAAATATAAAAATTATGACAGCCAAACAAACTTTGAAGTGCAAACTGTTATTAACTATAGACTACAATTAAAAGAAAACCCTGTTATTGAGGGAGGTGGGAAAGTCACTTGGAGGAGATTAAAGAGAAACAATCACAGCTTTTTGTACGAAGCCGCTAACCCCAAGCAGGCCTGGTGAATGGCAGAGCCTGGGACACAGTATGTGCTCTCTTCATCCGGCTGCACCCGTGACTCAGTCATTCCCAACAACCTATTTTTCTCATTGCTCCATGAATGCAGAATTTAACAGAACAAAAAAAGCAAAACAAACAAAATCAGTGCTCTTACCATTCCCACGTGGTCAATAGTGTCTTGAACTCGATCCAAAATGATAGAAATTATCTCAGGGTGAACAGCTGTGATGGCCCCTAAGAGCTCTCGACCAACCTTTGAAAAAGTCTCTCTGGTAGACAGGGTGACATAAGATACCTAAAAGTGGGAGGAGGTGGAGATTGCACTTTCGGTCAATTACCAGTCAAAACACAGTTCCATAATTCATTAGGATGCTTTCAAGTAAAGGAGAAAGAATCTCACACTGAGCCTAGGGTCACACCATGTTCAAGAAAGATGTCAGACCTTTGGAGGGCAAACTGTCTACCCTGAGGCTGTGAGTCAGGAGGGGCAGGGAAGCAACTATGTAACAATGACTCCAAGTTCCCCAAGTCTGTCTGTAGCTATAAAATAGGCCTTTTGGTGTAAAAACTTCTTTAAAATTGAGAAAATTGCTAAAATGATGAAAATCAGAATGCATTTCATAGAAATACCTATTCTCTCCTACAAAATAAGATCCTCAATGACAAGAGCTTCTAAAATAGCAACTTAAACAACGTATTCCAAAGCACAGGCTGCAATCCACTGATGCCAAAGCAAGCAGATTTTTTTTTTTAAATACAAGGGAATAGAACGGAAAAATAACAACAGAATAGAAAAAGGTGAGTGCATCTCAGTAAGATTAAGTATTGCTTCAATTTCATACATGTATACACACACACACACACACACATACATGGACACACACAAGCAGAATCAGAATGTAATAAACAATGTAACTTTTACTGTGAGTACTGGCCAAAACCCTTGAAACATTCAAGAGCACAAATGTTACTTTCATAAAAGACCTTGTTCTAGAATGCCACTTACTGTATATGAAAACAGTCCTACCCCCCACCCCCTGCAATATTCTCATACCATGAAGACAGTCTGGAATTCCAGATGGATTTAGGCCTTAACTTCATGCGTAAGTACAAAATACAAATATAAGAATAGCCTAATATTTGATCCTGGAAAAGAACTTTAGATCATCCAGGTCTATCATTTTCAAACTGGAGTACTGGGGAGAAGGTAATAAACTCAGATAATCTTCCTCAAACATAATTTTACTTTTAAGTTTACTTGAATAGTTTGGAAGAAATATTTTTTAATGAAGATAAACAGATAAATTACAACCTAAATGGAAAATATGCATCTTTTTAAATATATGGGTTATGTCTCTAGACACTCAGGGTCCAGAGTCCACTCTCATCCTCCCTTAGGGATGGCTCAGTGAAAAGACGAAGAAGGCAAGGATCTCATCCCAGCCTGTCATTTTATAGCTGAGGAAGCTGAGCCCAGAGTGGTGGGGCACCTTTCCGGCTGTGAGATGGGCAATTGCTAGCAGAGTTAAAACAAACCCAGGTCTTCTACCTGAGCGTCAGTACTCTTTCCACCATCTCATTTAAACTGGCTTGGAAGGGGCGCCTGGGTGGCTCAGTTAGGCGTCTGACTCTTGATTTTAGCTCAGGTCATGATCTCAGGGTTGTGGCATCGAGCCCCGTGTCGGGGCTCCGAGGTCACTGGGGAGTCTGCTTGAGATTCTCTCTCCCTCACCCTCTGCCCCTCCCCCCACTTGCACAGTCAATTAATTAATTAATTAATTAAAATCTTTTAAAAAACACAGAAATACACTGGCTTGGAAGCCAGGCCCCCGTGTTACTGGCAGTGTTGTGGGGCAGAGGGCAACAGATAGTGTTAACACCCAAGTGTCAGGCTGTGTCATCAGACTCTATTCCTCACCAAAACTCACGCATCAAATGTCAAGAGACAGCAGGGGGAAATGGAATGAGTATGATTCATATTTTCAATACTCCTTACAGCAAAATGATATTCCTTTGATTTTCTATCTCCTTCCATGAGTGTGGACAGTACAAGTTCGTCACATTTTTTTGGTAAAGCAATCCCAAAAGAATCAACGCACAGATAATCCCCAAGAACACATTTTTTAGCTGATTTCTAAAACTTAATATTCTAACCTCATATATCTCCAGAACAATAATTTTTATGAAGTCTTCATCCACATTGGTTCTTCTGGCCTGAGCCATCTGAGCAAATGTAGTCAGAAGGCAAATCTCTTCTGAGCTATTCATGGCAGACAGACACTTCTCAAAGTTCACAAAGTGTTCTGGGTCTGCAAGTTCAGGGCAAGAAGATTAAAATAGGGAAAGAATGAAGATATATCACTTTTAATCACTCTTCCAGAGAGAAAGAAGATATAAAATTAAAAGATATTTAGAAATATTTAGGATTCTTTGTTCCAGAATGGATTTCTACAGGCTTCGGGGAAAAAGGCAGGGACAAGATGAAATTCCAACTCTACATATAATGTAGCCTCAGATGTGACACTTAACATCCCCAATTTTCAGTTTCTCTGCCTTAAAAGGTTGTTGAAAATTAAATGACACTAGTGACTAGTGAAGGGTTTTGTCACCGGGTGAGACCCCTTCAAAGACACACTTGAAACAACTTAGTAACTGTCAGCCAAATGACTGATGATGACCTTACTGATGAAAACTGCTAGGACTAACAAAGCACTCAGCACAAACACAGCATTCATTCCAAACAAAAGAGATTTTCTTATAAATGAAAATCTGGGGCGAGAAATTAGTTATTACCATGAAAGCAATACTGCTAAATGTGATAAACAGTACACAGTGTGTTCGTTCTACCAACTTCTCAGAAGATACAATGTAAGCAGTATTACATTTTGTCACCAGCGGGCACAACTGACAAACAGCTTTGGGATCCGTGACAGAAAACTAAATGCCACAAAGGCAAAGATACAGAGGAAAGATTTAAAAAAAAAAAAAAAAAGTCTGTTTAAAAAATATATTCCCCTGATGGAATTTTCACAGTAAGAAGGCAGTAAGTCTACACTTCTTTCCATGTGTTTACACATTTGAGAAATCAAAGGTAGTCCATCAAATGTCCTGTATTTTCAAAATAACTCCATGGGGGCATTTACAACCCAATTTTCATTTCCCATCCCCGAGCTGGGATCATAACAAGTTACTACCCAGAGCATTTCAAAAATAATGAAAACTGGAATTAGCATTCTAATATATCAAAACAATAAAGCAATCTTTCGAATTTCAAAATCATTACATGTGAGTACACAGAGTAAAATACTCTCTTAGTCCTTCTAAAAATGAAAAGAACAAAGCCATGAAGAGCAAAGGCACACAGGGTAGGAAAAAATCTATCCGCACACTTTAGCCAGGCTGTACCTTGGAGCTGCTTCTTGCACTCAGCAGGCGGGAGAGTGACGCAGAGTTTCTCCAGATTCCCACTCTCCACCTGGTGCATGAGGTAGAAGAGCTTCCAGAGCATCTGGACCGACAGCGTCCCAAAGGGCATTTCCGACATAAACAGCCAAATGCCAAGTCTGCGTGTTTTAAAGAGTAGGAATAGTTTCATGTATCAGTCACCTTCACCACACTGAGAAAGCAGGCAGACCTGCTTTGGTAGGAAAAAAAAGTTCTTAAATCACAACACAGCCATTTTTCTAACATGCTTCGGCCATCAACGCCTCAAGGACGGGTAAGAGTAACAGCAATACTCACACAGAACTTCGTCTGTGCCAGGCACTGTTCTAATCACCCTGCCATACAGATCATCTCACTCCGTCCTCACTAAATCCAAGGCAAGTATTATTGATACTCTCCCCAATTTACCCATAAGGCTACTCAGGCACAGAAAGGGTAGTAAGAGGCAGAGCTGTGTTTTGAACCAAAGATCTTTTTAAGGCCTGGGTGACAGAGAGGCGCTTAGATGTGGATGTATGTGTCCGAGCCTGTGTGCAGGTACGAGTGTGCACACAGACACACATGCAATGAGCGGGAGGAGAATCAGACACCCTCCAGGGACTCCCTACTCATCAGCGAATGAAATTCACACTCCTCGGCCCCACGTTCAAAGGCTTCCACTATACAGCTCAGACCCACGTTTCTCTAACCAGAGCCCTCACTGCGTTCAGAGTATGAGACGACTCCTGGACAAGCCAGGTGAGAACCTCGCACCTCCAACCTGCCATCCCCCCAAGTGGGAGGCCCTCCTCTGACTTCCTCCAGCACTATTACAGAACTCCATCCATACCTGACTTTGGCAATATCATACCCTTTATCGGTGGTTCTCACACCAGAGTGGGCAGAAAAATCACAGGAGACTATTCTAGGGGGGAGGAATGAGTAAGGGACAGGCAGGGGCTAGGTAAGGAGAGATAAATAGGGGGCTACGTGATCTGGCTCACAGAAATCCCAAAAATGTGGAGGTGTGGGGGAAACCAGAGATAAGGGAACAAACCAGACCACCCTGCCCTAGGCCTGTGGGGTGGGTGTCTTTTTCATGATAATCACTTGTGACCAACAAAGAATAACAGACCCTAAAAAGGAAGTAAGCCATTGAAGGTGTTATTTCTAGTCCTTGCTCAATGGTGGTATCAATAGAGATGTTAAAAGAATTTAAGTTCCCTGGTTAGCTTTCTACAAAAGACCAACCCTAAAGGTCCTCAGTGGCAACCCTGTAGGGATCCCTCTCACTCTTGAGAGCTTTTTCTAGATCTTCACTTAATGAACTTCTATCGCTTTACTCACAAAAATAAAATAAAATAAAACCACTGGGAAACTTTGTGGAAAATGCAGATTCCAAGGCCTGCCTACAGAGATCCTGACTTTGTAGGTCACAGCTTGGGCCCAAGAATTTGCAGCTTCTAGTCATCCTGGTTGACTCAGACTCAAGTGCTCCTTAAACCACACAGTGAGAAATGCCTCAGGTTGCTGTAATTTACGTACACATACAAACCACAACAATCTGAGAGCAGAAACCAGGTTTTGTTTATCTTTGAATAAACCACAATGTAACCTAGAGTCTTATATTTTAATTATCTACTACCTAAACCAGTATCTTGCAAACAATCAGCACTCAGTAAATGCTCATTAAAATTTGGTTATGTGAATTTTATCTCAAAAAAATCTTGAAAAAAATAAGGAGGCACTCAAAACTGTTGCTCTATTTTGGACAAACCTACAAATTGACCGATTACAAACAAAGCTTATTAAAAGAAAAAGAAATTAAAGTACATGCCTGACCCACATCTATGGGGCATCACGCTGCTAGTGGCCCAAACCACCATTGACCTAGATTCTGAAAAGCAACAGCTCGACTCCTGAGCAAAGGTTCAAGAAACTGTTCAGTTGGGCCAAGCTTCTGTCTTATTATATAATAATCCCTAACACCTCACATAGGACCTGACACTCTTGTATAACTTATCCCAAAACAGTGAGAGGGACTTGCAGAGGCCTTAAAAGTAATGTCACAGGACTGTGTATTTCAGGATACGAAATTCCCCATATGAAAGATAGGCAGTAAGTCTGGCTTAGGTTTTTACTGTCTTTTGGTTTTGTTTTGCTTTAGGTTGGGGGATAACCACTGTTAGAAATTTCTATTGGAGTGCCAAATAAATTTAAATGTCATGGCTTTAAACATCTGATTCTCATGTAATCTCTTTCCTAAGATAAGTTATACTCAAGAATAACAGTTCTTGATATTTTAAAGTTTAAAATGATTATCACCTTTGTAAATTACATGTATAATTACAGGACAGTTCCCAGCTCAGACTCTAGGAGCGGGTAACTATGGTGAGAGCTTTCCATCTCAGCTAAGCAGCCACAATGATGAGTGACAGATCAGAGACAGGAGACTATTCCTGACCCCCAGCAGGGTTCTGCACAGGATCCAGTCTACCTCATGAGACCACCAAATTTATGGACAACATAGTAATGAGTAAACAACCTAGTGTAACGAGTAAAGATCAATTTCTAAGCCCAAGTTCTATTTATCTTAGACCCATGCCTTCTGAGTGCCTAAAAGTGCTTAAGATTTAGTCAAGGAGTTCTGCTATTTCTCTAAGAGAGCAGTTTTTCTATTCTTCATCTGAAACCACAAAAGAACCACCACCACTTACATCTAAAAGATCCTTCATGACTTAAAAAGTATTTCCATGTATTACTGCATTTCATCCTGGGATCATATCCATGAGGTCAATGGAACAGGGAGAATCATTACCATCACCTCCATTTTATAAATGAAGACAGTGAGAAGACAAGACTAGGTGACTTGCCCAAGGTGGCAAGACTCAAAGCCACTACACAACACACAATAAATACGGGCTGAAGCTGAGAGGCCCAGGCAACAGGGAGCAGCGCCAACTCAGAAGGAGGCAATGGTGGGGAGAGCCGGCAGTTCGTGAGGGCGCTGGAGGCCGCGTCCCCCAGCAGAGGGCACAATGCTTGGCAGAACTTGCTCCTACACTTGGCCAGATACTCAGGGAAGACAGTGCAGGAGGCACCACTGTGCCCCTGCCTCTGCCCCAAGAGCACCCTGGGCTATAAGCAGCAACAAAGACAACATGATCAGGAGACAGCATTTACACAGCCAAGACAGGGGACCAGGACCCGTGAGAATCCTCACAGTAAGACACCTCAACAATAAAATGGGCAAATCAGGGGCGCCTGGGGGGCTCAGTCGTTAAGCGTCGTCTGCCTTCGGCTCAGGTCATGATCCCGGAGTCCTGGGATCGAGCCCCGCATTGGGCTCCCTGCTCAGCGGGAAGCCTGCTTCTCCCTCTCCCAGTCCCTCTGCTTGTGTTCCCTCTCTCGCTGCATCTCTCTCTGTCAAATAAATAAATAAAATCTTTAAAAAGGGGGGGGGCAAATCATTTGTACTATGCACTGAGCACCTAATCTGCCTCACTTAGGCACTGAGACAGGTGGGAAATAGAATTCACACCTTGTTCAAGGCTACCCTAAAAGTTCAGGGATGGCAAAACTTGAAATATCAGAATCGGGTTATTTTAAGATTGAAAGAAACCTTAAAAAGAGCATTTCAGTCACCACTATAGATAAGGAAACTAAAGACAATGAATTTGCCCAAGATAAGAAACAGACGAAACACACTTAGACATTACTGTAAGAGATGTACTGTAGTCGATGACTTTCACACAAATCTTCCTCACCAGCCAAGGAGCCATTTCTCAATAATTATCATCACACTTGTTACCTTTTGGCTTTCAGCACGTGTAGGACAGCTCTCAGAAACAGCTCATCAAATTCAACCTGTAGTTTCTCCACGGAGTAAGGCTGCTGGGCCAAACCCAAGCCTCGGTTGTGGCTCACAAACTGCGCCCAATGGTCGCTCACATAACCAAGGGTCATCCTGAGCAGGAGGAAAGGCAATACAGCACTTTTCATTAAATTCATTCATTTCATTAACGCACTCAATCCTGGCACCTTTATTTAACATTTGAAGCACTAATTTATTCAATACATATTTATGGAACACCTACTATCTTCTAGGCTCTGAAGAGCATCCCGTGAGGGGACAAGCTACCCTCATGCAGCTTACATTTAGTGCAGGGCAAACAGACATTAAACAAAATAAAGTAAAAAGTATAGTCTGTCACATGGTCATAAGTGACGACGAGGAAAGTAAGTAGGAGAGGGCACTAAAGTTTCTCGGGAGTTGGCCAGAGGAGGGGGGTTGGTTGGGAGCAAGAAAGGCCTCACTGAAGAGCAACATGCGAGTAAAGACCGGAAGAAGTCACACGGATATCTACGGGAAGAGCATCCAGGTAGAAGGAACAACCAGTGTGAAGGCTCAAAGGCGTGATCAGGATGTTGGAGGAACAGGTAAATGAGAGAGAGACTGGCTGGAGAGGAAATCAGAAAAGTGACAGGAAACCAGACCATGAAGACCAGGCCACTGTGAACCCTTTGGCTTTTACTCTGAATGAGACTGGGAGCAAAGGGGTGACATGAGCTATTGACTCACCATTTCCAGGGAACACTGGCTGTTATGAGAATAAGCTGAGGGGAGAACAAGGGCAAAAGCAGGAAGATAAGTCAGGAGGCTATTACAATTGTAATTAGGGAGAAATATCTGAGAATGAACTAGGGTGGTAGCAGTGAAGGTGGGAAGCAGCAGCTGGATTCTGGAAACAGCATGTTTCATTAGTTCAAAAGATGCACATCTTTCACACTGTAATCCCTGCAATTGGAATGTGTATTAAATTGATAACATGCCATATTTTTGTAGCATTTTTTCCTTAGAGGCACACAAAATGCATCTTCAGAATTGGTGGCATCTTAGATTTGATGACAGTGTTTTGAAGCTAGAGATGACAGAATCGGCTGTTACACTGGATGTGGGGTGTAAAAAGACAGAGATGACACCCAGTATTCTGGCCCAAGCAACCAGAAGAACAAAGTTGCCACTTACTGAAGATGGGAAGGCCAAGGACAAGTGGCTTGGAAGGTGGGACGAGGGAAGTCCGTTGGGTGTATTAAACTACAATGTTTGTGAGTCATCCAAGTGGAGATGCTGAGCTGGCAGCTGGGCTTACAAGCTTAAGAGAGAGGGCTAGAAATAGAACTCTGAGAATCGTAATAGTATTTCAGTGATATTTAAAGACATGAGAATGGATGAAGTCCCAAGAGCAAGTTTCGATTGAGCTAGAAGAGGTCCAGGAACTGAGTCCTGGGGCACTCCGACATCAAGAAGTTTGGGAGTGAGGATGAAAACAACCTAGGAGGGCGCCTGGGTGGCTCAGTTGGTTAAGCGACTGCCTTCGGCTCAGGTCATAATCCTGGAGTCCCGGGATCGAGTCCCGCATCGGGCTCCCTGCTCAGCAGGGAGTCTGCTTCTCCCTCTGACCCTCCTCCCTCTCATTCTCTCTGTCTCTCATTCTCTCTGTCTCAAATAAATAAATAAAATCTTTAAAAAAAAAAAGAAAACAACCAAGGAGGCAGAAAATGAGCAGCCAGGGATATGGAAGAGAAACCAGGAGAATATGGGATCCTGGAAACCAAGCAAAGAAAATGTTTTAAGGAGAAAGTGAGCAACTCTGAGAAAGCTACGTAAACTACAATAATCAGCTGTAAATATTTACAGAGAAATATTACAGAGTGAATACTGACCTTAAAGCAATAATAACAATGTTTCTCCTACAGACTTATTGGGAGAATAAAACAAGAAGGTATATTCCTGGCACATAGTAAACACTCAATCCTACATCACATATATGAACCCAAAGACAGGTTTTACCTTATTTAGCAAGCAGAATCAGAAAATGAATGTCTGAACTTCTGAGAATAAGTAGATGGGCTTTTAGATTTAAAGAAATTACTCTCAAGTCACCAGCCATCCTTTCTCCCACCATCTCGTTTTCATTACATTCTACTAAAGGTCTTCTCAAGACCTTTAAAGTCACCCCCCAGCCTTGCAGGGCATCCTAGAATCATTTACCTGGCTTTACAAAGCACATGGATACACATAAAAAATAAATTACAATCAATTTTGTTTTGGAAACATCACTGAGGAAGGGGAGAAGTTTTAGAGGCTTTTTTTTGGAGGGAAAGGAGGTTGGAAGAAATAACAGCATATTGATGTGCTGTAGGGAATGACAGTAAAGACAGAAACATTAACGATGCAGAAAAGAAGATACAAAATTAATTCAATAAAAAGCAGTACATTCTCAAAATTTATTCATCCTTGATAAGAAAAGCATAAACCCATTTTTCAATCAAATAAATGATAATGCTTTCCCCAGCTCGAAACAATGGCCACTGACAGAAGTCTTTGCAACTTTCTTCAAAGGGAATTTAACAGAAAATCAGAATAAGAATAAATAAGAGAGGTAACAGGAAAATAATGACACGAGAGAACTACTGCCAATCTTCCACAGCTAAGTGACAATTCCCAGGCAAAAGTGAGGAGGTAGAAGAAAACAGGGAGCAAAGGAAAAGGAGAGAGGCTTCAAAGAGGCTTCATTTTCCTTGACCGAGTTGAGTTTCTCTGCTCAAGTTCAACCCAGCAACTGCTTTGAGAACCTTGACTCCAAGGACAATTATCTAGCAAACCAGTTAAATCTGAGATAATTAACCAAATATTCTGACTGGAAGCATTTATAGAATTCCCATCTGCTAGATGGTGAAAGAAAATTCTTACTTCTATGATAAATCAGACCTGAATCATACACTGAAATGTCCATCATCCCAATTTCACACAGTATGTGTGTCTGAGCCCAGCGAAGGCAAACAGAAACAGATGCAGCAATAGCAGTATTACCTGATCATATAACCAACTCGCTTCACAAACTGCCTGTAGCGTGCCCTATTAAAGGTTTCTAACCCCACAGCCAGAAGCTCCACTAGTGAGTTAGCAAAGGCAAAAATTTTCATCATCTCTTGAGGTCTTGTTGTTTCAGGTGAATAATCACCTAGAAGTTAATGGGAGAAAAGGAAGAAATTATAATTACTATGAAAAAACACGGAAGGACACGTGTAAACATCTCAGTGAGGAACAAAGCCAAGGCAGAGAAAACGTAACAAACCCCACTGGTCTGGCTCTTCTAGCAACATGAAATGGGGAACCTGAGACAAACTATAAAAATAAAAACAACAAATTAAAGCTAGGCGAATTGGGGGGCGCCTGGGTGGCTCAGCTGGTTAAGCATCTGCCTTCAGCTTGGGTCATAGTCTCGGGGTCCTGGGATCAAGCCCCACGTTGGGCTCCCTGCTCAGCAGGGAGTCTGCTTCTCCCTCTCACCCTCCCCCTGCTAATGTTCTCTCTCTCAAATAAATAAATAAAATCTTAAAAAGGAAAAGCTGGGTGATGTGCAAGCTAGCTGACCTTTCTGCATTTCAGCACTAGGTGGGAAATTACAATCATAAGAGAAAGGAAGGAAATCTGAGATCTGATGCAACCATGTCCGCATGGTATGGTCAGGCACCAGAGAACCTGAATCAGGAACCTGCCCAAGATGGAAGGCTGGATGCTGAGTTCCTGTGTTGAGCTTGCCACTGTCCCATTTAACACATGACAAAAGAAATCAGTCTACCTTTTGCTTTAAACCCAAGAAGATGTTGAAAGAGTTCATGGAACGGAAACTGGGATAAAAGGATAACCAAGTCATCTTCATTAAGGAGAAGCCAACTGGTCTCGGGGTCTTCATCCTAAGGGAAAAGATGCAAAATCATGTCAGCTGATTTGATCAGAATGCACCATGGTCTAGAGTTACAAGAGCTAAATTATCACAGATGCAAGTGGTACATCATGTCCATGTGTCTCCATGGAATTCTCCTCCTACTATCAGTTCCATAGATGGGCTGTAAACCCCCTGAAATTGCAAGCACAATTTTATGTGCATCTGGATTATATCAATTCTTCTGTGGCTGAAATTCTCTCATTAAATGTCCATCCCAAAGCAAATTTAAATAAAAAAATTCCTCTAGAGTGGGGAACCTTACTATAAAGCTCAGTACTTTGACAACATGAATTAAAGAACCACACACTCAGTCCAAGTTATTTTAGCTACAAGTCTCTTGCCCCCAAATCAAGGCCTACTGTAGTATTCAACTGTCTTATGGTGGAGTAATTTGCATTTGCTATAGATAACTGAAGCTCTATTGCCAATTGGTGCTGATAAAGCAGGTGAGACTAACAGATCACACATAGAGATTATATAGGGGAAAACTTTAGGGTTTTTTGTTTAATACCGAGCACTAAAGTCATCTTAGAAATTAAGTTGATTTGTGTTCTAAAATATGCTACATTCAAAAAGGGAATGCTGTAAAAAGATCTGGACATCCTGAAGAATATATCACCTCAATTTCAATAAGGGACTAATGTAATTCATTCATAATTTCCCAAGCCACTTATTTCCCCGCTGCCAACCCTGCCCCATTTTAGGTTCTAAATGGCTAACAAACAAGCCTCAGAAACTCTACTTAGAGCAGTAGCTCTCAACTCTGGCTATACATCAGAATCACCTGGGAGGCTTTTACACACCTGGATGTCCGTGTGTGGGCCTGGGCAAGATTTGTAAGTTGCCCAGGCGGTTCTAATATACAGACGACTTCAAGGAAACACTAATGAGCATAATCCAGAGCACCTTCCTCTGAGTCAAGAGCACTCTCAACATTCTCATCTACTCCCCAAGTTCTTGAATTCACTCAATGGTCAGTGAGGGCTAGCCAGGGGCCAGGCACCACTGCGGGCTTCCCCAACCATCATCTGTCTCTGAGAGTAAATGTAGGAAACCTCCCAGAGAAAAGACTTCTCTCTCAGAAGAGAACACTCTCGGGGGAAAAAAACCTGTTCCACAATCTTTAAAAGACCAATTTGCACCAGCTCCTGAGAAGCTCTCTTCAAGGTGACTGTTGAGTCTCTAGCAGAGATGTCTGAAGAGTAAAAGGAGTGCGAAGGGGCCCCCCGTTTCTGAAAGAGCACTTGGGTAAATACACAGACATGATCCCCACTGCTACCACGGCTGTCATTCTGAGAACTGTCTGCTGCAAACCATCACTTCTTTAAAAAGAAGGAGGCTTAGTAAATCTGGTCCCTGGCCACCGTGGTCACCACATCAAGTCAGGATGTGGACCATAAAAAAGCACTAGGGCAGATAACTAGCTGGAGGAAAAATTCCTTACAGATACACTAACCCTGGGCGCCTGGGTGGCTCAGTTGGTTAAGCGACTGCCTTCGGCTCAGGTCATGATCCTGGAGTCCCGGGATCGAGTCCCGCATCGGGCTCCCTGCTCGGCAGGGAGTCTGCTTCTCCCTCTGACCCTCCCCACTCTCATGCTCTCTGTCTCTCATTCTCTCTGTCTCAAATAAATAAATAAAATCTTAAAAAAAAAAAAAAAAAAAAGATACACTAACCCTGTGTACAGCTGAAAGAAAAATCAACAAGGACTATCTTGAGAAATTGGATTTTGATCATTCAATTCTCACCACGAATAAAGAACCATCTTCTACCTTGCAAATGAGAAGATATGGATAAGAAGTATTCGTAAGAGTTAAAGGCAGACCTTGCTAAGCTCTAGCTCTTTATTATACAGACTCACGTTACCTGATTGGGTGGGGGGGATCCCAAGCCCAGGAACTTGTTACTACATAAAAGAAAATTCTAATATAAATTTTACACCATATGAAAATATTGCCAGGTTCCAAATTCTCCCAGCTGAACAGGAAGATATCCTACATGAAGGTGACAACACAGCACACTGGCTCAGAGACTCCACCATTCAGTGACCTGATCTGCGAAAAATCCTTCACCCCCAGCACCTCGGTTTTCTCACACCAATACCTGCGCCTCATGGGGCTGTGGGCAGAAGTCAAGGAGAGACTGTGTGACAAGCACTTAGAACAATGCATGGCACGTAAGAGGAGCTCGGCAATGATTAATCAAAATAATGCAGACACGACAAGTTACCTCTTCTCCTCCCTCATCTACTAGTGTCCATGTCCCGGATGCAGGCCCTGAGGAGGATGGCTTCTGCTCACTAGGCTTCATGTGGCACAGGAACTCCGCTCGATTTCTAAAGGACAAGGGAGATCACTCCAATCACATAAACACAGAAAGCCTGCATGCATGCACTCTGGATCATCTATTCAACCCTGCATAAGAGTCAGCCAGCCACCTAATCTTCAAATGGTTTAAATTAGCAAACAAGAAATAAGGACTGGCGAGAACTCAAGGCGGCTAAAACCTCACTAACTTCATTGTGCAGACCTTGAGGATTCTAGATTAGTAGTGACAAGTAATTGCAGAGAAGCGGTTATGCTGGCCCAGCTCCCGCACGCATGGGACCTCAATACATACAGATTGCTGCGGAACCTCACCTCCAACCAGGCCTACAAACTGTTGCCAGGGCACGACTTGAGGAACGATGCTTTACTGAATATAAAAGGATAATCTGCAGGTAACTCAGAAGCTTGTTTAGGGCAAAAGAGTACCTCTAAATGCAAAACCATTTTTAAGTCAAAATCCTATCTACCATGTGTTGGAGAAGCCCCGTCTCCAGGCAGAGAGAGAGAGAACTGGAGAGAATTTCCTGCCAACCAGACTTCACAAGGTGTTGGCTAGACCTGATGAGCAGGTTTAAGTGGCGAAATTTCTTCTCTTAGACTACGACACGGTTCTCAGTCCTCTGTTCCTTCCCCTCTGGCCTGGCCCTGAAAAATTCATCCATTCCTTCCTGTTACAGGAACTTTCTCCCATGACTTCCAGTTCTGTAGGTCCACTGCTTCCCTTTCAACCCAAGGAGCTCCAATCCTGAAGCTCCAAATGTCCACTGGTATCTGTCCCTTGTATGTGTCCACCTGTATGCCTCAATGACCTCAGACTTTCCTCCTGTTAGAGTGTCAATGCCCCCACACTCAGGCTCGGACGTCTACAGAGTTCTGTTGGAACCACTCCTATTCCTTATTTAGTCAGCTACTTAATCCTTTTCTGGGAAGATAACCTTTACGTTCCCCTCCTTATCTTTCCCACCACCATTACCCCAATGCAGGCTCCGAGGCAGACAGGTTTTCCAGGACTGAGAGCCAGTGGTAATAACACTGTTCAAGGTCACTTAGACAGAGACTGTGCCTTCTCCCCTAGTTAAATGTCCTCTTGATGACGAGTTGGGATCCAGAGCCAGGAGAGCCAGAAGTCTGTAACTGTAATTCAATTAAGCAGAAGCACATCTTCTGCCTTCAGTCAATCCTAGCCTCCCTTGATATGACTTTTACCTTTATTCAAAAGCCCTCAACTACTACAGGGCCAGACCGTATCAAATCTGGATCCCTTAAAACCTTCTATAATCCAAGTCGCTGCAGCTATTCCACTGTATAACCATTTCCCATGCAGTTCTTCGCTCAAACCAAGCTGATCTCCTACCTGTCCTCCACACAGCCATCTTACCTAGACTCTGGGCCAATGCCTCTTCTCCCTGCCAATAGTGCCCTGCCTGCTCCTTCTCTCTGAGATCTAGCCCTTTCTTGCAACCCAGCTCATGCACCTGGAACCTTCTCTCACTGCTCTACCTCCTCTCTTCAGCCTCTCCAGTGCTACTAGCATGCTGATCGCAGCTTCCCAAGCAAGCACTTAGATCTCTGCACTTCTTTCCCTCTCTACATCTCTTCTTCTAAGGAAAAGATGATCTTTCTTGTCTCTCCATGGCACCTTTCACAATGACATATATGACAGGAGAGGCAAACCCACTAAAAAGGAGGACCCCAAAAAGCTTAATTGCTTATACATAAGCAGTTAATAAGATCATCTGGGGACAAAGGGTATCCAACCCAAAGAAAATCTGCAATATTAAATTCTGGAATGCTGACACTTCCCTTAGCAGTTCTTTGGATCTGGGCAGTTTAGGAAGTCAATCCTTTGGTAGAAAGAAGCATTTCAATTTCTACTTCACAAAGCTCTTCCGCACTTACTTGACAGGAGACATTAGCAGGGCAAGGGACTGCATAAAATGAAAGACCCCTGATGGATTATTCAACACTTTGATCTGAAATCAGAAAAGGAAAAGGCATACTGTAGAAAACCGACAACCCAAGTATCCATAATCTTAGTTCACCAGCATTCTGACAAAGGGAGTGGTTATGAAAACAAAGATGGAAATGGCACGTAATCCACAAGCATGAGAGCGCGGCTCTGGGTTACCTGGCAGTCCTGGTTCGGCTGCACTCAGAGGAGCGGCGTGAGCTGAGCAGCAGACTTCAACTACTGTAACCATATAGGACGAAGCACAATGCTGCTCTTTTAGTCCAAAGACAAAACAAAACAAAAAAAATCCTCCTCCTACCTAAAGAGATTCAGACTTCTCACCACCAGAAATACTAAAGAGAAGGTCATGTGGAGAAGTTGAACCTGGCATGCACTTGGCTTCCACCCATCTGAGTGGTTGCTATGAGTAACAAAACAACCCAAAGGCAAGCAGCAGAGAAGAGAAACTGTGAACCATATCATCAGCACTGAAGGTGATTATATGAGAGCCGATCACACAGGCCTGGATCTCTGCTAGCATTAAAGAACATGGAGATGCTCGTGGTTTCTGTTTTGCCTCTACCAACTGTGCCGTGAGGTGGGTTAATTTAGGAAGCCATGTTGAATATTACCAAAAAACAAAAAAAAAGTCCCAGTGAGTCTTCCTGCACAGAAATTTTACAGAACTAAATACGAGTGAATCTACCAAGCCAGACTACAGGGGAACTTTTGCAATTCTATCTTAATTTCATCAATTATGGGTGGCCCAAGAAGTTCCAGCATAAAAACGCCTGGGAATACATAAATATATACTAAAATATTTTAAGAATTTTATTTTAGATATCAGTATGTTGAAGTAGTTTTTTAAAGGAGAAAAAAAGCAATTTCTTCAGGAAAAATGTTTAACAAAATCTCTCATCCCACTCAAAATCAGAAGACCATCATCATACCTGGATGAAAGGAACAGCCCACTCACTAACACCAGCTGGGCATCGAAGAATATGGTTTAAAAGGAAGAAGTGATCGCCAGGACAGCCAACTCTTTGTAACACTGACACCTGAACAGGGAAGGACATATAGTTTCATTATTTAATAAGAAGAAAAGTGTACCTAGGGGTCTAGTAAATCACTTAGCCAATGTTTAAATTTAAGAATCTTTCAGAAGAATAACCAGAGATCTACTGTATATACACACATATATATAGTATATATACAGTATATAACCAAAAATACACTATTAACATGTTGAGTTTCTATCACAGAGGCACATGAGGCCTAAGAACCTACGAGTACTATGATAAAAATATCCTAAGTTGGGGCACCTGGGTGGCTCAGTCGTTAGGCGTCTGCCTTCGGCTCAGGTCATGATCCCGGAGTCCTGGGATCGAGTCCTGCATCGGGCTCCCTGCTCGGCGGGAAGCCTGCTTCTCCCTCTCCCACTCCCCCTGCTTGTGTTCCCTCTCTCACTATGTATCTCTCTGTCAAATAAATAAATAAAATCTTAAAAAAAAAAAAAAAATCCTAAGTAGTTTCCCTGTAAACCCAGTTTTTATTATCTGGCAAAATACAACTTACTCACGTTCCTGGCCACATGTGAATAGATACAAGCCAAGTAGTTTAATCTAGTCTCAGTTTGTAATAGATTCTCAAATCCAAATAAGTATGCTTGGGACTTTACCACATATGTAAGACTCTAATATTAACCTAAAAAAAAGCACCCAAGGCAGCCCCATTGAAAACACAACCACTAAACAAATAAGCCTCCTTACACTTAACATCTTTCTTAAATCTCCCAAATCCTGACACCAGCCTTTTTTCTAAGTTTTTAAAGTATGATTGAATACAACACTAGACACTAGATAATAAAAATAAATGATATGGAAGGTTTTAGATCAGCTACCTATATTCTAAATACATATCCCATCTTTAATTTAGCATGCTTCCCACATTTCCATTTCTTCCTAAGCTGAAGGTATGAGATTAAAGTGTATCAGAAAGAAAAATATTTTGTGCTTAATGACACACTAGATAAGTATAACTTATTACCATGTGTCATGAACGAAGAAAATGTCACTAACACATTAAATGAATTAGCTGAAGAAGCTGTTGAAAAAAAACTAGAAGAAGACATAATTCTTCAATTATTTGTTCCCTTACCAATTTCTGCAGCCAGAGAAGAATATCGTCATGGAACTGAGTATCTTCATTAACCCTTCTGGTGAACATGAATAAGACACTGATGCACTCCTTTAGCTGACACAGGTCAGAGGGAAAGCTTTCTGTCTGTTTACAAGCTATAAATTAAAAAGAAGATTAAATGAGCCCCACATAAATGGGTGTTTTGGAGAGAATTTTTAGTGTCTCTACCCATCAATTAATTAATTAATTAATTAAATCTTTTCAAAATATTTAGTTCAGATAAAAATCCAAGGAGAAAAGTTGCATCAAAAATATCTGAATTTGGGGGAACCTGGCTGGCTCAGTAGGAAGAGCATATGACGCTTGATCTTGGGATTGTGAGTTTGAGCCTCATGTTGGGTGTAGAGATTACTTAAATAAATAGAACTTTTTTGGGGCGCCTGGGTGGCTCAGATGGTTAAGCGTCTGCCTTCGGCTCAGGTCATGATCCCAGCGTCCTGGGATCAGGCCCCGCATCGAGCTTCCTGCTCAGCGGGGAGCCTGCTTCTCCCTCTCCCTCTGCCTCTCTCCCTGCTCATGCTCTCTCCCTCTCTCTCTGTATCTCTGTGTCTCAAATGAATAAATTTAAAAAATCTTTCAAAATAATAAAAAAATAAATAGAACTTTAAAAAATCTGAATTTCTACTAAATATGTAATCCAAAAAATTTTTAACTTTGTGAAGTATTACAAAGTAAGGGAAAATTAACTTCATCAAATCCATTTTTTATTTAAAAATCAGATCATTGGGCACCTGGGTGGCTCAGTTGGTTAAGCGACTGCCTTCAGCTCAGGTCATGATCCTGGAGTCCCGGGATCGAGTCCCACATTGGGCTCCCTGCTCGGCAGGGAGTCTGCTTCTCCCTCTGACCCTCCCCCCTCTCATGTGCTCTCTGTCTCTCTCATTCTCTCTGTCTCAAATAAATAAATAAAATCTTTAAAAAAAATTTAAAAAAATAAATAAATAAAATAAAAATCAGATCATTGATCTAATCCCAGCTCTTTGATTAGTTATAAAAACAATGAGGGGGAAGGATTTCTTTTTTTAAGAGAGAGAGGGAGAAGACGAGAGAGAATCTTAAGCAGGCTCCACACCCAATGCAGAGCCAACGTGGGGCTCGATCTCACAACCCTGAAATCACGACCTGAGCCAAAATCAAGAGTTGGACACTTAACGAACTGAGTCACACCAGGCGCCCAGGATTTTTTTTTTACTTCAAATATTCTTAATATCTCCCCCAGAAATAAAAATTGAATAATTCAATTAGCTAATTCACACTTAACACATCATACAATCAAGGCTAGGGTTTTTTAAAACCCAAATATGATGAAAAATGCAGAACATTATAGATCCCCTGATGAAAGTTATATAAAACAGCCCAACAAACTAGACAAGCAAAAATAAAGTACAAAAGATACAGGATGAAAAAGTACGCTATCAGTTTTACAATCAAAATGTATTTGAACTCTACTTGGTAACAAGTACATACATTAGGACTAAGGGACATTAATGATAAAAAGCAAGCTTTTTGGCTTTTCCAGAGAAGCAGAGACTGACAGCCCCAGGGAAGGGAGACCTAGCACTGCTCCCAAGAAATGGTATGAAGGCAGATCTCAATCCTACTTTGGGGAAGGCAAGGTAAAACAGCTAGCACCAATATTCCCTTATAATACCAATTAGTACACAATCAACTCAACTCCTCACTTCTTTCCTCATTGCAGACCACGAGAAAGAGTGAGACTTTCACGATTCACATACCTCGGCCTTGAATTGCGAAAGATCTCAGAAGAGCTGAACCATTGAGTAAGGCATAAATGTAAGACTCCACTTGCAACTTTGAGAGCACAGAGGTGTATGAATGCAGAGCGAGGGTCTGGTGGAGGTGCTCAGATTTGGCATCAAATAGCTTCTTTAGCTCCCCCAGTGCATTTTCATTCATCTCTACTCTCTGGTAGCGATGATAGCCTGAAACTTTCACTTGATCTGCACAGATACCCTAGAGGTGGACAAATGGGTAAAACAGGAAACCAGTTAACTCTTTACACTTGAAATAATCAGGCTGCAGGCATACAATATATTGGCTTCAGTACCACCTTCAAAGAGCTTATAAATCAGAGTAAGGGGACAATCCTACCACATAGGGAACAATAAATCAAATATATAATCAGGGGCCAAGAGGGATAATGCCAATCACAAAGCATCACAAGGTCAAAGAAAAAAAAGAAACCCCTAAGAAGAAAACAATAGAACTTGTCCCTAAGACTCTCACGATTGATAATCTTACCTTCAACTTTATAAACACGGAAGTCATGTGATAACCCCACAACTTCAAGGGACTTCAAAATATCTCTGTACCTACCCTCATCATTCTTTGATTCTGCTCAAAAGCAACCCCTCTCCTTTCTAATACTAACACCTCCAGCTGTGTTCCTGATTCTATTCTCTTTTTCAGTAGTTTTCAAATGTTCTCCTCTCCACAATCTCCTTTCTATGTACAAAGAGAGATACAAAGGTCCCCCAATGAATAGGATCAGGGATTGGGGAAAGCACGTGTTTCTCCTCGATATCTCCTCCAGCTTCCCTTCATTGCCAAATTTGCCAAGAGTGGCCTCCTTTTCTTTGCCATCCTTCCCAGGCCACTGGGAAGTGGCTTCCCTAATGGTCACCTTGGCCTCCACAGGGTCACATCTAATTGCCTTCCTGTTTCCTCATCTCTCAAGTTTATTCCATGGATCATCTTCTCCTTGACCCTCTCTACCCATGTGGATGTTCTTGGCATTATGCCCAAGGTTACAAACTAAATGGTCCACAGGCTGCATCTGACCTGGAAATGTGACTTGCTTGGCCTCTACTCTCTATTTTGTTGCCAACATTCACAAATCAGGATCCTTCACACAGAAATCCAGATTTCCAGTTCCTCTTAGGAAGTGAAAAGATGTGGCAATGTTGGACCAATACAACCATCACGGCAACAATCAAGAGCGGCTGCCCCCACTGGACCAGGCAGGAGCTTACCCATCGACCACCGTCCCACTCGGCCCACTTCACTCCTCCAGGTCACCTGCGTGGCCCCTGCAGGCATCTGACTTTGTGACCCCCACACCGCACTACTCTGGGCTAGGATAGGGTCAATGTGAGTACAAGCATAATCCAGACCTGGATGGTATCACAAGAGAAGCAGCTCCACTGCAAATGCCCCAGGCTCCCAAAAGCTTTAGATACCTGCACAGACAACTGTTCGTCCTTAAAGTGCCACAGTCGACTTTTCGCATTTTGGCAATCAGACGTCAGGGCAAGCAGCTCAGCTTCAGCCAGCAGCAGCTGCTTCCTACATCGTGAGTAGTTCAAAAGCAACTCATAAAATTCATGCCTGTCCTGATGAGCCATGCTGTCGAATTCTTCTAAATATGACTCAACATTTTCCAGCCATGAACCAGGCTCAAAGATTTTTAGCTGTTCTTTAGTAAATGGTACTAGTTCTGGTTGAGATGGGAGCTCTGGGTAGAGTCGCTCATTACAAAACAAGGGTTTCGCTGCCACCAAAGCTGGTGCTTCTCTAGCAATTTCGGCTGGCAACTGAGGATATAGTTTTTTCACTCTAGGTGGCTGAAAAATGTCTTTGGCTTCACAAGAACTCTGCAAGGGAACATTTTGTAGCACCTCTGAAGAAAAACCCAAGGCTTGCTTGTCTTTCTTTTTCTGAGTTTCTCTGACCTGTAAATTTTCCATTTCCTGCTGAGTATAAGAAAAATTAGACTGCAAGGTGCTTTCAGAAGGTCCACACTGTACCAACTTATTTTCCTCTACTTCTGTAAAGTTCTTGGGAGCTTCTACTTTGGTTCCGACATTGTCTCCAGGGTCAACCTTCAGCTTCACTGCATCATCCCCAACACAGGCTCTGACCTCCTCCCCTTCCTTTAGGGTCTCTGTGTTCCATGTCAGGGACCCTTCATCGCTTATAGTTAAGGAGGTGAGTGGTACATCAAACATTTCACTCTCGTTTTGTCCACTGGCAGCATTCTGGAGCTGGGAATCAGTTAACACCTTCAGACAGTCTCCTTTGAATCCACAAGCTGGAGTAGGGATTTCCAGCTCTCTGGAGGTTTTTGGAAGGGAGACTTCATCAGATTCTTCCCTCTGAAGAGTTTCAGATCTCTTCTTTTCCTAAAAATGAGATTTATAATGTGAAATAATTTATAATATAGTAATAATTGATGCTTTCAACATGAGAAATTCTTAAATTGTATACAAAATCTAAATTTTATAATTAGCAAATGGAGTCTAAATAAAATTCCTAAGCAGTGTGTTTCATATTTCCTATTATTATTCAATTTCGACTCTGTTAAATTTGGGAGATTCACTAGTCTAATCCCAACAGAGAAAGACATCAAAAGCAGCAGCAAATTACGACTCATGAACAGAGGAGGAAAGTTTTAATTAGGTCATTCTCCATTCTCCTAGAGGTCAACAGAACAGTGTCCACATAGTGTAGGCCTCAATAGATTTATCTTCATCTTGACAAACATATTCACTTAAAACTCATGCAGAAAGAGTCAAAGAACTTGAGCAATAAAATGAGTATTAGATTATAACCTACAGAATAAAATAAATATCACGAGTCCATACTGACATAAATAAATAATAAATGGGCAAAAAGTGACACCCCTCCCTACAGAATTCCAATCAATAAATGTAGATGGAATGAGAATAACAGAAAAATCACCATTACAACACCATGGTAATAACTGCCACAGGCAAAATCTGCCGATGGATGTTAAAGTGAGTGAGTGAAAATGTAAGCAGAAACAAGACAGCTGGCTAGCATTAAAGTATCTCCTAAATATTTAGTAATTACAAAGGGGGAAATAGTAAGGTTCAGTGGAGAATTCGGCAAACAATATATTAACTGCTTAATCAAGATTGATAAGACCAGTAGCATATCCCCATGTGATGTTCTGAGAAGGCCTATCACCTCTTCAAGTATCCTTTCCAATAACATACAACCTCAATCTAATCATAAAAATATACCAGACAAAAACTCAAATTAAGGAACGGTCTACAAAAGAACAGAAACATGGGGCCCCTGGGTGGTGCAGTCAGTTAAGTGTCTGACTCTTGGTTCTGGCTCAGGTCATCATCTCAGGGTTGTGAGATCGAGCCCCATGTCAGGGACTGCACAGAGTGCTGAAGTTTCTCTCTCCCTCTCCCCATGTTCGCTCTCTCTCTCTAAAATAAATAAATCTTTAAAAAAAAAAAAAGGAATAACAAATGTTATGGTCATCAAAGACTGAGGAACTATCAAGAGATTGGAGGAAACAACAAAGACAGGACAACTAAATGCCCTGTAGGACCCTAGATTGGATCCTGGAATAGAAAAAGAACAGTACTAGGAAAACTGTTGAAATCCAAATAAGTTCTACATCTGAGTTAACAGTTTTGTGCCAACATTAACTTCTTGGTTGTGACAAATGTTCTATACCATAGAATTTATGATTATGTGAGAGAGTGACATCAGAGGATGCTGCATGAAGGGTATATGGAACTCTCCGTACTATATTTACAACTTTTCATGAAGTCTGAAATGATCTCCAAAAAACAAAGACAAAAAAAAAGTTAACTTTAAAAGAAAGTCCAATAAAATGAGGTAGGGTTTTTAAAAAAACACCTCAGGCATTAACACACAAACTAGATACACAGCGGGGTGCCTGGGTGGCTCAGTCGTTAAGCGTCCGCCTTTGGCTCAGGTCCTGGGATCAAGCCCCGCCATCGGGCTCCCTGCTCCGCAGGAAGTCTGCTTCTCCCTCTCCCACTCCCCATGCTTGTGTTCCCTCTCTCACTGTGTCTCTCTCTGTCAAGCAAATAAATAAAATCTTTAAAAAAAAAGAAAAACCCAAACTAGAAACACAGGAAAACATGCTGATAAAGAAGAAAAAAATTATAGGAAAATTCTTTAAATAAAATTGTTACACGCAGGGCACCTGGGTGGCTCAGTCGGTTAAGCGTCTGCCTTCGGCTCGGGTCATGATCCCAGGGTCCTGGGATCGAGCCCCGCATCGGGCTCCCTGTTCAGTGGGAAGCCTGCTTCTCCCTCTCCCATCCCCCTGCTTGTGTTCCCTCTCTGGCTGTCTCTCTCTCTCTGTCAAATACATAAATAAAATCTTAAAAAAAAAAAAAATTGTTACACGCAAACAAATTGAAAAAAAATGACTACATCACCCTAATACTCCCCTTTCACTATGAAATTTTAAGAAGACAAACCTGACAGTTTCACAAGTTATCAGTGATTTTGGATTGTGCTGTCCAGCAAATGTCCAGCAAAAAAAAAGTTGACAAGAACCAAAAATGTAAGACCTTATATGTACCTAATATTAGGAAGAAAAGATAAACGTTTTTGAAATGGAATTTGAGGTCACTTGCTGGTAATGGCTACCAAACATTTACAATGGTGGTGATTGAAGAAGCAATGTGCCCCTCCAAAATTACTTTAATCTACACTGTGAACTGTGGATATCAGATTCAGATATAAGCCACACAATGCATACAAACGAGTTTGTCAAATCGCCTAAAATCATGAATAACAAAAAGCATTATACAAGTATTTATGAGAAAATGAAGAAGTGGGTCTGATTACACTGCAATGATATTTAGCACACTTCTATAATAAATAGGTTTGTCAGACTGGGAGGTCAGAAAGAGACAATCAGGAGACAGAGGCCTATGGTTACTACAGTGAGAGAAATGCTGTTGTACTGGTCAGGAGAAAAGCCAAATTTAAGTGAGTTGAATAATCAAAATATAAAATTAAGAAAATAATTTCATTTATAATGAGCAAAGAAAAAATATAGAAAGATAACTTTAACAAAAGAACTGTAAAAGCTGTACTCTGAAAATTGCCAAACATCGTTAAAAGAAATTAAAGACTTAATAATTGGAAACACATCCCATGTTCATGGATGAGATCACAATATTGTTAAGATGGCAATCCTCCTCAAATTGATGCACAAATTCAACATAATCTCAATCAAAAGTCCAGCTGCCTTTTTTGCAGAAAATGACAAGTTGGATCCTTAAACTCATAAGAAAATGCAAGGGACCCAGAGTAGACAAAACAATCTTAAAAAAGAACAAAGGAGATCTCATACTTTGTAACTTCAAAACCTACTATAAAACTAGAGTAATAAAGACAGTGTGGTTCTAGCATACAGACAAATAGATCAATGGAAGAGAATTGAGAATCCAGAAATAAAACCTTATATTTAAGGCCAATTGATTTTCAACAAGGGTGCCAAGACAATATAACGTACAACGAGCAGTCTTCAACAATGGTGCTTAACAACAGGATATCCAAAGACTGAAACTGGACCCTTACCTTCTTCCATCATATACAAAAATTAATTCAAAAAGGATCACAGACCTAATGTAAGAGCTAAAACTTTAAAACTCTTAGAAGAAAACATAGGTGTGAATCTTAATGACCTTGGGTTACACATGACACTAAAAGTACAAACAACAAAAGAAAAAAATAAATTGAACTTCATAAAAATTAAAAATATTTGTGCTGAAAATGACACCTTGAAGAAAGTGAAAAGATAACCCATGGAATGGGAGGAAATAGTTACAAATCAATTATCTTATAAGGGACTTATATTCAGAATAAAAAAAAGAACTCTTGTAACCCAATAATAAAAAGATGAATAACCCAATTTAAAAATGGGCAAAGGATATGAATAGACATTTCTCCAAAGAAGATATACAAATGGCACATAGAAAGATGCTAACATCATTAGCCATTACAGAAAAGCAAATCAAAATCACGAGACGCCATGTCATATCCAGTAGGAAAACTATTTAAAGTCAGATAATGGGGCGCCTGGGTGGCTCAGTCGTTAAGCGTCTGCCTTCGGCTCAGGTCATGATCCCAGAGTCCTGAGATTGAGTCCCGCATCAGGCTCCCTGCTTCTCCCTCTCCCACTCCCTTCTTGTGTTCCCTTTCTCACTGTGTCTCTCTCTGTCAAATAAATAAAATCTTTAAAAAATAAAGTCAGATAATAAGTGACAGTAAGGATGTAGAGAAATTAGAACTTCATACACTGCTGGTGGGATTGTAACGTGATGCGGCCACTATGGAAGACAGTTTGGCAGCTCCTAACTGTGGTGATGGCTGCACAACCTTATGATCATACTAAAAACCACTGAAATATACAGTATAAATAGGTGAATTGTGTCGTGTGTGAATTACACCTCAAAAAGCTATGAGAGATTTTTAAAATTTACTGAGTTGACGAATGAGAAATCAGGAAGCAGAGACTGGAACGTGGAACAGAGAAGATTCTTTTTTCTCTTTTCTTAAGCTGGAAGAGACCTCTGTGGTTGTTAAATGCTAACTGGAAGAGAAGACAAGGGAGCTGGAAGCAGCCACATGACGGGCCACAGGATCAAGGGCACAGCAAGCAACCACACCTCCTCCAACCCACAGGCCTCCAGAGCCTTCCTATCCAACCTATCCCTCAGGCAGTTTTTAACCTCCGTGTGTCCCATCTCACTCCACTCCAACCCCACCTCACTCAGCCCTCTCTCCCCACTCCAGGATGGCCCTTGCAATTCCAAATTCTTTCCCTCCACTAAACAAAATGAGGTCTCCAGCGGCTAATCCCAAACTTGCCTGCCCACTCCCAGCAGCCGTAGAACAGATAATGCAGCCAGAGAATCAAATGAATTTTTTAAAAACTTCTTAGCCTCTCTGGAAAGAACACACAAGATTTTGTTTAGGTTTTATTTCCCCTGGGGTAGAACTCAGTGCTTCTCTGGGTTTCTAGAGTGGAACCAAAGAAAACTCTCTACCTGTACTGGTTAGGGAAGTTAGGTCCAAAGAGAAATTAACCTGGAGTTGGCCCAAGGAAGAAGTGGGGGAAGGACAGAGAAGCTGGTGCTTTGATTCAAATGGACCATCCAGACCAAGGAAGGTAATCTGGAGGGAAGGATGGACAACCATTTGAGCTGATGGCAAAGGCCTGACGCTCCCTTGAGGATCCCAAGACAGACACAGGACCTCTATGGTATGAATGCAGAGAGAGAGAGGGGATTTGCTGAGATCATCACTGATGCCAGAGTCTCAAAAGCAGTGGTGAGCTCCCTGTGGTTTACTTCATTTTCCAAAGCACTAA